ATGGTAAATGGTCAGTATTTATAGCTTGGACCTTCGCTGCAAATACAGCCTCAAAGCAACGGCCGCTGATTGATGTTAGGATTGTACCCAAAACCACCATCTCAAAGACACGAATCACTCACCAACAACTGCAGCCAGACTCTTCACGCCCAGCAAGCCCATAAACCAGGTGCCCCATCCAAGCGGGTTTCCCTCGCGATCAAAGTTTGGCTTTATGTCGTTCATGCCCTTCAATTGCTTCTGCTTCTGTGGCGTGTAGGGTGGGTATCTGACAGCCATGAGGCCCTCGATCCATGCAGGTGTTGTAGTCACACTCCTGCGGTGAGTAAAGGTATCGAAACTGGCTTTACCTCTGTATGAGCCTGTGCCACTTGTTCCGACACCGCCAAATGGTAGGGTAGGGATGGAGCCGTGGAAGAAGCCGTCGTTGAGAGAAGCACCGCCACTGCGAGTTTGGCTGATAATCTTCTCCATCTCGGCCTTTGTGCCAAAGGCATAGGTGCCAAGGGGTGTGTCGTGGAGTTCGTTTGCAATCCTGATGGCTTCGTCGAGGTTGTCAACGGGGAGGATGGGCAGAAGCGGGCCGAAAGATTCCGAAGTGACCATGCTGTCGTTCATGTCGTTGATTTGAACAACGGTGGGCTCAATGAAGAGATCCGACTCGTCCATGGTACCACCGAGGACAATCTTGCCGTTGCTGTCGTCAACCATCTTCTTGATGCGTTGGAATTGACGCAGATTGACGATGCGGCCGTAATCGGGGGACTTGCGGGGACCTTGTGGGTAGAATTCTTGTAGCTGCTTCCTCATCTCTTCAATAAAGGCGGGCAAAATCTCGCGATCAACAAAAGTGCAATTGTGGCTCAGGCAGACTTGACCGGCGTTCAAAGTCTTGGCCCACAACAGTCGCCTCGCTGCTAGCTTGGGATCTGCGTGCTTTGTGACAATGGCAGGGTTTCTGCCGCCCAACTCGAGTGTCAGCGGGGTAAGCGTCTCAGCCGCCTTCTTTGCGATGATTTTGGCGACAGCCTCGCCACCCGTGTAGAAGATCTTGTCCCACTTTTGATCGAGGAGGGCAGTGGTTTCGGGGACGGCGCCCTGGATACACGTGTAGCAATCGGGATCTAGCGATTCGCGCAGGATCTTTTGAATAACAACAGCGGCGTTGGGCGACGACTCCGAAGGCTTGACAACGGCGGTACATCCAGCTGCAATGGCACCAATGAGGGGGCCTAGGGTAAGTTGGATAGGGAAGTTGTACGCTCTGTTCTGGTTAGCATCGCTCCTTGGCATGCCAACGGCATTGAGAAGCATACCCAATGATCAAAGCAGCGCCCAGGGGATCCTTCTTGATGCGCGGGCGGAGCGGCTTGTTAGTCCAGGAGATGTCGGGCGCGGGCTCGTCCTTTGCAAATTGGCGGACCCTGTCGGCCATCCAGATGCAGTCGTTCATGCACCACGAGATCTCCGTCAAGTATGTCTCAAACTCAGGCTTGCCGAGATCGCGCTTGCAGGCTTCTTTGATGAGTTCGGCATTGTCCTTGAAGCCCCAGTAGAGCTTGCGCAGCTGCTGAATGCGGAACTCGAGGGGCCTGGTCTTGTGGGAGAGGAAGCTGGCCCGGATCTTTGCGCATGTAGGGGCAATGTCGTCGATGGGCGTGTGTTCGAAGGGGGGTAGTTCAACCATTGTGTCGGGTGTTGGACTGCGCAGAATTGAAACGGAATGGATAAAGAAGGAGGGAATCCAACAGAGGATAAAATGGAACCATCGGCCGACTATAAGCTGCTGAACAGGCCTGGCTGGCGTGGGCGACGTCTCACAAGCACGCGGCAGACATACCTCGGTCCCACACACCACGGACGTGCCCCGCACTGCCTAAGCTCCATTTGGACTAGCACCACCCTCGCAAGTTACTCCTTGCATTCCAGTCGCATGCTCCGTCTCGACATTGTTCAGATGGTATTGGAGAACACATTGCCAGTCTGAAGGTAGAACGACCCGGTGATGTTCATCACTCCATGTACTATCTGTACAAGAAGACAGTTGGCAGTCGTCGTGCTGGTCTTTACCAGTCTCGCAGCCACTACCAACACCGCGACCAGGGCATGATATAGACCTGCCTTATTTCTAACCGTTGCCGCCGCTGTGGCTGAACCTGCCAAGACATGCGCGTTTATCCTCATCTGCAACATTACATTGATATCTTCACACACATATACCCACTGGCAGTTAAGCTTAGTAACGTCGAGTCTGCTCGTCCGCATCGGCTACACAAATCTTGAGCAAAGTGTCTCTCTCCTCTGCAAGAAACCTCTACCATCGCGTCCTCTTGCCATCACGACTTTTACTAGATAACTGATGCGCCTCCTGTCAAACCCTCAGCCTTACCAGACGCGCATGCAGGACTCAAAGTTCAACAGCGATGATCCCTGACAAGACGCTCGGTGCTTCTGTAGCTTCGAGCCTACATAGTAAACGAGTCGGAACTCGGAAGCCGAGGGCTTTCCGAAGCACATGCACTGCGCCTCTACTATGCTTCTAACAAATACTCCCGTCACGGTACCCCGGCGAATGAGCTGCCAAAACGTGTAGGCTTGCGACGTGGTCTTCGAAATCCACATGGCCGTCGCCGTCTTTGTTTGTCTGATCTCGTATCCAGAACGTTTTCGCCATCCGCTTCGGTCGCCTTGTCCCGAAGGCTTGGTCTGAGCGTGGTTGAGCGACGAGATAACGCTTGTGCCCATCGAGGAGACTCGAGTCGTGGTAATGCGTTGGGATTTTCAGAAGTATGTCACTACAAGTCACGCCTTGTTCCTACATGTTTTGCTGTCCGAAAGACGCCCTGCAAGCCTAAATGGAACGCATGGATACAGCAGTCACATGAAGATGACGCTCGAAAATTCAGCTCAGGTCACGGGGACCTGTACTGATTCTAGAGATGCGGATATCCATATCCGCCGAGCATGTAAGCAAAGCATCACATAGCTGTATCAGCGCACCCTAGTAACCTTGTTCTTGTATCGGGAAGCCCTTAGTTAGGACATACACTTCTAGTCTCTACAACCTCGCCCCCCTACGCAGATAGGTCCCATTGCTTCTCCCTAAGCATGCGCTGCCGAAGTTTTTGTTGTTGTTTTGACTAGCTCTCTCTACTTCTTCGTACATGTCTGCTACTCCAGGGAGAACCCCTTTCCAACTAATCCAAAGTGCCCGTTCCTTAGATTGGGGATCAAAATCGTGTTTCACAATGGAATGTATGACCATCTACAGATGACCCGCAGTACCAGTGTGGTGCTGCTCGGCACACTATGAAATGTACGCCATCCACAACGTTGCCAAGTTCTGCTAAGCAATGTTTTCGCCCAATCTTAGGCGACCCAAACGCCATCTTACCAATACATCTGCATGACAAATGCCACGAAATTACGTATGCCATGACCTTGCAGTCTATATAGCACACGCACCATAAAGCAGTGGGGCAAGTTACTGGCTGATACATCATTCATTCTAAAAGTATCCCACAGCAACAAAATGACATCCAAGTCACTACCCGTACGCGCAGCCCTCATCGGGCTTTCCTCCTCTGGTAGCACGTCGTGGGCTGCTAAAGCACACCTCCCCGTTCTTATGACATCTGCCGGCCGCTCAAAAATTTCCATTACTGCATTGCTAAACAGCAGTGTTGATGCTGCGAAAGCAGCGATACAGGAATACAAATTCCCTGCCACTACCAAGGCTTACGGTAGCCCAGAAGACTTAGCGGCAGACCCAGATATCGATCTCGTGATATGTAACACAAGAGTCGACAGGCACCACGAGGTTATCATGCCAAGTATCAAAGCAGGCAAAGATGTCTACGTCGAGTGGCCAATCGCCTCAAACAAAGATCAAATCGGAGAAATAGTCGAGGCTGCACGGCAAAGCGGATCCAGAGTGGCAGTAGGTCTACAAAGGCGATGGGATCCATCCGTTGTCAAGCTCCGAGAACTCCTAGATGGAGGCAGAGGGGAACTAGGAAAAATCCTAAGTTCAAGCGTCCAGGCCTTTGGCGGCATTCCTGACAGAGACATGATGTCACCAGGTGTACTCTACTTCACTGACAAAGAAATCGGTGGAAACAGCATCACCATCGGCGTCGGCCACAGTATGCTTATTCCCCCCCCTTGTTAACCCTCCCTTAAACAGCCCCATCTAACATAACCCTAGTCCTCGACTCCATCCTTTCAACCCTCGGTCCCCTCTCCTCCACAAGCATCCATTCCAAATCCCAAATCCAACGCCCGACCCTCGGCATTCCCGACGCAGAAACGAAAAAAGTAACACACCACGTCACTTCCAACGTGCCGGACCTTCTCTCCCTCCACGCCACTCTGGCCCCCTCCGCCCAAGCCATCCAAAACGCAACACTCACCTTGTTCTATCGCAACGGCCCAGCCTTTCCCGGTGACCCCGCACTTACCTGGACTATTAACTGCGAAAAGGGCGAAATCAAACTCGTGTCGCCTACCAGTCCTTTCTTCCAGTTCTCTGACAGCGATGCGCCTGTGACGATTCAGGTGCATGATTTTGCAAGTGGGGAGGTAAGAGATGTGGTGTGTGAGTGGGGGGAGGAACAGACGGAGGTGCCGGTTTTGGCCAGGGATGTTATGGGGTGTTTGTTTGCGTTTGTGGAAGGGAGGGAGGAGGGGGATGGGTGGGTAGGGGTCGAGGATGCTGCAAGGTTTGCGGATGTTGTGGCGAGGTTTGTGGAGGTGTAGGGTTGGTGTGTATAGTGGGAGTGTCAACGGAAAGACTGGAATGTTTAGTGTATGTACTAGGGACATGCTTCTTCGATGATCCAGGTAAGACATGTGGAGTGTACGTTTCTGTCATGGTATTTAACTCATACACAGGTTAGCGTTTCAAATCTACCTACCTACTATCTCTAGCAAACCCCAAACTATTCTCCAAATCTCAAAAGATACTGTCATCATTCACCCATGACACCTGCCCCTCCCTTCTAATCAACCCTCACATTAACTTGACACACCTTCCCCCCGTCAGACATCTCCCCAATCCCAAAATACCTCTTCACTGCCCCGCTCACACACTCTCCAAGAAAAGGCAACACTGTGTGCCCGGTAGAATTCTGCTCCAACACCACCGCTCCCTCAAACCCCCCCGCCATATACCTCGCATTCGCAACAGGCGTAATGGGATCAACCGACGGATTCACAAACAAGATCCGAGTCTTAGTTCTCGTATACTTAAACCCTACACACCCGTCAAATTTCCAAATGCCAAAAAACGACAAGGAGGAGGGGGGGGGGGGGGGGTAGCAAGAATGTAGGACTAACCACTAAACACCTGACTCTCCGGCGGCACAACCTCAATCACAACCCCCACCACCACATTCTCCAGCACATACGCGCGCCCCGCATACACAATCGTTCGCACCACTTCCCCATACACCTCCCGAAAAACCATACGCTCCCGTGTCTGACTCCGCCCAGTGTAATACGCACCAGCAATAAGCACATATATCTCCTGCGCCTTCCCACTCCCGCGCGCCAACGTGCTGCATCCCCCGTTTCCAACGCAGCAAGACCGCGCGCTCGGAACGGGAAGCCAGTCACGCCGGCGTAGAGAATGTGAAATGCTGCTGCGAGGACCGCGTCTTTGGTTATGAGTTGTGGGGCTGGTGTTGGGGAAGTGGGTGCGGAGAGGATGAGCGGCTCGATTTCGAGGTTAGATAAGAGGGTGTCGAAGCGCTTTTTTTTACGTCTTTGGCGTAGAAAGCGCAGGTGCCGGGACTGGCGGCGTGGCAGAGAGTGAAGAATCTGGTGTACGCTTCGTTCGACGTCTTGGATGGCGCTTGGTTTTGCGCCGTGGAAGTGGTCTTTGGCGTTGACGGTGCCGTCTAGGACTATGCGGCCGACGCGCGAGGGGTACTGGGATGCGAGGGCTTGTTCGATGATCGTGCCGTAGCTGAGGCCGTAGAAGTTGACGAGGGGTTCTTCGGGGTTCTCGAGGTTGCGGAGGCGAGCTTGGAGCGTGGTGAAGTGGAGCATGTCTTGTACTGCGGCAAGGGTACCGGCGTATTTTGCAGTTGTGTTTGCGTTAGCTTTTGTGCACCATTGGCTCATTGCGAGTCCGCGAGCGTAGGTTTCATCGAGATTAGAGGCTTGGGGTAGCTCTTCGAAAGAACTCCGGTATGCGTCTCGGATATTGGGTTGACCGGGAAAGCACGTCAGTTTGATGCCACTGTTGTTTACGCCCCTTGGATCGAAGCTGATCATGTTGTATTGTCCACCACTGATGTTCAAGATGAGGTCGCCGATTCCAGAAAGCAAACTTCGTACCCCCGAGCCACCGGGACCACCAGGATTGAAGAGAAGGTCCTGACCAACGTTTCCCGGAGCGAGTTTACGAATAAACGCAATGGTTGTAGAACCGACACTGCTATCTTGATAGTCGAGCGGTACTATCAGATTGGCGCAGTCAAAGCCATTGTAGCATGGTATCCATTGGAGATCAGACGATGGAGTAATCTAGACGTCCAGCATAGGTCAAGGCGATGAGACTAATTCGCTGTACTTACTTGACTAAAACTATGTATCCCATTTGCTTCGTACGGCAGCGCACTCTGGGTATTAGGTGAAGCGGTAGTAAATGATGCAAAAAGTACGGATGGAATTGCCACGGATTCGAGGTGGACCATTCTGCCATGCATACGAACCTAGTCGACTGTAGAAGCAATGGGTAAATCTAGGCTGACTCTAGACATGAGCAGCAGCACCATGGTTGGAACGAGCCAATATTTTATGGCGTCTAGCCTTAACTTCTCAGTCTAATGACGACGAGGCTGCTGATGACTGTAGCATGTCTTAAAACCTGCGCACGATCAAGTTCTTCCACGCTATTCAAGTTGACCTGCAGCATCCACGGGGAGCCAAATTTGGGAAAAAAAAAACTCAAAACAAAGGCTCCATATGTTGCGCTGTTTAGGGTCGCTTTGATCAATCAGTCCCGGGCATTCGTACCAACAGTAACAATATTCTGTCTGATCCACGACGAGATGCATTACAAGTGGCATCGCAAGTAAGGCTACCTTTGTGGGGTTGGGAGACATACCTTGTAAACGCAAGGCCACCTCTATAGCCTCGTTGGTGTACCTGTTAGCACGCCTGATTTATAAAGGCTTGTGGCGGGCCGGCTTACAGCGTATCAAGTTCGTGAAGAAGCTAACCTGTGTAGTAGACTGCGAAACTACGTAGACAGGAAGGGAGAATTAAAAGGCATTGCATGTATCAATGAATTATGTTCAACTATCTCCACAGCTTACTGCATAGACTGCAAAGAGTAATGCCAGTACGCGTGACGATCTGACTTGAAGTGGTATATCTCCCAAACGCCTTGTTCTTGTCCCAACGCCAAACAGCCATTTCATCCCATCTTGGCTAAGCAGTTACACACTTACTCCAACATCTTGACTGCGTATTTATCGCTTCGCCTTCACGTTGAATGGGCTATCTTCTGCAGCCTTGAACGCGTCAAATGCGAATAGACTGATGAAGTACAGGGCTACAAATCTAATAACCAAATCGGTCAGGCCGCCGTTGCCCATCAACATGCGTTGTAAACCTGCGAATGAACTGTCTCCGACCGGGCGACTAGGTTCTTCGGCTGACCCGAGCGTGCGCCCTTTGGACTGGAAGGCAGTGGAGGCGGCGCCCGGACCAGATGTGTCGCTGGCAGCTTTGCGCACGGCGGCAGTAAGGGCAGAGGGGTTTGCGCCGCGGATGGTCTCAACTACCGAGTTGGACTTGATTACCAAGAAAGTCGGCATGCTGTGAATAGCGCATGTTAGCATTCCATATCTTGAACGTGCTTGTGTTGTTGATTGGGATTTGGAGTCCCGTCAATTAGAAAAAACGTACGCGTTGACGCCATATTTTCTCGCAACCTCTTGCTGGCTATCTACGTCTACCTTGACAAACTGCATTCTTCCCGGCTTTGTCTCCTTCTCTGCCAGGTTCTGGAAGACGGGTGCAATGGCTTTACATGGCCCGCACCAGTCCGCGTAAAAGTCTACAATGGTGTATGTAGATTGCGAGAGAAGCTGGGAGAAGTGCGACGACGAGGTAACGGCGATGATTTTGCCCGGCATGGCGACTGTTTTCGCGTAGATTCCTGGGTTTTAGACAAGGTATGGAGTAACGCCCCAGGTCGTACTGGGTTGGTTCAGTTGATAGATGGTGGAGTGGATATGATTTGCGGGGAGGACAGCTTGCGACTGGGATGCGCCACTGGGAGCTTGGGTGGGTCGTGCACTGATCACTAACATAAGTGTCGCGCCCCGCATTACGTACTTCCTGTATTCATTCGTTAGGCCAAAGCCTTGCCATGACCTTTAGCAGTAGGACATGTAGTAGGATGAAGAAATTTATAATTGATAGGATTGCATGACTGAAATTCTGCAGTCTTCTACTTACTACTTACTGAGACTCACTCTCTAGCCATAACTAGTCATGATAGACTACGTTATTGTCTCCACAGGCGATACATGTAGTTAGTAACAGTCCAACTCTTACACTTATATCTCGCTCCCCCAAATCTTTACATATATTCTATATGATCGTAGCGATCATTACTCCACTTCTTGGATAACTTCCCCTCGCAGCATGCTCAATCATCCATCAGATCCTCAGGAGCTGGCGTAGCAGCCTCAGTGAGGACTTTGGCCTCTTTGAATGGACTAGATCTGCTCCTTGACTTCCTCGGAAAATACTCTGGTTCGGCTTCGCTACTGCTCTCAATCTCTTTAGCGGGGCGTCTCTTTGCTTTCGGTTTCTTGGCTTTAGGTTTTGTCACGGGTGATGGTGAGATTGTCTCTTGCAAATCATCACTCGGATCCCCGAGCGGGCCTTCTGACTCTTCCGAACTGACAGTAAGCTCCGGCTTGACTTTGGTCTTCTTGCTACGAGACGTCTTCGACTTTGGCTTTGCCTTCGTCTTCGGTGGCACGATCTGAGGTTCTGGCGGCTCCACGACCTCGCCCGTCTCGAACGTTTTCAATACCACTTCCTTGAGCTCTTCGGGGATATTATCGATTCCATAAAAAAAACCCTTTTCGTAACACATCTGTGCGCTTGCCAAGTCGTATTCAGACATGCACTTCTGCGGGATGTTTAGCACGAGACCTTTTCCTGAAGGGAGGAAACAACTTACCCAGTGCTTGTAGTACGTTGAGGTATGTTCACCGTCAAAATTGACCAAGATACCAAGTCTCAGGTGACCCTTGGTGATCTTAATGTTATCCGATACGCAGTCGCCTCCACGGCAAGCTGCAGCGCGAGTGGCGACGTCAGCTTTGTAGCCCTCTGCGTCCGTATACTCTTTCGCGTACTTGCGCGAGGTTTTCGCCAAGTCCTCACGAATATCCTTGAACCCCTTATCTACGGGCATACCCTCCTCGAATGCTAGTCTCACCTGCTCTTGGCTTTCAGGGCTGAGTCGATCATAGCCAGGTGCTTTAGTTGGGTCGTTCTCGGTAGTCTCCTTCAATCCCGCGATTTGATGCTTCGTTGCACATCCCCTAGATTTGTCTTAGCATTTATTTGTGTTTGTGGAGATGCAGGATAATGTTTACTTACCAATGACGCCAGGCCATGTACCATCGGCTTTGCACGCCATCATTGAACAGTGTATGCGTGCCGATACGCAGTTCACCTTTGACAATTTTTGATTTGTTCCGCTTACAGGCTGCTTGCTGACAGATTGCTGAGTTGTTATCTGCATGTTCTAGATGGCTTTAGCAAAAGATCAAGCAAACGAGCCTTCACATACCTAGGCGCCACTTGGGGCCCTCGTCGTCCATTGTGTTTCGCAGGTGCGTGGAGTATGAATCAGTAGTAAAGGGTGAGAGGGGTGACAGGGTATTGAAAGAAGAACGTAGGTGAGTTGATGATATGTGAGGCGACTGGCTTGTTTTCAGTACGCACGTGCAGCTCGATGGGGAAGAGGAAGGCACGATACCACCAAACCATAGTCACATGTCAAACTTCCTATGAGTACGAGATGAGTGACTTTCAGCCGTAAGAGGAAACTGGCTAATGAGAATGTAATTTAGTGAAGCGCTTTTGAGCGCAGTTGTATGTGGATGATGCCTAGTTTTCAGGGAGTTTTTACATGTCCATAACCAGTGAAAGGGTAGAAAGTCTAGCCCATTAACTGTGAGCAGTGAGTTGTGATAGCAAACACAATTCTCATACATAGACTCGCAATTCCCATGTAACGTTCTTCTTACTCTTCTCAAATCCTTCTGAATAATCCCAATGCCAGAACCACCAACAAACCTCACTTCTTTCGCGCCCGAGGAATACAGCGCTGGCTGGACCCACGAACAACTCGCCGCAAGATACATCGACCTCCGCGCTGGACACCTCGCTCTTCGCAATCTCTCCGATGGTGCCGCCGCTGCTCGCCCCTTTGAGCGCGAACGCACCATTCACAACCTACAAAATGCGCGTCTCCGGCTAGAGAACGAAAAGCAGCAACTATGTGCTCAGATACGACAAATTGAGAGGGCAAACCAGACGAATCGAAATATCAACCGTGACTTACGGGAGCAGTACATGGAAACGCAGGAAACTCTCAACATGGTTTTGCAAGCGCAGTTTCAAGTAGATCAAGAGGCGCGAGAGCAGCACGCGAAGATCGAAAGGCTTGAGGAGGAGAATAAGAGCCTTCATTGGCAGGTTCAGATGTTGGTTAAGTCAAGGGATGAGAATGAAGAAAGTCTAGCTGGCTCGCGGAATAAGGGGGGGAAATTGCGGCCAGGAGTGGATGAGATGGGAAAGAAGGCCCAAAACACAGGCGATCGGGTTGATGAAGTCACAGCTGAACAAGAGAAGATGACGAAGGCTAAGTTATCTGGGCAACAATCGTACTGGGACGACAACCATGACGACGACTATAATGATGACCATTTTGACATCTAGCACGAAGATTGTGCATGCTGGAGAAGGTCGAATAGGATGCGAGAAAACCTGGTGAGCCCAAGATTGTCAAACAAGACAGTCGAATGCCACATCATAGAGAGATTAGCGGCGAGCAGAAATTCAAGACTATGTACAAGCATACACTGAATATGTCAACACACAGGGAAGACATCATTAATATCTATACGACGGCTTCGAGCTTGTCGAACCCGTTGAACTTGAACCACTGGAGGGCGGTCGGTCCCCACTGATTTCAGCCTTGTCCTTCTTCCCAAGAACGACACGTTCACACCAGGAGCACCAGCTCCTGAGTTCTCCCTTGACTTCGCGCTCAAGGTATTGTATTGACTTTTCCTTTTCATCTTCATAGAGCTTCACGCACTCCCCAATACGAACCTGCTTTTTGTGCTTCATTTTCAGCACCCCGCCAATTCCTTCAATCTCTTGAGTGAGGTAAGACGTTCCCCGCCAGCGGTCAGGTGACTCTGAGGAAGGGGTGTGCGACCTCTCGATAGTGTCCAAGAGGTCTTGCTCGCAGGTCTCGTGTTCAACGACTCGTGCACCTAGACAAGCGCAGCCTCGCCCGCATTCGACACCTTCATTACCTTCGCCGGCTCCGGTGCCGACTCCACCCAGATAGTGGCTATATCGCGTGCGCCAGCTCCACCCACGAACATACATGGTATCTGCGTTTCGTAGGTCCTTGCCACACGGTGCGCAAAACCACACCACATCATCGCAATTGCAAGGAGTACGCTCAAATGCCGGCGCGGTGAATGCCCGCGGCTGACTACTTTCAAAAAGCACGGGGCGCTGGTCGGGCGACCCAGGTGGCGAGGAGTCGGATGACGAGCGTCTTTTCTGGACAGCCATGAGCATGGGCAACGGCGCCTTGGTGCACGTACGGCAGAGCCGACGATGTCGAGCCCGAAGTGCAGGTGTTGGCGGTGGCTTCATCGTGCAATTCTGAGACAATCATCAGTCCCGACTTCGTCCTTTACACATTCAGACGTCATACCCGGCAAACAATAGTCCCACAGCGCTGGCACTCTCCTACCATGTCGCGAGCACATATCCCGACACGACCGGTAGTCAGCCTTGATTCCATTGCCATGCCATATCGACCTCCTTGGAATGACGACGACCCTGGGTTTTCGCCAGGCTCGGCATCTTCGTTGACGCAATGCAGCGTATGCTTGACAAGTTGGCTACGATATTCAAGCAGATTTGCACGAAACTGCCTACATGTGCGTGAAAGATCATGAAGCGTGTTGAGGTCGAGCTGGGCGGCGAGTTGGCTTACTATTCTGTGTGGTTAACATGGTTAGCATGCATCATGGCGTGGAGTCGAGTCCATGCTATGGCTAAGGCTCACGGATAGCAGCTCAGGGCAGCGCTGAATCCATTCTTGTTTGGGTTCGGCCTCTCGTCTGCCACGCTCACTCGCTGCCCACTCTCTGCCGTCGATTCGCTTAGAGAGTGGTGCAATGGCTTGACGTTCAACAAGCCAGACGCGTGAGGGGATTGTAATGAGGGCGCTTCATCGTCTTCTAAATCAACCAGGACAACCATCGTTGGCAGCTAAAGGGACAGCGCGCAGCATCCAAATCACGCAAGGCTAGAAAATGTAAAAATGGAGAGTTTCGTCGGCAAGAGAGCGATGTCGCTCTCGTGACGACGTGATGGCACGCTTGACCGTGTTAGTGGGGCGCTTGGCATCTCCGGCTTCCTTCCGTCATCTACTTTACGCGTCTTCCTGACTCCTGGTCACGTGGATCAAGCATTCAAGGCAATCGGAATTCTATCACAAGAATACAAAACAGACCTGCCGGATGGAGTAACATGTCACAGTGTGTGGATTCTGGACCAAGATACCGACGAATCCTCCTCACGTCAGATTGACTGCAGCTTAGCCTAAGCGACCACAAGGCCGAACAGTAGGCTGGTTCCTAGTCGCCGATACACTCTTTGCTAGATACAACATCGGTACCAAGCCTTCTGGAAGGAGGGCTTTAAATTCTTACTACTAAGCGCATGTGATGTGTGTGCCGGCCACATGAAAATCAGCATGCATGCCACCCTTGCAGATTGCGTTGTATGCAACCGACGCATTCTACTTCGTATCTAGCAGTCGATGTCTTAGTTTGTTGTCGAACATAATGGACATCTCTCGTTGAGAGATACTGAGCCTATGAGCAAGCATGGAGGTAGAAGCTAAATCACCTAGGAAATCTAAGCAAAGCGATGAAACCACTTGTTTTTCGTAGTCAGAGTCAAGGCCAGAGTCTTGACATGCGAACCAAACGGCGACATTTCTTATAGGTGAGCTTGTCTCAGTTTTGTGGAGATTTTCGCCCACAAAGACTGTGGCCTAGTTTAGACTTGGTTGTGGGTCGGCACGTAATTGTACATCTATCTAGCCGGTACAGGGTACACCTGCATATCACCCATACCACGATTATTAACCGGTACATGGCCGTAAGCTGACAATGGGAGAATTTATCACACCCCGCCTGGGAAAATCGGGTTTTTTCGCATCCCTCGAGTCTTCAGATGTTAGCCACGTTCGGCTCTCCGCGACGGGGGCCGATGAGGGGCTTGCAGCAGCCACCGATACCCGCGGGACCACATGTTGACCAAGTAACCCCAGACCCGAGCCTCATTCTCCACATGTTGACCCCATCTAACCACTTGGGTTGTTTGGCTATATTGGCCCCTCCTTTGCCCGGCTTCCATACGCCTTGTGTGCGAACGCCCCGGACACTAGTGCTATAATCCTGGTTCTTACATGCTCCTCAAGCATGGCTTCAGCGGCAATCGTATACAGATCTGGTATTCAGTGCGGGGGATAAGAGTTTTTGTTTAAAAAGAGTTCAGGTCCCGGCCGGGCTCATGTTCTTTCACATATAGTCCTCCTTATCGCAACTGTACAGATCATTACTCTGCCCACATTGATTTCATTTCAGCATCCTTTAGAGAAAACGTCAACTCAACAGTAGTCTATACTAATACCAGTCAAGACCATGGCTAGTTTCATAATTCGAGATGTTCGTATATTTACTGGCGAAGAGGCAATCGAAGAAGGATACGTACATATTCAGGATGGCAAGATCAAATCAGTGGGACCCACCAGCAGCCTCCCACAAGAATCAATAAAGACATATTCAAAACCAGGACATACTCTGCTCCCTGGTCTGATCGACTGCCATATCCATGCCGATAGAGCCGACCCCGTAGCTCTACCACAATCCCTACGATTCGGCGTCACCACTGTGTGCGAAATGCACAACGAGCTCGAAAACGTCCTGAAACTCCGCAAGCAAACCCTCGAACCGGATACAGCATCCTACAAAACTGCGGGTCAAGCCGCAACAATCGAAAACGGCTGGCCCATCCCTGTCATCACCGCGCACGACAAAAGCGAGGAAACCGCCGCCGCAATCGCACGCTGGCCAAAACTCACCGACCACGCAAGCGTAATCAACTACCTCGACTGGACTAGCAAGGAAATGCAACCGGATTACATTAAACTAATGCACGAAAGCGGCACAGTCATGGGCCAAAACTACGCCTACCCCTCCCTCTCACTCCAACGCACCATCGTCACCGAAGCCCACGCCCGTGGCTATCTAACCGTCGCCCACGCAACCTGTCTAAAAGATACGCTCGATGTACTCACCGCAGGCGTAAACGGGCTCACTCACACCTTCTGCGACCAGCCCCCTACCCAGGAACTCATCGATGCATACAAAAAGAACAACGCGTGGGTTAACCCAACACTAGCGACAATGGGAAGCTTGACAGCCGAAGGCGTGGATCTGCAACATAGATTCGCGCATGATCCGCGGGTTAAAGGGTTGATTGGCGAGGATCGTGTGGGGAATATGTGTCGGTGTATGGGGTTTGCAGATAAGGGCAAGGTGGAGTTTGCGTATCAGGGGGTTAAGGCGTTGAAGGATGCGGGGATTGATATTTTATGGTGAGCAGTAATCCAATTCTTTTTTGCTAAAACTCGAGGACACAACTAACGGTGAATAGTGGAAGCGACGCTGCTGGGCCTGCAGTTGGAACGGCGTTTGGCCTGACTATGCACCAAGAGCTTCATTTGTTCGTGCACAAGATAGGTATGACTCCCATGGAAGCACTGCGCTCGGCTACGAGCTTGGTTGCGAAGCGCTTCAAGTTTGAAGACCGAGGGAGGTTGGCGGAGGGATTGAATGCGGATATGTTGCTTGTCGAGGGAAATCCGCTCGAGGACATTGATGCGACGTTGAATATTCGGGGTGTGTGGCGTGAGGGGAAAGTGTGTAGTGTGTATGCTGAGAAGTTGGAGTAGCTACTGGAAGAAATATTAGAAGAGAGAGAGAGCAGTAGAAGAGAAAATGCGAGCAAAGATCAATGTTCGTCAAACTAAGCCATCTTTTGTGATTTATAAATTTTAGCACTACTAAGCAACCAAGCACTCAACATGTCGACACCAGAAGTCTCATGCTACTTCTCCTTTTGATGTACTCTTGAAACGCGTTTAAAGGGTTAATTCTAGTATGTACATTCCAAGCTTTTGTGAGAACGTAGAGAGATTGTTGTGTTTTATCATCGTGATAGGATACAATAATGAGGCTCATTCTGATTTTACAATACGTCTGTATATAGTGGTATTGTCGCGGCATTGTGATTTCTATGCAGAGCGTGGCGTTAAGTTTGGTGGGGTGCACATCTCACTGCGGGGCACGTTTCTGCAGGGTAGAGGATCAGGAGGTAAATACAAAGCAGCACCAATGAACCATGGGTCCATTGTCGCATCGGGATGAGATATGGACTTCCATTCTGCAAGCAAATATGATCAGCTAGCTTTACTTCCAGTATGCATAGGATTAACAGTGTTAGAGGCAACCGCCACTACTAACTAGTTCGGGTTTGACCTTAACAGAGTTAAGCTTCTCTTGTCATCTCAAGCCCCAGACCGTTGTAAACGTCACCGACACCACATGTGATGATGTACCAAAGCTTCCGGGCCATCAATACTTGTGAATCGCTCTTTCGTCTGGTCGCTACTGTGTATGTTTCTTTCTGGTACAGACCAAAGTTTTATTCTAGTACCTGTAAGGTGTCACGATATCCCACCTTCTTTTTCCTTCTTAGATCATGTGAATGCTTGCCGTGTGCACTAAGTTCAGCTGTCCCTGCAGGTCTGCATACTTGATGAATCGTACCGGAGTGTACCCGCGGTCTGAACATCTTCATCAAACCCTTTGTCAATGACTGTTCTTTTACTCGACATATATTGGGAAAGTAACTGACTTTTTTGCTCGTTTTCCGCTTACTTTCCGCACATTTCTTCCTTGACCTGCACTAGGAAATTTGACACAGCGGTGACTGGCGTTTGAAATTCGAAAGTGAACGTGGCGGCCACTAGTCCTAATGCAGCCCGCCGTCGCCACCCCCGTCTTACAGCTACGTCGTAAAATCGCTCATCCGAAAACAGTCGCACGGGGAAAAATGTCAGCTTTATTAGCATGGTTTGAAAGATAACATGGTTTGAAAGATAACAGTCGGAATCAAACCTGGCAAATAAAAATGTAACTAGTATAAATTCAATTCTCCAGCGAAATCTAGTTTCTCTCACATTCTCCCCATATTGACGGTGTAGGAAATGGAGCCAGCAATGCAGGCTGCTAATGCCCCGCAATATGCAAAGCCCAACGAGAACATGGGCATTGGTGGTGTGGTGTCGCTTCGCTCAAGATCAAAGTCCCGAGAACGAAAAGGCTCCTTCGACCTCGATAAGTTGGGGGAGATTGAGGACGCAAAGGACGAAGATGCAGGTCTGAGAAACCATAACGATTTTAAGCGAAAGCAGGTTAGACTGCTCTTATTTTCTCATGTTGATTTTAGCTAATGATATGCAGAACTTTAGCCTGGCGCAGGTGTTCATTTTGGCCTACCAGTCTATCGGAACGATCTATGGTGACATTGGTACCTCTCCACTTTATGTATATTCGTCGACATTTACCGCGCCTCCGGATCGACCAGATCTACTTGGCGCCCTCTCACTAATCATCTGGGCTATCACCTTGATGGTGACAGTGAAGTATATATTGATCATTTTGCGCGCCGACAATGACGGCGAGGGCGGTACATTCAGTACCTACTCCTTACTCTCCCGTTATGTAAGTGTGTTTATTAGTGTTTTTCGATGAAACTCCTAATCAAATTAGGCGCATATAGCGAATCGTGACCCACGCGAAGCTACAATGATTCGTCAGTTTCCGTCCCCTCGGGTCTTCTCTAGCTAATAGGGCTGTAGGAATGGAACGATATCTGACGCAGGATCTCAACCGGTCCACCAAGACTATTCGCTCGACCATTGAGAAAACAAAGTTCTTCCGAGGTCTGCTGAAGACGATCGGAGTACTAAGCGTTTCTATGGTCATGGCGGACGGTGTCCTGACTCCTGCCCAGTCCGTACTAGGCGCTGTACAAGGTCTCAATGTTGTCAAGTCTGACATGTCCAAGTCCACTGTTGTTGGCGTAACTTGTGCCATTCTGGTTTTACTCTTCTTACTGCAGCCACTAGGCATTTCAAAGATAACTATTGTCTTCTCCCCTGTAGTTATAATCTGGCTTGCTTTGAATGCTGGGTTCGGAATCTACAACTTGGCCCGGTAAGTCCAGACACATTGATGAACTCGTCTTTTGAACAGCCTGCTGACTTTGTAGGTACGATCATGCTATTCTGGAGGCATTCAATCCGTACTATGCGTTCGACTACCTGAAACGCAACAAATACAACGGATGGCACAGTCTTGGTGGTATCCTTCTTGCTTTTACAGGTGTCGAAGCATTGTTCGCGGATATTGGTGCCTTTAGCCGGCAGGCAGTGCAAATCAGCTGGCTTGGATATGCCTACCCTTGCCTTCTCCTTGCCTACACGGGCCAAGCAGCCTATATCAGCATCCACCCAGAAGCTTATTCCAATCCGTTTTACAACTGCGCACCAAAAGGCTGGTTGATTCCCTCTCTAGTCATCGCCATTGCAGCAGCAATTGTTGCATCGCAGGCGATGATTACTGCGACCTTTCAGGTTTGTACACATTTGATGTTTTCACATTAGGTTCTAACATGTATCAGCTCCTTACGCAAATCATGAAGCTCTCATACTTCCCTCAGATCCGTGTAATTCATACCTCGCCTACGTACCACGGTCAGCTCTATGTGCCAGCGGCTAATTGGCTCCTCATGATTGGAACTGTCATCGTCGCTGCCGTCTACAACAACACGACTTCCCTTGGTAATGCCTATGGCGTTTGCGTCATGTTCGTCACATTCTTCGACACGTGCATGGTAACGCTCGTCGCGATTCTTATATGGCGTATCAAACCATATTTCGTCCTCATCCCATGGCTAACAGTGGCGTGCTTGGATGGCGCTTTTCTTTCCTCCGCGCTCATCAAAGTTCCCGATGGTGCTTGGTTCACCATCTTGCTCGCCACACTGCTTGCCTGTATATTTATTCTCTGGAGATTTGGGAAAGAGCAACAATGGTTCGTCGAGGCGGAGGATCGATTTCCCACCACGCATTTCGTCCGAACATGCGAAGATGGACGTATTCACCTCACTGAGAAGTTTGGTGGTAAGACAATCAGCTCCATCGAAGGATTCGGCATCTTTTTTGACAAGGCTGGCGAGACTACACCAATTGTCTTCAGTCAGTTCGTTCGCAAACTAGTTACGATGCCAGAAGTCATCGTCTTTTTTCACCTCCGTCCTCTCGAAGTACCATCTGTAGCCCATGAGGATCGTTACCATGTCTCCCGACTCGCTATCCCTAATTGTTATCGTCTCGTCGTCCGCCACGGTTACATGGATGAAGTCATTACTCCCGACCTTGGATCGTTAGTCTACGAAAAAGTTCATAATTACATACTAGCCCACGCCTTAGATCGCGAAGGAGAGGAGAGAGGTGCGCCAAAAACCACGGGTAACGACCTTGGCAATGGGAACGGTCTGAATAAACCTAATCACAAAGTTCCAATCACTGAAACGAAAGAATCCATCACGACTTCATCCCGCCCAAGCGCTCGGCAGGCGCCTATGCCGACTTTCAGTGCATCAAGCACTACAGCTAGACTTACGGCCCTCGAGCGCGCTTTTAACCATGAGATTCTGTACATCATTGGCAAGGAGCAGATGAAGATTAAGAGCAGTACCAACTTCATCCGCAAGATTTTGCTGTATATCTTCTTGTTTATTCGAGATAACACTAGAAACAAGATTGCTTCCTTGGACGTTGACCGCGACCGCATTATCGAGGTCGGTTTTGTTAAGAATATATGAATGTCACCGAGCTTTGTCTCTCATTTCCAAAGACCCAGAAAGTTAGCGAAGCGCCAGGCATTAGGCATAGAAGTAAGCTTCAAGAAGCATCGTTTCGCTGCTGGCCTCTATGTAGCATATGCATTTTCGCCTTTTGATAATAAAATTGATAATCTTCATCTGGCCCGACCTGACACCCCACATTTCGCTCCCAATTACAGGCTAGCACCACCTCTTGAACGGTTGGCATGGCTTTGCTGCCATCGGCGTGGTGAGAAAAATGCTTAGCAACGAAGCTTGGGTATGGCGGGTGACAACCGAAAAGCAAAATTGTAACATTAGATAGAAGGCTCCCCTCCGTTACCAAGTACTATTTGAGTCTCGCCCTCTCCCCGAATCGCTGAACCCACATGCGCGAGATTTTGTGTAAAGTTTTTATCAGTTATCATATTTTTAATTCGAGTAATTCTCAACATTTAAGGGACTCTGACACTTCAAGAAGAATGGCGAGCGGAGAACTGACTTGACTAATTCGCAATCGACATTGCTTTGGCTTTGCTCTTTCTCTACAAAATATCCGTAACTACTAGCCAAGAACCTTCTGGCATGAGTTGCAAGTAACTCTCTAGTTATCTCGCAATATGTACGCCAAAATTACACTGCATTAGTTGCTGCGCTGCTAATTTTACAATTAGGATGCTCAGGTTTGTCCCCAAGATATGATTTCTTTCCCAGATACGATTTGTCTATCGCCAAGGATAGTACGAACGCCAAGGACAACGTTGTCATTTCGCGATGCGGCCAAGACAGCACGGCTCCGCCTCACCTGGTCACGCCGGTCTCTACCTTAAAGGCACGTGAAGCGGAAGAGGTTTGCCCCACTATTGCCTTGTTTTTATGCCTTGTTTTCAAGCACTACTTCTTCCCAGACCAGGACCACACTTGAATCAGATTTGACCCTCATCAACAACGACTTTGAACACACATATTGCTTTCTTTTGACCCAACGTCAAGCTTCCGACGTCACCCCACCTTCTGCCTCACCAATCCCGCCACATCAACTCTACTGCCAATTGCGGCCGAACTGGGAGGAGAAGCCAGTTCCACCACCCAACACTGAGCTCCATGTATTCCACGCTTTACGATTATCTTACCTTTGTCCACGGCTTAGACTGTCGGACAAAAGCTCGCAGACGCGAATATTAGTATGTCATCATTGTGTGAATCCAAAATGATTTTCGCTGAGTCGCCTTTGCAGGCTACATAGCACAAGAGCTGCAACACTATATTGGTTTGCATAGTTAGTTTTTCTGGTTGACTGTGACTGTTTATTGTGGTGCCACCGTTTCGCAGCAGCACCATCCCGCTATGGGTACTGAACCAGCACCAACTGCCAATGCTGCCTCGAGCCATTCACCATCGACAACAGATCGTTCCTCTGAAGCAACCAGGAAGAAAAGCATTGGCGCCCAAGCGGGTAATAATGCCAAGTCGAGTCGTCCTCCACTGCCACGGCAAAAGTCAACTATCAAGGCAGCCGATGTGCGCGCAAGATTTCGGGAAGATATATATGGCCACCATGAGCATACCATTCATAGTTACAGCAATCGTGGAAAGTCTTTCAAGATGACCCGCCATCTCAAAGAGCAGCAGATACGGCACGTGGCATCAAAGTGGTTCAAGAGGCTGCGAAAAGAGACGGCAGATCCTGCTGTTGCGCAAAACATGTCCGATCCCGCTCAAGTCCTCTCCCGTAAATACGGCAAATGCGGTGATGTACTCGGATGGGGTGCCTTTGGTACAGTCCGTGTTTCCTACAAAATCGACGAGAAGAATCCGAGTAGCAAGCAAGCCTTTGCAGTAAAAGAGCATAAGCAGCTCGAAGGAGAATCGGATGAAAGGTACCACAGGCGCGTAATTTCAGAAGTCAACATCTCATCTTCGCTGCATCACCAAAACATTCTTGCTACTTTGGATCTTCTGCAGGACGACAAGGGCGTGGAATGCCAGATTATGGAGTACTTTCCTGGGGAGGAATTGCACTCAGTTATCCTGCATGCCGGTGAACTAGAAGAAACAGAATCTGATTGCTTCTTTAAGCAGTTGATACAAGGAATAGTGTATATGCACGAGATGGGCGTGGCGCATCGCGACCTCAAGCCCGAAAACGTCCTTCTTACTACAAGTGGATTAGTCAAGATCATCGACTTTGGGAATGCCGAATGTTTCCGTGCAGCCTGGGAGACAGAAGCACGCATGAGTTCTGGAATCTGTGGCTCTTTGCCGTATATCGCTCCAGAAGAATTTACACTCAAGGAATTCGACCCCCGCCCCCTAGATGTATGGGCTTGCGGTATGATCTACATGGCCATGCGAACTGGCGAGAATCCGTGGCGCGCTGCACGGCCGGATGAGGATGAAAAATATAAGGAATACGTCGAAAAACGCAAGACGGAAGCTGGCTACGAGCCTATTGAATGTCTGAGACGTGTAAGTTCCCAAGGAGTTTCAACATATCGCTCGCTGACTTCAATTTAGCGCCAATGCCGGAATGTCGTTTACTCTATCCTCGAACCTAGTCCCATGCGCCGTTTGACAGCTCACCAAGTTCGATCGTCTGAATGGGTTAAGCAGATTCCGCTTTGCTGTCCAGACACGACAAACGACTAAATGTCGACGCAGCTGACTTGTTTCTGGCGCTTTCACTCTTTTATTCGTTTTTTTTTTCTTCTATTCGAATTATGCAAACCAAATTGAAGCAATGCTTAAAATTTTCTGTTAGTCATCATCGAGGGTAGCATCAATAGCAATTATCTTACCCATAGACAATGATTTGCTAATTAAGCTGAGGCCACTGTTTCACAACACTCTACCAAACACAAACAGAAGAAATTGCGTACAAGTCATCAAAGAAAAACTTGCTAATAATCGTTGATAATGGGGAATTGATTCAAAGTGAATCTAGAGCTCAGAGAAACATAACAAATGTTCTGCTAAATGTAGAATTCAGTGCGCGAATGCTTTACTCTGTGTATACCTCGAGTTTAACCTTTCCAGCAGTTGGTCCCAAATACTTACTACTTGGCAGTTTTGCCTCAGCAATTCTCCATCCCACTAGTAATCTAACAGTCATCGACGCATACCTTCTTTATTGTGAGCGCATCCAAGGAGTCAGGTCTCAACATGTGTCTAACACGACATTGCTTATCCTCTTCCATTCAAATCGCCACTACTAAACGCGTTCATCCTTGATGTAAAAGATGTAAGTGCGTGTTTTGGTCGAGTGTTGCATCGGCTAAACTGTTGCACGCGCTACTAATTAGGTACAGTATTGCGGTGTCTATAACACCGAGTTGTGCTGTCAATTGAGGTAGATTGAACCAGGATACGAAAAAAAAAACTATAGATTCGCTTTGTTTAACAATGAGATTGTGCTAGATAGTGCGATCCACCTTAGTGTTATCTCCGGGGATGACCAGATTGTTCATTTGAAGCTAAAGTATGATAACTACTTACAGAATCTTTTCGTTATCGAGGTCGATTGATTTCCCATGTGTCTATACTCTGTCATAAAGCCATTCCGAAATCACTGTTTCCACTGTAGGCGTGTTGCCCACGCAAGTGTTCCAAACTATCCTGTGCGCTTCCCAATTGCCACCGTGACATTATTCACCGCGTGTTCAGGAGGTCTCAGGTTTGTATTTTTGAACTTCCTTGCCGAAAGTTTTCTTTCGAAGAGTGCGTCCAATTCCCCAAATGACCTATTTTTCGGTTCTGGGAGCCGGAACCAACTCCATATGATACCGATGATGCTTGTGCCAGCCCAAAAGAAGCCGGTTAGCGCACCCCAACCCCACGCTGTGGGATTGAGCATGAGCGGTGTGATGACGTTGGCGACGATGCTGGAGATGTTGTAGCAATTGCGTGCGAGAACAATGGTCTTGCTGCGTAATCGCGTGGAGGGAATCTCTGATACAAGAGCGTAGCATATAGGGCCAATCGTTGCATCGTATGTGAGAGTGAAGGCTAGCAACAGCGCAGCGATGGACCAATTGAGTGCGTCAGGCGGTACATCCGCGACTGTAGGTGGGATAATGTTAGTAGCAGGGCTAGCAACAGTGACGGTACGGCGCCCGGGTATACACGCCAAGATGCCGATGGACAAGACAAAGGCGAAAGTCAATACTTGGCCAAAAAGGTATAGGCTGCGGCGCCCATAGAGGATCATCAGAGTCCAGGATACGACGACACCGAGAAGGCCAAGCGCAAACTGACCCAGTGATAGACTAAAAGCATATGAAGCACCCAGACCGGCTTGTTCATCTATGCTATGTGAGTCAAAAGTACATAGCACTCGAGCGGGATTAACTTACAAAAGTATGTTGAGAAGCCCATGAACGAACCACCGCATAGTGTTTGAACCGTCCAAACCATACACGTAATCTCTGTTCGTCGTCTGTCAATCCCTTTGAGGCAGTCTTTGTAGCTCGTTCCGCTCTGCATCAGCAATTCCTTTTCGTTCGTCTGTACCATTGTGTGCATTGTAGCGTCTAGCCCAGCATCGAATTCGGCATCAGAGACGTGCTTGGGTTTGGTTCGTAAGCGGCGAAGGGATTTCTTTGCATCAGCGAAGTTGCTTTGCCTGATGAGCCACCATGGAGACTCCGGTGCAAGGTACACGGCGACGAGTATCGGTACGGGGAAAATCCATTGGAGCGCAAATGGTTTGCGATATGACCATGAAGAAGTGTCAGTGATCATGCTGCGCAACACTATTGAAGCAACAAGTTGTCCGAGTACCCAGCATGCATTGACATATCTGTATCATGTTCAGGTATTTGGCGATAATTATGGGAGAGGTGGAATATACGTACGTTGTCAAGTAAGCTCTGAGAGCTACAGGGCAAACATCGGCTGCGTAGACTGTAGAGATGCATTGGAACATTCCCCAGGGCATCCCCAACATAAATTGGCCAACCAGCAACACCACCTTGGTTGTAGCGAAGAATGGTATCAGTATGAAGAGAGCCATCGCGGTCAGTCCAGTCATGAGAGCGCGTCGGTATCCAATGCATTCGGCTAGAGTGCCTGTAACGAAGAGTCCTAGAATCTGACCTGCGAGACCCCCATTGACAAATGCACTCTGCCAAGTAGCGCTGATCTCATAGTCCCCGTTGGGTTGTAAGCTACCAAATTTCTCTTTGAAAGGGGCCATGGCGAACAAGTTGGGTACCAGGATAGTGGAGTACCCTTCCATGATGAGGGTCATTGACAATAACACTGACCACGTGATGGCTTTTGGGTAGAGCCTGATACCCTGTCTGAGTGTCATTGAGCATTCAGCATTATTGACCGCCTCTATTGCGCGATTAGGGTTGTCCATAATGGGTTGCAATGACTCTGATATCGAAACTGTCGGTGGAGAAGGTGAAGTGTCTGCGGTACTGGCTAAACTTGACGAACCCCTGGTGTGTAGACCCACGGGCTGCTGTTCAGAGTACGTGGATTTATGTGTCAATTTCTTATCAAGGGACGACATGATGTTATCGATTTGTAAAGGAGATCAAAAAAGGGTCTTGAGGATGTGTGATGAGAGTATGAAACTTGAAAGCAGCCAGAAGATGGGATTGAGGCATACCTGGGTGTCACCCCGCACATAAAGAGCCTGGCTTTCGTAAACAAGATGCAGAAAGTTTTAGCCATCAGATAAAATAATCGGGATTGTACAAAGTTTAAACAAAATGCCAATGGTGTCCGGCATGGGCAGTCGAATGGTACAAAGTGTTGAGTGCGGGCTGCGCTAGATAGCGCATGAAACTAGTACGCGCCTAGGTACGGGGTGCATGGATGGCTTTATACATGCGAACATCGTAGGTTCGATATTGGTCAAGTGCGGATATAGCGAATGAGATTCCAGGGCACCACAGTTTCAATAGTTTGTGGCAGCTCCGCATGGACCCAGAGAATAATTCGGGGTGCATAGCGTACCTGAACCAGCTTTAGGGAACTCGAGCTCTAACCGCAGTGAGTTACAATGGTTGCTGGAGTGCGCAACTGCAGTACCGTTGGTGGGTCAACTCAGAGAACGGCGAACTTACTTGTGAGTTACCCTCATTGGGGTCGTCTGGGTCCATATTTTCGGATCGGCCCGCTGAGTAGTCCTGTGTACTGTCCACCTGCGCCGTCCCTTACGTCACGACTGGTAAAGTTTACACAAAGGTCAAAGTGCCATCATCTCATAGACCTTAGTAGAGCGCCCTTCATACTAATGCACAGTGCCATGTTTGTTGAGTAGGAGTAGCCAGATAGGAGTGCACTAAACATTGATGCGAGGCGATTCACTTTGCGGAGTTGGATGTACGGATCTGATTTATGGTTCCTGTATCACATGTCTATGCTTGTAACACTTGTTGAATCTACCAGACATGCTACTACTTTGCAGCAGCAGCAGCAGCTTCCTTCTCTTTCTTCTTTCGCTCAACCTCAGCCATCTTGGCAGCTTTCTTCATGGCGTTCTTGGTCATTGGCTTGCCATCGGCATCTAGCATCGGACCCCCTTCGGTCTCTTCTTTTGGTTGCTCCAGCTTTGGTTTAGTGGGGTTCGGGTTGCCCTTCCACTCGAGCTTCCTTGGGCGGAGGAACTCGTCTAGAATCTCATCTGTGACCTTCGTCCTTGCTTCTTGGAACCTCTTGGTATATGCTGTCATGGCTTCAATGCATTCTTTCTTCATCTCACCAGTCAGCAGTTCGCCCTTGCGGTAGTCTTCGGCGAGCTTCTTGAGCTTCTCGTCGTCATCCTCAAAATAAGCGATATATTGGTAAGGTACGTCAATGTCAGGGTTTCCTCCCTTCTCACGATGAAGCTCAAGTGTTTCCTGACCTCCCGAGAATGCTTTGGTGTTGATTTTGTTCTTCACTTGTTTTGCAGTATCACTCATGAAGATGGCTGAATTGGCATTTGAGGCGCTCATTTTACCGCCGGCGCCTTGAAGTGCTGTGAGAAACTTGGAGTGAATAAGCGCAGGCTTTGGTGAAGGGTTGTCCATGCGATTGCAGTTCTCGCGGACAAGGCGGAAGTACGGGTCTTGATCAATGGCACAGGGAATGAGACAGGGCGTCGCAGCGAGCTTCTTTGATCGGCGGTAGGTCTTGTAATCTTCACCCCAAATGAAGGGGTACGACGAGGCAAATGCAGCGACACATTGCTTGGCAGCAAACGCGTTGCTGCCGATATTTGTAGAGCCATGGAAGCCGAATGCGCCACGGACCTGGTTGTTGGTGATGAGCTTTTCAAACTCGGTCGTGTTCAGGTTGAAATGTCTGTTGTATCCCGATGTGAAGAACTCCGAGTCGATGTACATGAAAGTCTTCTTAACGTCAAAGCCAATGGATATGATATCCTTTGCGTTTTGTCGGGCAAATTCGTACACTTCCTCTTGCTTCAGCTTTTCCTTGAAGAGGAACTTTTCGTCGTCTGTCAACATGATGACCAATGGTACGTCGAAGACATCCTGTAGCCACTTGGTGAACTCGAAGGGGATGGTATGGCCAATGTGCATAGCATCGCTGCTAGGTCCACGACCCGTGTATAGGAGAAAGTCTTCGCCACGCTCGTATGTGTCAAGAATCAAGTCCAGGTCTCGGTGAGAGAAGAAAAGACCGCGCCGTAGCCAGCGATGTGGCTTGTGGCCGGTCACGCGCTCGAATCGCTCAAGAAGCGGTTGGTCTATGAGCTTTGTTGCCCACTGTTCTGAGATCTTGACATAGTCAAATTCCTTGACGTTTCCGTCCTCGTCGACCGCAGCTTGCACATCCCACGGGTTGATTTCCTGTTCGGTGGCTTTGGAAACAGGCTGCGTGGCTGTGTCGGAGATGGACAGGGCGGCCACCGCCGGCGGCTCGGGCTCAGTCATTACGGCGATGAGATAGGACAAATGTGTCGATAAAGAATTTCAGCGGATCTAGGTATGGAGGGAGTCGAGATCAAGAGGACCGGCGATGATTCATCACGCGTTGACTCAATGGCCAATTAATTAAAATGGCACCACCCCGCTTCAATTTGATGTTGCCGCACCGCCTCAGCTGCCCCGCACTGCGCCACACGTCAGCCACACGATCGGAGGTGGGCAAGTCGCAGTGCCGACGAACGACCGAGCGACCGAGAGGCAAAACTGATCACAGGCAGAGCTTCAGATGCTTCTGCCGCTTGTCGTCACACCACCATCTTCACACTACCCCCGCTCGGCATCTCTCTCCTGCAACGGCCTTCCCAATTGTCCATTCGCAATTGGATACTGCTGACCATGCGACTTCGTTACCTGAGATAGACCACCGTCCGCTACAGGTTCATCTAACCTTCTACTTACCAATTACTCCACCTGCCCTCTGCATCTCCACATAAACCTGCACAGGAAGCTCTAGAAGCGTCAATAAGACACCAAAATGGTCAAGTTCTACTCGTCGAACGAAACTTACTCGTATCCTTTCTCGGCTGTTTCCCTTGCCTACTTCCTGCGCTATCCAAACCCGTACTCCACTCACGTGCTCTCCACCGACACCATCGCCCGCCATTATGACCCCGAGACCCAGCGTCTGACTACTATACGGCTACACCTCAAGCGCTCCAAACTTCCCTCTGCTGTGCTCAAGCTCGTCCCTCGGTCTCTGCTTGGTGCATCGGCCGGCGGCGAATCGCAGTCTTACATTCTTGAGAAGTCGGTTGTGGATATCAAGGAGGGATGGATGGACACTGAGTCCCGCAATCTGGAGTGGACAGGAGTTCTGTCCGTAATTGAAAGGCAGAAGTTCACTCGCCCTTCTTCGCTCGCGTCTGACCACGCTCGGGTTCGGCAGGGCTCGGAAAGCCCCGCTCTACGCCACGGCTTCATCAACTTCAACAACAAGGGCAATGGTGTCAAAGTGGAAGACAATGGTGAGACTACAGATGTGACAAGCTCGGTCACGCTGCACAGTCACATTGGCGAGACGTGGAAGAAGAAGCGCGAGGCTGCTAGAGAGGGCATTATGGAAGAGGAACAGCCTCAAAAGATGGGTCTTTTGCGAAGCTGGAGCACCGCAGCTCTGCAACGCAATATTGAAAAGATTGGTCTCTCGCGCGCGCAGCGAAGCCAGCCAAACGCGCGTGAGGGCATGAAAGTTGTGCTCGAGCGCATGCGCGAAGGCGGCCTGGTCGGCGTACTCGAGGGCATGCGACGGGACCGGGAAGCGATCATGGCAGGGCAACCATTAGCCGCGCCGCGTGCAGCGAAGACGGATGAATAACTTTGTCGACATCACAAGGCAACGGTGTACGCAGTGATCTTTTGTGTGAAAAACAACGATTTTATGGTTTTGTATGAATATCAAGCGATGGCGTAACGGTCTCTCCCCCTTTCTCCCTCTATCATTGTCTCTCTTCTCTCTCTGGTTTTGGGGCTGGTTTGGATTTGGAATTTTGATTCTAGTGGTGCTGATTTGCTATCGGCAGTTTTGGAAAAGTTGATTTGAAGACGATGATGTCGGATTGGTGGATGTTTTGTATTAAACAACAATCATTCACGGCCTTGGCTCTGTTGAAGTCGCGGTGGCGTAGAACACAGACGTGTCAGCGTTGACGTTGCTACGCCGTGTATTAAAATCATTTTCCCAAGGCCTCTTTGTTCGTTCTTCATGTTTTTGCAGGTGATTTTGTGAGAAATCCCGAGTAAACAATATACATACTATCCACATGCTCTTCTCCTGCACACGATTCCGCTTAGTCCAATCTTATCATTTTAACAATACATCTTGTGTGAAGAACACCCCCGCAAATCGACAAACAAGATCGACGGCGAAATCTTATCGTAAGCCTGTGCCTGCGAAGTCTTCCAACAAGTCTCCAGCTGAGCCTGTCTCAATTTCGCTGGCCGCACCGCCGCCGTTGAATTGGTCTCCGTCTCCGTCGTGTGGTGCTCACACGTCGATGTCGTCGAGCAAGTCGAGCTTGTAGACGCAGGATACGGGCTACTGGTACCGTGTATATTGCATAGTTCATATGTGTCCTGTCCAGCGCACGGGGATACGCCAGATGTCTGCTGCGCAAACATCTTGCGTGGGAAGTGAATGAAGGCTGTGAAGTGGAACGTTGACGATTTATCCATCTTTTTGAGATTTTGTTAGAGACTAGCAGCAGGTGGTAAGTAAAGCAGTTCTCTACTACTTGGAATACTGCCAGTGGGCTACACGTCATCTTTAACTACGCTCGATCGCTATCACAGCCGTGGCTTCTTCCTATATTTCGGCTACAATTTCCCAGTTTCCTCATCTTCTTTCTTCCCTGCTACCGGGTATCCTTCCCTCCAAAAAAATATAATTGCTCTTGTAACAGGGCAGAAAAGCCGATGTATCGCTTGGGCACCCGTTTTGTGCTACGTGCGCGCTGTTACATTGAGCTCTTTTGCCATCCAACCCACCGTTTTTACTACGTTGTACGATGGCGTTTTTGGACGACTGTACGGGAGACGGTAACGCGGACACTATTAATCTGCGGGCCCTTCCTTCGATTGGGATTGTGTACCAGGTGGAAGAGGTGTGGAGGGAGAGTAAGCTAGTGGAAGGTGGGATAGCCAGATGAGGTTTTATATGGATGTTTGTGGCTAGTCTGATATTTTCTTCTCTCTTTATTTTCGATTCAAAGCCCGTTAAATAATGAACTCGATTCAAGGAGGTCCAGAAAAAAAACTAGGATTGCAAGATACAGGCGACGGTGGAGACTGACGAGGCCGAGAAAAATATGAACTGTATACCAGTATTATATCCCTCTGTCATTACCTGTCAGCTGTCACTTTCTTGAATGCACCTCTCCGTCTCCACGCGAACACCCTGTATCTTTCAGACACAACATGGACCTCTTCCCCCTTTCCCACGTACCTATACCTTTTCTCGAGTCTGAACCGTACCACCCGCGGCCCAGATCCGATCGATCCGCACCCATTCGTTACACCGAAAAAAACACCCTCGGCTAAGACTTGAGTTTGAACTTGAATCGTTGCACACGACTAGTTTGGTGTTATTTCGGTGGCTTGGAGAAATGGTGGGAGCGGGATGCAAGGATTGACTAGATGTGTGGGTGACGAGTTGTACAGTGGGTTTCCCGTAGGGAAGGATGCAAACCGGGTGGAGGTGGGCACAAAGGGTGCTGTAGTTGATACCTAGTAAATTTGGTGGATGCTAGTTTAAATGCACTTGGGAAAGGTGACATTGCATGATGAGTAGAGGAGAGCAAGATGGATGTTTTGATTGGTTGGGTGAAGAGGTGGAGATGCAGATGAAATGACGCCGGGCTGGATGTTCGTGTTTCTTCTGGCAAGCCTACTCCGTTATCGTGGGCTTCAATAGAAGAACAGGTTGGTCTGGACTACGAAACACGATTATAATAGCGCGTAGTTTAGAATCATGATATCTCCAAGATCGCTGCTACCAATGCCATCAATATACTGTTCGTGAAATAATTTGAGGTTTTCCTCATTTGTCCCCTTCTAGTACTTCAAAACAACACTGCTATTTCATTCGGCAGAATCTCGATCCGTCGCGATCCTATTCACAATCCTGCTTTAGATATGTTTACTGCATGTAGTCTATTGTTTTTTATAATAAAAACACATTAGCCCGACACTAGCCAGTTTTTCTCGGTGCATCCATTTAAAGACTAGTTCCGGCATTTCCGGTATTCTGTTTTGATGTTAGGCTAACGTTTTGGAGTAAATGCATGCGAATCCATCCAAATGGGGATTTATGGGCTAGTCTATGTTTCAACCGCACTCTAATCCAACGAGCTCTCCCTTGTATACACAATATGGGTTGATCCGTCGGCATGACCCATCGAGGCTTTAGGTAGGGCAAAAAATTTGAATATACGTATGCACACAATACGGATTGAGCCGTTAGACCAGCGGATGGAGTTTCGCGCGAATTCTTTAGAATAATGTTCACATTAGTCATTGATCTATGAAATACATATATAAATCATGTAGTAGGCACTTCCTTCTGGGCTCACACATCTTTCATAATCTCTGAACAATACAGGAACCAACTACTACATTTCTGAGAATCTTTATCTTCTACAGCCAACATGAAGCTCTCTTTTGCTCTGTCGCTTGCATTTGCTTCACTCGCATTGAGTGCTCCACAACAAACCGAAACTCAAACCCCACCACGAGCCGTTACTGCATCCCGAACCGTAACCCCCCCTGGACAGCACACCAGTATTCGGCTCGCTGTTGCACCCCAAGCTGGAGAAGAGGAGAAATAGTTTCTTATGTGGGACTTGAATCGTCCCGAAATTCTCCAGGTAAGTCCCTACAAAGATACCATCGAATCGGTCTTACTTTCTCTGACCCCAATATAGTGTTGCTGAACCGCTTTAAGTAATCACTTCTGTTGATGAAACTGTCAAATTAAAAAAATCATCGATGATTGACCTGGACATGAAGTTGAGGCCAAGCTGAAATGCTCTAGCATGGAAAGCATACAAAGTCGTCAATCCCGACTGCATGCAACACAGTGGTGGGGATCATGAAGTGTAATGCGATAAATTGTTAAACCATATTATAACTCATTGATTTGTAGAGGGAAGATTGACAAACTATGTGAACGTGATCAAGTTTGAGTGACTCCTACGTGGGGAAAAGAAAACAAGAAGCAATAAAAGCAGCCAATTTGTGATAAAAAAAAAACCAAGAGATTAACGAGAAATGTGTGTGAAGACCTTGAGTTGAGGTGCTAAAAAGCGTCAGTTGTGCTTGGTTCGGTAACCATTTCCAAGTGAATTCCCCTTCACCTGCAACCCCAGATACATGATCATTTATCGGCGGCAGGCATCGGGGACATAGTACGAGCTCCTTCATCCTCATGCTTAACATCAGCATGGTCAACCAGCCCTTCTGAAACTTGCTGGTGATATTCCAGCAGTGCCTCAATGATCTGTAAGGCCACCTTATGGCTGACCATGTCCTTGATTTCAGCCCACAGCTCTGCATCGAGGTTGGTAGCCAGAGTTTCCACGACAATCTCCCGAAACCGCTTTGGTACGTCATGATCCTTGAACGCGTGCTTGAATACTACTTCCATGACGCGATCACCTGGACCAGGTCCGTATCCCAACAAGGTTTTGAGCGATGTGTCGTTGGCCATAGCGTCTTGAATACAGTCGGTGACGGCATTGTACAGCTTGGAGTGACAGAACTCACTCAGTGCTTTGATACCCAATTGTGTGGCGAGCTGTAGTGTGTTGTAGAGCTGTTGCGGGTCTTCGCAGTTCAGTTTTCCTTGATAGATCCAATCCATTGCCGTTTGAACAGTGTCTGGCTCTGATCCAGGTATAAGGATACGTTTCTGAGCTGCAGCTCGCACAACATCATCTTTGGCTCTAGCAATCTCCCTCTTGTTGATACGGTGGATTGCAGCGAACAGTTTCTCTGTAATTGCGTGCAAACCAAAGGCATCGATGTATGTTAGACGTACTTTCGTATTGTTTTCTCGAATGGCGTCGTGTAACATGCGTGCTTTGACACGCTTCAACTCCACCTGTACTTGTGTTGCCTCGTCGATCACTTTCTTGATAGCCGGTCCATAGCCAGTCATAGGGAACCTCTCGTACGCGCGGATGATCAGAGGCAGTGCCTACAGGTATGTTAATATGGTGTCTTCATACTGATGCCGGATCGAACGGACTTTTTCTGTAATGGTAATGATAACATAGTCCGTTCTTTCCACGTTATCTCAGTAAGCTTACCTTTTCGTCGTGATCACCAGCTGCAAACTGCTCTGCAGTGACCTCTGGGAAGACATGTGGTGCGATCTGGTCACGAAGGTGATCACTCTGTTCAAACTGCTTTCTCAGAACCTTGGCCTGAATGAAGCGCTCTTCGAGAAGTTTGCTATGGCAACATAGGAGCTCTTCATGTATAGTAAGCTTGGTAGAGAGATCTGGACCACACTCAATCTCGACGGGAGTCTGCATGAGCATCCTGGAAGCAGTGTTAGTCACTGAGCATTGAGGAACAATCAGACACTCACTGGTGCGGCTTAAACGGTTTTAGCTCAGGACCAGGTGACGAAATCAGAATCGGATTAGAGGTCTCGCCGATGCTCGCGTGCCTCTCCGAAGAAGTGGGAGGTGTAGTATAGGGCGTAGACATGGTGTCTTGGCGAATTGAGCGACCTTTGGTGGATGTTGGAAGAGAAGAGAAGGAAAATACAGGCCTAGATGAGATTTATATATGCAGTATCGATGGTTTGTATCTGACATTGTCCTTCACCCGGAGAAAAAAAGGCACAAGGTGGTTGCTGGGCCAGGGTAACAAAGGTGAGAGAGATGCAAACCCCACTGATACTGTGAGATTTGCCGCAGGAACAGGTTTATATTAGGCTTCCCACCGGAATTTTCTGTAAGCTGGCTATCTGGACTCATCATAGCTACATGTTGAAAGACGCTGGAAATGTGATAAATACACCAATGAGTGTCAATGTGTGGTAAAGGTACTCCATAGTGGTTGCAGCAGGTGAAGTTCCCAGAGCAATACGTGAAACTCATAGACAGCATGAAAATGGCGGCTTCAGCGCGGTGCTACATGGGAGGTGTGTGTGAATGTAGGGACATGGGGGAGAAGAGCAATGACGATGTTAAGGAGCGGTGCACGGGCGCTGCCCCGCCGCGATGGTGTTTGGTGAGTGTCGACACCACAACCAGACAACGCGCCACCATGGCCAAACTCCACCGTGAGCGCGTCGAACACGCGTTGAACGAATTGCTGGTGCGCATAGTACCCGAGGATCCCAATGATGACGAAGAGGCCGCCAACCAGCGCTTCGAAGACGCGTTTGAGTTTGCCATTGACGAACTCACGTCGGCAGGAGATCCCGCCCTGGTCCCAGATGTCCACCACATCGCTAGCCTGATGGACCGCAAGGGTGAGTGATAATGCTGCATGTTATGTGGTTATATATGGAAAAAGAATACACGTTACTAACATGGAACAGTTTCGGGCCCACGAAACGATCAGCACAAGAGCGCCCGTCTGCACAATCTGCTCTCGCGCCTCGAGACACAGACAGTACTGGACCAGAAATGGCGAATGCTCTACTTCCTATACAAACTCTCAGATAATGGCGAACCAGTTCCAAATGCACCTGTAGCCCAGGACCTGCGCAGCTTTCCCCGAGAGCCCACTACGCCTTCCAAGCGCGCCTCTGCCCCGGCATTCCAAGACGCCTTTGCGAAGCCTGGCCTTGCCCAGCTACCTGTCAATGCTGGCTCACCTAAAGCGCCTTCACGTCCACCAACTATTGCCGAAAAGCCAGAGAAGCGACGCGAAAGGCGCTCCCAAGACACGACCAAAGAGCAGCAGGCAAAAACAACAAATGCCACAGAAAAGCCAGAATTGGGCCCCTCAGAACCGACCCTATTACGTGAGCTGCCTTTCACGTTGCAGGGCTACTCGTCTGCCAACCTGACGTTTCCTTCTTCGACAGCCCTCAAACTTCCACCGACCCTCCCTGTGCCCATTATCAGCCTTCTGCATACCCTCGCCGAGCCCGCCATCTTGTACAAAGGCCTTGCCGAGTTTGTAGATGAGAGCCAAGGCGGCCTGATAGAGCAGAGTTTCCGCGCCGCCTTGGCTAAGGAGCTGAGGGCATACCTCGGCCTGGTTGCTACGCTCGAAGGCCAGATCAAAAGGGCTTTGGCACAGCTCGGTGAAGGCTCAGCGCACCAGGGCGCCAGCAAGGCCGGTGTCACTCTCAAGCGGTGCGTCATATGGATCAGAGAGCCGACAATGGGCCTGCGACTCATGAGTCTGATGGTGGAAGAATCAAAGAAGAAGAAAGGCGGCGAGTTGATTGCACTCATCCATTCCTTCTCTCTCAACCACGGCGACCCCTACGTCATGAACTTTGCTGAGCGTCTTCTTTCCGACGTCACCCGCCCGTTCTACGACATGCTGAGGCAGTGGGTCTACGATGGCGAGCTGGCTGATCCATTCGCGGAATTCTTCGTTTCTGAGCAAAGCGAAGACGAGATTCTCGAAGCAAATGGCCACGAGGGCAAGGGCGGCGCCACAAGTGTATGGGAAGACAAATACAGACTCAACGATAAGATGGTTCCTACCATTGTCACTGAGGACTTTGCAAAAAAGGTGTTCCTCATCGGCAAGACACTCAACTTTATTCGCTATGGCTGTGGAGATGCAGCATGGGTTGACACTTACTCTAAAAAGGCTTCCAAGGAGCTGCAATATGGCGATACCGCAAATCTGGAGCGATCCATCGGTGACGCCTACAAGACCACTATGGCCCGTCTTATTGACCTCATGGCGAACAAGTTCAAGCTATTTGACCATCTGCAAGCACTGAAAAAGTACATGTTGCTTGGCGCTGGTGACTTCATTGCCGTACTTATGGAATCGCTCTCGTCAAATCTCGATAGACCTGCCAACACTCAGTACCGACACACGCTCACCGCTCAGCTCGAGCACGCTGTCAGAAACTCCAACGCCCAATTCGACACGTCGGACGTTCTTCGCCGACTCGATTCTCGCATGTTAGAGCTGTCGCATGGCGAGATCGGATGGGACGTATTCACCCTCGAGTACAAGATTGATGCTCCTGTAGACGTCATTGTGACTCCATTTGGCTCCAAGCAATATCTTAAAGTCTTCAACTTTCTATGGAGGGTAAAGCGTGTCGAGTTTGCTCTTGGTTCCACATGGCGCCGCTGCATGACCGGTGCTCGCGGCGTCTTGGGTACCGTATCAGACAAGATGGGGTCTGACTGGAAGAAAGCGCGCTGCGCCATGGCCGAGATGGTACATTTTGTCAACCAGCTTCAGCACTACATTCTTTTCGAGGTTATTGAGTCTTCATGGATCGATTTGCAAAGAGCGCTCAATAAACCAGAAAGCACACTCGATGATATGATCGAAGCCCACGCAAGGTACCTCGACAACATTACCAGGAAAGGTCTCCTTGGAAGCACTACTACAGATTTCACCGCGCAACTGCACGAGCTACTAAAGACCATGTTAGCATACAAAGACGCGGTAGATGGTCTATACTCGTGCTCAGTTGCAGAATTTACTCGAAGACAAGAACATGCTGCCAAGATTGAGACGCGAACCGCAGCTGGCAGGTGGGGTCTCTCTGAAAAGGACAATCACGGCAGCTCGACTCCAGATCCTTTTGCGCGATCACGCGCAGCTTCTACAAACCAGGATGCTGACTCGCCTTTCCCTCCACCCTTGCTGAAAATGGGTATGACTGGGTCTGTCGAAGATGACGTACTACCAGCACTTCAAAAGCGCTTAAGTCATCTGGCTGAGGACTTCAAAGCCAGGATCAACCTTCTCCTTGGCGACCTGGTGCACTCCCCTGATGGCGAGCTCAAAATGTTGGCTGTCAATATTAATTTCAACGATGTATACAAGGTTGAGCGAAGACGAAGGAAAGGGTCTCAGAAACGCGACAAGGACAAAGAGACGTCCAAAGTTGACACTTCTGCAGCATGAGTGTTGGTGTAATTTGTGGCGTTTAGCACGACATTGACACCCCAAGTGCTTTGCTAGGAAGTTACTACGTCTGACATTTCTCCAATTCAACGTTTCTATCTCCTTTGCCACACTTCACTTCGTCGGATACAAATTCAAAAAAAAAAGGGGGGGGGGGGGGGGTATATTATTTTGCATGCCTTCAAACTAAGTTGACAAATCATTTTCAGCATTCGTGATGCTTATGACATCCTATAGGCGATACGTTACATCCACTTGAAGAAAACAAAACACATCTAAGAAAAATGTTCATCACGCATTCCCCGCGCTAAGTTTTGATATAGGGAATGCCAGTCAACTTGAATGTCCGCTCATTCATGACCGGCTTATTGACCGGCTCGAAGCGGTTGTATGGATCTTCCACCCCATCCCTCGTAGCGACATTGGAACCAGTATGCATCGCATTCGGCCAATGAGTTGTACCAACCCACCTCTCATAGGCATCCTTCTTGCGAATCAAATCCTCCTGTGAAGCATCCGCCACGGGCATATAGCACGTGTATATCGCAAACCTCGGCTGATGAGTCTTCGAGGCCAGATTGTAATGCGGCGTGCGGCTATCCCAAACAAGTAGATCGCCTGGGTCCGCGCAGACCTTGGTCCATGTGAGACCTTTGTCTGCCAGCCACTTCATGCCGTTTTCAGTAAAGCCGAACCATTCGGGTGTCCACGCTGGGATACGTGGTTCGTCTTTCATGGCGGCATGGAACTCCTCAGAGAGCAAGTGGCCGCCTGGACAGACGATAAGACCGCCATCGTCTGGACCGTTGGGAAGCAAGTTGACAAGACCCTGTAGACAGCGAAATCCAGCTTTCTCTGGGTTCTGGTCTTGGTGTGGCCACGGCTTATTGGGGGCAATATCTGAGCGGCCGGGAAAAGTAAAGTTGATTGCGTCAAAGGAGACGATGAGGTCTTTGTCGTTGTATACCTTCTCAAAGGCACTGATAACGCCCGGCTCGCCGCGGACCTCCCAAGCAAAGTCTTCATGTGTGACGGCGTAGTGAATACACATGCCCTTTTCGTTGATGAGCGGTAGCTTGTCCTTGTGCGCTGTCGATAGGTCATTGCGGTCGAATCCGAGGTTACTAGCGCAGTCTCGTTAGTAGATGGACGAGTAAAGAATGCGGTTTTTAGACCAACTTACAAGCCCTCTAGCCATGAGAACATTTTGTCTGCGTATTTTAATGCCCTTTCTTGAGGAATAGCTCCTTTAATGACAGCATAGCCGTCTCGTGCGAGGTCATCGCGCCAGTCTCCAAATTTGGCATCTGTGCCATCCATCTTCATGGCAACATTTTGAACGCCGCTCAAGGTGAGGGTTGGTGTCTTGGTCGTGGTCGTGATCATGATGAGTTGAGTTGAGATGAGATACAATCTACGAATGGGGCTTTGATCCTTTTCCCGAAGCGGTAAGTTCTGATTTTTTTGGAATTGGTGTTTGGTTTTTGTCAGTGTTATGGCTTTTATCTTTCAGTTGCAACCATCTCGTGTTGACTGTGCATGATGAGGCCCACATGCCATGCCCACGGCCTCACCCCCACATATTCCGGTGGATGGTAGCTTTTGACGTCAATCGTTCCGAAGTCCACCCCGCCTCTTCTTAACCGCATGCTGATCATGCAACTCTACTCTGTCCTTGCTAATCCTGGAAGTAGCAAACCCTTGGCTTCTCGATGGAATGTGTATGTATACGTCGACGCTCGTAATGTGGAGGTGGGCGTACGTGTGATTTCTCGGAACGCCAGTTTCAATTTCATCATGTTAATCCTCTCTTAACCATTCTTTGTCTACCTGTTTCTGTCTTTGCTATTATTTTATCTCATCATGGCTTCACAAATACATCTTCGGATTGTCATTGTTGGCAGTGGCATCGCAGGACTAGCATCTGCCATTGCCTTACGAGGCCCGAACCGCGAGATCACTATTCTTGAACAATCACGTCTGTCGTCAGAGATTGGCGCAACAATATCTCTCCAGCCAAATGCGACGCGCATCATAAAGGAAACTTGGGGTGTGAGCGACCTGCTGGAAGCTTCAAATGGCATGGTGGATAGTGGATTCCGTATCTTTAATTCGGATGGCAAAATGGTCAACGAAATTCCACTGCTCGTACAAAAGAAATATGGAGCCGACCGGATTATGTGGCATCGACAAGACCTGCATGCACAATTGACAAAGGTTGTCAAAGACCCTGCGAGAAGTGGACCAGTTCCTGTAGTTCAGACCTCTTCCCGTGTTGTCGACTGCGATTGCGAGGCGGGAATCATCAAACTAGAAGACGGAGAAACCATTCAGGCAGACATCATCATTGGCGCCGACGGCATACATAGCGTTTTGCGACCGCTAGTAGCAGGAAAAGAGATCAAGCCAAAGCCTACAGGCGCATCATGCTATCGACTCATGATGACTTCAGAAGAAGTCCGGCAAAAAGCACCAGAATTCGCAGCACACATCAACCCATCCGAGCCCTACACATCAATGTTCATGGCCCATGACTGCCGCCTCATCATGGGCCCCGCCCGCAACGGCGAAATCTTCAGCGTCGTCGCTCTCGTCCCTGACGACAAAATGAACGAAGACCCGGACAAAGCCCAGTCATGGGTGACAGAAGGCGACCGCCAGAAGATGCTCGAGACATTCAAAGACTTCCCAGACTGGACCAAAGACATGCTCAAACTCCCCGACCGCATCGGCCTCTGGCAACTCCGCGACATCGACCCGCTGGATACTTGGGTCCGCGGCCGCGTCATCCTCATCGGCGACGCAGCACACGCCATGCTACCCACGCAGGGCCAAGGCGCGAGCCAGGCGATTGAAGATGCAGAGGCCCTTGGTGCGTATATAAATACTCTGCAAGGAGGAGGACCACCGGTCAAGCCAGAAGAGGTAACAGCACGCCTGAACCAGGTATTTGAAGCGCGATACGAGCGAGCGAGTTTGATCCAGAAGTTCAGTCGTGACTCGGCGAAGCCGGCGACGGAGAAGGGCAGCAATGAGATTAAGATGCGGCCGGATGAGTTTATGGATTATAATTGTCAGTATAGGGGCGCGGTGGAGTGGCAGAGGCAGAGGGCTGTTAGGTTGAGTGCGTAGGAGCTGACGTAATGAATGAGGGGGTGGTGTTGAGCCTTTTCTGGGGTTAACGTAGTAGTGGAATTTACAAAGACCATCTGTTCTGTTTTTGCCCACATTTCCCTCCGAAGGGGACTTTTGTTGCTGGTTACTGTGCCCGCATGTTCCGTGCGGACCACATGATCCGATTGTCAACTTCCGATGTGGGCGGGCTAGCGTGTTGGGAGGTGAGCGCTGCTAGTAACATGCATGTGAACTTTGCTCGAGCTTTTAACACTAACCATATCCCTCACATAAGTTCTCCTTGTGGTAGTTCAAACAAACTGAACTCCATTGGTCAATCAAACTTTACCCCGCATCCTCGGCACTGAAATGCGGAGGAGGGTTATACACGACTCGGGCACCTGTACTCCGATCTTTATAGTAAAAGGAGCTCGTCCCTTTCACAGTCCCGTACTGGCCCGTTACACACCATAGATAGGTCTAGCCCTCTGCCACTTGCAGCGGAATGTGGAGAAAGTACGCAAGTCGTGAACCCATACTCCCCGGGGGGGACTTCAGCCTCTATTCAGCTGCAAGATGGCGCTTGTTAGATTTATCATAATGCCTGCACAACCTCCTCTTCATAGAGCTCCCCCCGGCTCTCCACCTCCATTGAGTTCAATCATTTCGATTTTTCTTTTTCTTCTTCTTCCCGGGTAAAGAAGACATCCGTGAAAGATGGCTGAACCAAACCCACACGCATGGCTGGATGACAAAGGCGATGTCGAAATCAACTACATAGAAGATATTCAACCCCCCCAAGACCATACCCACTCACACGTCAAAGGCAACGCCTTCCTCGTCCGCGAAGATGGCCAAATTCGTAAAATCCCCATTCCATCATCCAATCCCAACGATCCGCTCAACTTTTCTCGCTGGGAAAAATACGGCCTCATATTTTGTTGCTGCTGGTTCTCCATCATGGGTCTCTCCATTGCCAGCGGCCTAGGTGCAATCCTGAATGTCTTTTTCCAAATGTACACGCCCCAGGGATATACAGCTGATGAGATTGTCTTTTTAATCACTCTTCCTACACTTTGTATCGGACTCGGTAAGTTCCTTGTTCTTCTTCTCGCCCAAAAACTTTATAACCCCATAAAAGAAAGCAAAGAAAGAAACAGTTGATTTGATCTTTTTTTTATGGAAGAGTGGAGGGGCTTTGAACTGAACATGGGTGAAATGACTGATGGAAATTAATAAAAAAAATAAAATAGGAAACTACATTATCCTCCCTCTAGCACTAGCATACGGCCGTCGCCCAGTGTTCCTTGTCTCCATGGTCATCCTCCTCGCAGCGACCATCGCCGCCGCCGTGCAAAACAGCTACAACGGCCATCTCGCCTCGCGCATCGTGCAGGGCCTCGCTACAGGCGCCTCGGAATCGCTTCTCCCCCTGATGCTCACCGAAATCACCTTTCTGCACGAACGCGGGCGCATCTTCGGGCTCTACTGGACGGTCCAGAACGCACTTAGCTCGTGCATCAATCTCGCCAGCACGTATCTGAACGAAGCCATGGGATGGCGGTGGTACTACTGGGTTTTCGTCATCACCATCGCGTTTGGACTGGTGCTTGCGTTTTTGCTCGCCTTCGAAACACAGTTTACGCGGTCGCCCGCCAGTCTGGATGGACTGCTGGTTTGGACTGATGAGTTTGGCGTCACGAGGATTGTGCCGGATGAGGAGGCGCAGGAGCACCTCGCGCGCATGGCCGATAAGGGCTTGCGCGTGCGAGAACAGAGTGCCGAGCCGAACCAGGCGCATGTACCGCGGAAGACGTATCTGCAGAAGCTCAGGCCTTGGTCGCCGGTTCAGAAACAGCCGGTTAGGATCGTGGTCTTGACGTATTTGCATATGCTCCAGAGTTTGTATTCGCCGGGTATCCTCTTTGCCATCTTGAGTTCGTCGGTTGCGCTTGGCTGCGCGGTCGGCATGTCACTGACGTACAACACCGTGTTGCACGAGAACTACGGGTGGGATGTGAAGAACATTGGGCTTATCAACGTTGGCGGCGTCATTGGCGCCGTGCTGGGAATGATGTATTGCACATTCATCGGCGACAAGTTCGTTCTCTATGCTGCGCGACGAAACAAGGGCATTCACAAGCCGGAACACCACCTCATTGTTCTCATCCCACCGGCTATCATTGGTGCCGCAATGCTGGTTCTCTACGGCTGCACTGCTGGAGGCGACGCAACTTGGTGGGGCCCATACATGGCGTGGACACTGTTCCAATACACGTTTACCGCAGTGCTCATCGTGTCCACGACGTTTGCGTCTGAAGCTGGGGCACAGCACCCAGGGCCTGCACTGGTTGTTGTTGTGGGGACAAAGAATATTGTTTCTTTTGGTCTTACGTATGGCCTCACGCCCATGGTTGCAAAACATGGGTACAAGTGGGCGTTTGGTGTATTGGCAGGTATTTACAGCGCCATCTTCTTGCTCGGTATTCCGGTTTATTATTTAAATCCCATTTGGCGAGCGAGGAGTAAGAAGAATTAGCGAAAAATGAGAGTAGTACTGAATTATGAAGTCGTCAGGGAAGATAATGAATACGTTTCAAGTGTCTCATATTCCATCAGAATTGGGAAACTGCTTTTGGTTTGGACATGGCAAGAGTGCAGTCAATGGAGAGTTTACTGGATATCAATGTCACTACGCTTCATGTACATGGAATGAGCAAAATAGTCATAGAAGAGTTCCATCTAACCTGAAGCTATCATGAACGCCTCACCATTATGCATTCATGGCCGTGCCTATCTCCTCGTATTATCGCCACAAGTGTCCGTGCAAAACACAAGACATATCGTTCATGTCCACCTGAACCATCTGTATCCATTGCCTACTCGGATGAATTCGACAAAAACGGTCCTCCTGAAGTAGACGATGCCGTGGCATAAGTCTACCAACCTCCATTACCAGCGTCATTCCAAGAAGCTTCACCGGTAGCAGCAGCAGAGTCACCCGTATCTCCACCCCAGCCACCACCCGCATCACCACCGGTATCGTCGTTGGTATCAGCAATCGGAGCCTTGCAACGCTATTCAGGTTAGCATGAACTCCTTCCAAAATATGAGGAATGCTTACCTTGGGTCCATGTCCCAGCTCGCCGCAGTTGCTGCACTTGTGCTTGGACCAGTCTTTGGGTTCGGGACAATCACGAGAGAAATGGCCCATCTGCTCACAATTGCGACAGACAACGGTGTCGGGATTGCGAGGTTGATAACACTCCTTAGCCATGTGCTCGGTCGATCCACAGTTGCGACAGGTACGGGCGGCGACGTTAGGACACTATGAGCTGTCAGTATGTATTGAGTAACCAGTATCTATGTGTGCACTGACATCCTTGGAAAAGTGGCCCATCTCGTTGCACTTGCGACACTCGACGCCCTCGGCTGAACGAGGCTCGGGACATTCCTTAGCATTATGGCCTTCCTGCTTGCAGTTCTTGCAGGCAAACGGATTGAAGCGCTCTTTGGTACAGTCGCGGGCTCGATGACCGATTTCCTTGCAGTTCACGCACTGGATCTCGGGCTGGTGCGTATCGCGTTCAACTTGCTCTTGTTTGCAGTACTGCTTGTATGTTAGTCTGAAATTCTTCAAATCAGGAGGCCTGACTCAATATACTGACCTTGCGAATGTGACCAAGCTCACCGCAGTTGCCACACAGTGGTACACCACGGTCTTGGACATCGCCACAAGATGCAAGACGCTCCATGTTCTGAGCAGGGCTTTCAGGCCAGCCTTGGGCCAATTTGGGGCGACGAGGCTTTGGAGAGAGCTGGAAAGTCAAGACGTACTCGCGGTCGGGGTTGCCAATGAGGTCAACAATGGTCATGTTGATAGGTATCTCCTCCTTTTTAGCAATCAGATAGATGCCGAGACCATCTTCACGCAGAGCTTCCTCAACAGCTGGAAGACTGAACTGGTCCATGGTGGCACGAGCGTACGCCTTCAGACAGACACGGAACACGTCGAAGTCTTTTTCTTTGGCGGCATCGATGAGGGCAACCCATGCAGCTTCAGCACCCATCTCAGGAACACCAGACCAGTTGACAGAGCGACGGGACTTGCAATCGATCGCACGGTGACCTGGTTGGTCACAGAGCTTGCACACACCATCAAAGGGGCGCTGGACGCGCTCGTTTGTACAGTCAGCCTTGTTGTGGCCAACTTGACCACAGTTGAAGCACTCCCCAGTAAGGCCGCTGCCGCCCTCAGGCTTTGATGGACAGTCACGGGCATAGTGGCCTGACTGCTTGCAACTGTTTACGTGTGTCAGTATAGCCAAAGTGATGGTTCTGGGTCTCACTCACATCCGGCAGCTATCGTCGCCACCAGCATCAGCACCAGCGTTGTTGCTGCCACCACCCCAGTCATCACCATCAGTTAGAGGAGGGTCCCAGCGAGGAGCACCGCCTGTACAGAAAATTAGTGTGAGCTCGCGGCATTTGCGTGCCATGCCACTTACCTGAGGCATCCCAGCTCATAGTGAGTGATGCTTGCTGCAGTGAGGCTACGGTGTTGTTGGCGTGTAGTATAGTAGAAGAGGTTTTGCAGTACAAGTACAAAACTTGAAGCAGACGATTGGCACAGATTGAAAAGTTTGCCGTGGAGATGAGGTAGTCGCACTGGTCGCTTCTACTTTATTTACACGCCTGGGGTCCGTGCTCAAACCTGCAGGTCAAACTGAAGGTGAGGGTGAGTAAGGCGGCATGCCTTGCAACAGAGAGTATATCACAGGTGAGAGGGATTTATGAGTCTACTGTAGGTGAACCCGAGAGACGCAGACAATGCTGCAGTCACTAAAGAAGAGGTTCAAGATGTTTTACGTTGTTGGATACATACTAAATGAAATCAACTCATCAGGACACATGCCACCTGAAAACAAGTCGTGACGTGTCTCCTTGTCCTAAAAGAAAAAAGAAGCTGGTATCATGTCATAAAACTCCAACGCAAGACAAAAATGCCTATTTCGTAATGCGACAACATGCTCCTTGAAGTCACACAAACCTGAAAAACTCCCACAAGATGCGTAGGCGGACACACCCTGATTTGGGTTCCCCCATGGAACAAATAACCAAACATGGCCAAATCTAGACACCGCGGAACTGATGGTAATGTTAGCGTAGGCCCAACGTATAGTATCTTGCATGTTTCCACTTACTGCTCGGACAACCAAGAACCACATTGCACCAATGAACCTGAAAGCCGACAGGCCTGCAACACTGTACAGAACAACAGCCAGGTAAATGGTAGCAGCATCGTTCCTTTTCTTCTGTGCCTCATCCGGAGTGCTGACGGTGAGCTCCAGGCCGCCCGACTGCAGAACCAAGGCTGTCAGACCCAAGTTGCAAAACATCCAGAACAAGACGACACCGGATCGGAAACCCTTGTAATAATCTTCCTGCTTCTCACTCGCTGAAGGGACCTTCTTCTCCTCGACCCACTTAGTGCTAAACACTTTCAGTTCTTCCTCATATTGTGTGTTGAGATCAGCATCGTCGGTGGGTGCTTGAATGTCGGCTTTACCGTCGGCTTTTGTGACGACCGAAGGCAGCTTTTCTGGTTTATCATCTCCCTTTGTACCCCAGGTGATGTCGTGCGTGTTGCAGAAAGCGTAGACGTTGAGAATATTGATGTACGTCGGGGTCATGAGAAGATATTGGAAGAAGGAAGTGAACATGTGCCATGGATCCAAGAAGATGATGGAGACGAGGAACCACATGACATACGTCGACAGTAGCGAGATGATCAACGTGGCAAAAATCCTATCCCTGAACAAATCCGCAAAGTTGAAGCCGCCGTTGGCAGCGATCTGGCCCTGGACGGAACGGACACTGATGAAGATGGATGCAAATATGAGGTATGCCATGATGATACACCAAAAGTAGACCATGGACATGTACCACTTGTTGGAACCCTGCGGTCGATTACCCAATGACAGGATGAAACAGGTGATCAAGACAGCAATATAGAGCCATTCAAACACAATGAAGAGAACCTTGCCAGCAGTGCCGAGTTCGTTCTGCAGGGAAGCCGTGAGAATGCGGAAGACGAGGAAGAAGTTACCGAGGGCGAACCAAGCAAAGATCATGCTAATCGTCTGGTAGACAAACTCGACGAGGAACATCATTTTTCGCAAGAAAGAATGATCACTGCGGAAGATGTCGAAAGAGTGGGCCAAGGCATACACGGCAGCGAAGAAGGAACCGTTAAGCCAGCGACGACGCTGACTGATGAACTCGGCCATGGTGGTAGGGACATCAGTTTCTCCGGTAGCCGACTTTACGTATTGCAAGATCCAGTGGCAATTGCGTTTGGAAACCAACTCGAAACAGAGGATACGATCTTCAGCCAAGTACATATTGGCAGTGAAAATACCAGCATTGGCGCCGTGCATCTTCTCGCCAGCAAAATACTTCTCCAACGGACCCTGTCCAGCCTTGTCGTTCTGAAGAGCGACATATCTGTAGGCTGAGAAAGCACCGGGAAGCACACTGATGAAACCAAAGGCGGATTCCAAAGGCTTGTCCAGAATATTGCTCATCTTGTACTCAAAGTTCTGAGTTGCCACGAGCGGATTCAGAAGCTTCTTTCCATGCACCAACATGGCCTTGATCTCACCACAGGCACCAGCGCACATGGGCTCGAGATCAAAGGCCTTCCATAGTTGGTACACGGAATCCTTTCCAGGTTTGGTACCCGCATCGATGAGCACACAGACATTTGGATCGAGGACGGCACCGAAAGCCTGGAAGAACCAGCGATGCGAGTTGATCTTTTTCTGGTTCTTTTCTTTGAGACAGAAGAGCATCTGCACAGGGGTGTTGCCCTTTTTGACATTGACGACACCCTTCTTGATGTCCAGTGTCATCTGGGTAGTGTACTCGTAGATATGGGCAGTCACATCCTTGCCGTTAACTTGCTGCTTGGCAATGCCGTCCTGGTATACACCGAGACCAGCTAGTACGGCACGGGTTCGCGGATTGATCTTGGCACGACCATCGCTGACGACGCATACGACGATCTTTTTCCACGCGTCCTTGCCCCACGTTTTACTGTTGGTTCGCGAGTTCATGTACTCAATGTTCTTGATTACGCCGCTCATTGTGCGCGCGAACAGCTCGTCTTCCTCGTTGTACATGGTAATGACAATGAACAGCTCCGTGTGTCGCGGCTTGGCAAACAGCTTCTGGCGAAGGGTGAAGCGCTCTGCATCAAAGTCTGCAGGATCGCATGTGGCGGCGGAGTAGCGCATGTGTGTGAACTCGTCACGCTCGGGGGGCTGTGCATGCGGCACTTGGTTCAGCAGCCGTGGCGGAATCGGGCAGTCGAGAACCAAGTTACCCTTGAACAACTGGACTTCCTTGACCGTTTTCCATCTTTTAATCGGTGCTTGGCTGGGTGGCGGTGCTGGCTCATCGTGAAACGGGTTCTCTGGGTCCATGTCTTCCGGGTCGTGAGGATCTGGGCCATATGAGTTGGCGGTTTGCATCATAGGTCTGTTCATGTCGTCGTCCTGCCAGTAGTGTGTAGGCTGGGTGCCGTATCCCGCACCGGGGCTCTCGTCATGAGGAGTTGGGTCGTAAGGCTGGTTGTAGTATGCATCGTGGTGTTGTTGGGGGTCAAATGAGTAGTTGTTTTCGTGCCGCTGCGGTCGTGGGTCGTAGTCGTCGTGATAGTTACCTCCAGCGTATGGGATATTTTCTACCGAATACTGCATTTTGTTAGCCTGCGGTGTTTTGGGGGGCATGTTGCGACCATATTAAAGTGCCGTAACAGCTCTCAGAATGTCTCATGCCGTGCATCCGACGTACACTTGGTTGTAGGGGCAAGCGGTCACTGGACGCAATTGCTGGGTTGGGTCCCATGGGAATCTCCAAGACGCCCGACGGCGAGGGGGAGGTATATCGATCTTCGAGTTGGTAGCCTCGGAGCGGCTGTCCGGGAGAGGGCGTGCGCCCATTTCCTCGTCGTGGATCCATCTCGAACGGGTCGTCGTTGCCGCCCGGGTGGTCTGGACAGCACTGTTAGTGTTGCGATATGGTAGCTGGTCGGTGAGGTAGGAAGGCAGGGAAACAAAGGACAGTAGGCAGAGAGTGGTCACAGGGTGCTTGCGAGGGCGCGTATGGACGGAAGCGGTGCTCCGTGTGCACTCACCTAGTCTGTTGTATGACATGCCGACGTGATTTCCGTGGTGCGGCCGCAACCTTAGTAGTTCAATCTGGCGGCAATGCGGCAACCGAAACCACAGTCCAAAACGTTAATGAGAAGAATGGCGCGACAGCAAATCCAGAGGCGCAGCCGTTGTTGTGCTCGTCGTATAAGCGTTGCGGGATAGAGGGCAGGAATATGTATCGTGTTTCAGGTGGGCTTGGTGGGTCACAAAAGCTGCAGGGTGCACCGCAGTTGTTTACCACAGCAACCAGCGGGCACAAGTGGGTAATGATGTAACGGCGGGCAGGAGCAGGGCACAAGGCCGGATACGAGGCTGGCCCAGGCAAAGAACGGAACGATGATGGAATGTGTTTTTTTGCTTTGAAGTCTCGACGTCTCTCAGCCGGTCGAGTATGCGGGCGGGTGGGTGCACGTTGAAGTATCTATGTACGCAGCTGCCAAGCAGGGCAGGCGGGCAAGGCAAGGCAAGTCCAAGTTGCGACTGCGACTGCGACTGCGACTGCGCGCCATTCGCTGCGCAATGGGCGTGGGCATGGCCGCCACACTCCTCAGCCTTCACAGCCGCACCCAGTGACGACGCCATGCATGTGACCGCCCTGCTTATGCAACGCACTGCCGTTAATAGACGACGCGACTGCTACGGATGAGACATGGCGGGCCTGCGTCTTGACAGCATTTGCCTGCCTGCAGTGCCATGTCTTCCTTTCGTCTTGTGTTGCATGAGTTGCACTTGCTGCTGCAGTCGACACACTACCTACCCACAGCCGCAGGCGGATGCTGGTGCACGCCTAACGCACCAAGTGCTTATCCAGCCGTGGCTGCGCATGAGTAGCAAGCCCCTCAAGCCCCAAATCCTCGTCTCTTTTTGGCGCACTTGGCGAGGCGAGTCATACCACTCGACTATTAGACCCGATCATTTTTATTTTCTGGCACATACGGCCATAGGATCTCAGGCAGCAAGAAAACCCGTTCGATCTTTCATATTTAAGCTGGATACCGGCGGACTAGTAGTCAGGTGGGTGACCACTGGCGAATCCCCGCTGTCGTATGTTTTTGGTCGTATTTTGGAACTTGAATTTTGGCAGATTTCGCAAGAATCACGTGGCTAGGACTTGGCGTGCCTACAAGTCGTGTAGATGCATGCGTCCAAGTACACATGTATGTAGTAGAGACTAAGTTGCCTTGCAAACCCTGGGACCGAAACACGCGTGGCCGGTCCCTGTCTGTGCCTGTGCATATGCCGTACATCGTCTTGGCACCCAATCCGTCCCACCATCCCCAGATCTTCGCTCGCTTCTCCACAGGCACAGACATAGCCAAACACTGGCCAACTTTTTTTTTGGTGTACCATACCATATCACACCATCTATAGACGCGACGCCCCCTCCACACACACACACACACACACATCGAAACAATGGGCGAATCGACCTCCCCGCAGCCTGTCGCCGTCCTCTTCGTCTGCCTTGGAAACATCTGTATCTACACCACCATCCCTCGCTTGCTGCACACCACTAACTTGGCCACGTCCAGGCCGCTCCACAATGGCAGAAGGCGTCTTCCAGTCCCTCACACGACCGGCCGGAAAATCCCCACACCCACTGATTTCCCACATCGACTCATGCGGCACCGGCGCATACCACATCGGCTCCGACCCAGACTCGCGCACAATGGCCACCCTCCGCAAGAACAACATCACCTCGTACCGCCACTCGGCCCGCAAGTTCTCGCCCGCCACCGACTTTGACAAGTTTGACTACATCTTCGCCATGGACGACGAGAACCTGGCTGACCTGGAGAGCTTGCGCCAGAGGGAAGTCAAGAAGAGGGGTGGCGAGGACGGCATTGGCCAGGTCATGCTGTTTGGCGAGTTTGGCGGCAAGAGGAGAAAGTACAGAGGCAGAGAGATGGGCGAGGAGATTGCCGATCCATACTATGGCGGCGACGATGGATTCACCATTGCCTACGAGCAGGCCCAGCGATTCGGAAAGGCATTCTTGGAAAAGCTCGAGGCGGGAGAGTTGAGCTGAGATTGGGGGGTGTTGACATAGCACCAACGACGGTGGTTGGAGGACTCGTCTGTGAGCAGAGCCTCGTTTTGATACCCATAGACTGGCCATGGGCTAGAGTGCATTTTTACATTACACGAAATCATGTCGACTTGTTGCGTTCCTCGTTTTCCTCCTGGGTATATACTCCGCTCGCGCCGTCGTCATGAATTTTGCTTAATCTGTCTCTCGAGATCCAGCAGCTTCTCCACCATCTTTCCTCGCATAAACTCGGTCAATCCCAATCTACGCCATTGTCAGTCGTCAATTGCTCGGCCAAATTCCCACGTCATCTTGGTACTCACATTCCCTCCCTCGTCACAATGCGATATGTCCCGCTGTTCTGCCACGCCCCATCACCTCCATTCAGCCTCCCATGCGCATCCACCTCTACACTTCCAAATATATCCTCGGGCCAAGCAATGCGCCCATAGTCTGGCGGGTTCCTCAAATCGCTCACATGTATCCACCCTCCGTGTCCCCCTCCCCCCATACCTCCCTGGTGATTTGCCCCGCCTGCACCATCATTCGGCTGCGACAGATTGGAGCCACCGGGCGACGCGTAAACAGCTGCTTGCGACTGAACGTAGGGATCCTGCGCCGCATGCGCCGCAAACACCGAGTACAGTATCGGCAGAAACTGGGGGTTTTCGGTAAAATTGCGCGGTGTGGGCGGCAGAGCCGTGCAGGTGCCGATTGCGAGTTGAGGTGTTGGTGGTTCCGTGGGGAGAAGTGATAGCAATTGTTTGCTTGGATCAAATGGATCTCTGTGTACGTACTATAACATTCTTGCGTTAGTGTCGAGACCATGTGATATAGGGCTAAGAGTATTACAATGTGCGGGTTCTCGGCCAATGTCGAAGCAGGCCGCGTGCCTCGAAGCCGAAGTGTTGTTCGCGATGCAGGCACCACACGGCGCGATGAGCGCACAAATGTGTTGGCGAGCATTTGGTATAGTACTGGGCACATTGTGGGTTATGCAGACAAAGCTGGGTAGCTTGGAGATTGAAGTTTATTTTTTCTTGCACGGCAACAACAGCAAAAAAAAAGCTCGGATTTGAGAAAGTCTGCGAATCACGAAAAGATGGGGATGAGACAACCATGACGAAGTGCATCTCGGAAGTCCGATCGCTTTGGCGGACTACTAGTTAGTACTAGCGGGCAAGATCATCTGCTACTACGTACTTAGCGCCTCTTTCTTGCACCTCATCTCACAAATCGCCCTTGGACTCTGTGCATTCCAAGGGGTACAATAGTCCAAAAGAAACCATTACACCCGTTCTCCACACTATGTCGCTGTGATCGGGTGCCAATTGTCCATCTTCATCGTGCCGCCATTATACGCGGCCGTGCCCGCAGTCCGCACCCTCAACCCCGGCGTTGTCCAGGCACAAGCCCCAAAAACGCCATTCTGCGCTGCGACTTCACTCACAGGGATTCCGAGCGTAGGCGTGTATTCGGCCTGGTAGATGGTCTCGCTCGCGCCGCAGCCCCACCATCCGCAGTACTCGGATGCGCGCACGGTAGCGAGGTCTGCGACGGAGAAGCCAGGAGACCCGTGGAAGGTGCAGTATCGACGTTGACCCGAGCCCGCGCATACACGTGAGATGGTTACTATGTCGGACTCGCGCTGTGCCACTGTCAAGAGCGAGGCGGTTGTCGATGGCGCGAAGACGTCTGTGTTGGTCGCCGTGTTGGTGTTGCCGATCAGTGAGGCCCGGCCTGTGAGTGTCTGGAGAACTGCGTTGCGTAGCAGATAGTATACGCTTGGACTCGTCATGGTTACGCCAGAAACTATGGCAGTCCTAGCTTGTCCAGACGTAGTAGTAGTGTTTGTGCTATTGGTGTCGCAAAATGCCGGTCCAGAGGGAATAGCAGTAGTAGGCCAGTAGAACGCTTCCCACGTTCCTCCTTCAAGATAGCATGGAGGCTGTGACGGCACGGTTCCATCGTTGAGAACTGTGCATCCGGGTCCTGCAATCGATCCTGTAATGGAAGGGTTCTGCGACAGGAATGATGTACGCCATTTATATGCGTCATTCAGCCTCGTACACAATGCGCCGTAGTCACTAGCGACAGTACAGGTTGGAGAGGGCAATTTGTCAAGTTCTGTGGACCATGGCGGCGTATAGTATGTAGCCTCACCCGTAATCGTGAAGGTGTATGTCTCGGTTACCGTCTGGCATTTTGTCGAACTTGTAGACGCACGAGGGAATCCGTCGCACAGTGTGGTTAGAGACGGCAACGCCGTAGTTTTGCAGTCGAATCTGTCATTGAGATATGTAGAGTACGAATAAGACGTCGTCGACCAGTCATTCCAGGTATAGTTTTCACTGCTCAAAAGCTGGGTGTAGAGGAACCAAGAGGCTGAGCTATAGCTGGCGTGAGCATCCCAGCAACTAATTACACTGGCTGGGATATCCGAGAAGTCGGGTGGTAGAGCGGGAGTGTTTGCAGGCGGTATGGGTGGATGCGTGGGAGCAGGAGCGACGGCAGTATTCGAAGATGCATTTGAGCTCGACGTAGGACTTGGAATCGACTCTGTGTGTGTGAATAAGTCATGGCTGCAATCTCAACATCTGACACTTTCTCATCTTACGCGCCAGCCCCCGAACTTGTAGATATGTAGCAATGATACAGCAAACCCGCAGCATCGTGGAAGACATGTTTGCTTGCTTCGATACCGAGAAAGCATCGCTACTACTCGTCTCAAACGTCTGTTTATAAGTCACTCGACAAAATCTACTACCTTCCCCGCAAGGAAATAATGGCATATTAGCATTACGGGTCAAGCTGAATACATGCACTTGCTCTACCAATATGACCAGCCAATCATAGACTGGGCACCAGGTTCCAATACGATGCTAGCAATTTGAGGGTTTCTATTTCGGGTCTTTGCGCATGCAATGTCAGCACGCTGCATAGAGTATATTGCGGGATGAACCGCCAAGCGGCTGAAATCAGCCCTAAGAAAATTAGCAAAAACGCATTGGGATGGGAACTGCATGGCATTTTTACACGTATGTAAACAGGTTCAATTTTGTCATTGGTAGTAAAGCCAATATTCGTACCTATTGTGACGTGGAAATGAGTGTATCTGTTAGTCAAGGTCGTCTTTTATACCTGAGACATGCACTTCACAAGTGAGCTCTAGGAAATAGTTTGGTGCGCTTTCTAGTTACTCTATATTGATCGTCAGCAAAACTTTCAAGTTGTTACAAGGAAAGGCTAGCTCAGAGGTAGGGAATCCTGGTCCCAGCCGGTGGTTAATAGTCAGCCAAAAGTGGAACTTTCCCGATACAGTGAATTTCCTCATTGTATATCATATGTCACGTTGAAGTCATACCACTTTGTGGGGATCTGTTCGATCTATCGTGGAGTCATGAGTAATCGAGCTCAAGAAGGTAGAGTAGCTACTCCTATTCAGGCAGTCAGGAAAGCTGAATAGTAATTGATAGTGTTGAACTTGTGGGGCGCCTAAAAGATAGTTCCATTGGCTCAGTATCCCGTGACTCTGTTGATATACTGCAACTATTTTAACAAAGATGGCCTCGCCCAAATCTTTTTCTTGGATCAATTCATCGCGACATGAAGTATGCTTTAGTCTGAATATTTGCCGTGAATGGTTGCATGCGCGACCCTGGGCCGCCGTTGGTGTTACACCGTACCTTTCCCTATATGATTTCTTTTGTAATACTTTGAGAATACGAGCTTCAAGCCACATTCTGCAAACGTGACATGTGATCCGGCACAATATTCAGTCCGAAGGCATTTTTTTCTCTACATACTAGAAGTCTTTCGCAAGCAATAAACTCATGAACAGTAAACATTCTTGTATAGCTTTACCATTTTTACTCCGCCACGATGTCCTGAGCTCCTCAGACGAGCTCCGAAAACCTTGAAATGGTAAGAGAAGAACTGAAAAGTTGATGAAAAGCAAGTTCCAAGGTCAACTCTTTGAAGATCCAATTTCGCAGTTCGGCTCCAATCATGCTGTCAATACCGTAGCTCACTATTGAGCGTTCGGCATTTTCATCCGCGGAAAACTCGGCCTCGTCGATTAAGAATAATCGAGATAGCTTTGCGATAAACTGGTTGCGTACTAGATATATCGCTTTTGCCGGTGATTCTGCTCCAGCCGCTTTTAGTCGCATCAGGATGGAACTGGTGTCGCCATCGGCTCCCTGATCACCGCCACTACAGATATTCATGGAATGGATCAGGGTCGAAAAACGTGGATCAGTTGACCAAAAGGCGCCGACGTCGCCTTCGACTTTGATACTCGCTTTTTGTAGCTCAGCTGGGTCTAATCCGATAACCAGGTGATCGATGTATTCGTTTTGCTGGCGTACCTGGGTCTGCTGCTCAATGATGGCGACTTAGAAAGAATCCAGCATTGCCTTGAGCGAAACTCGTTCAGAGCGGAGTGTACGTAAAAGTCCTTGTGTCATTGCGGCCTCGCGATCAACACCGGCTCCGAGGTGATCTCCACAAGTCACCCAGAGGACATTTGCAGAGTCAGTTAAAAGCGTTTGCAGATGCAAAAATTCGCTTCCTGACATGGCCGCCACGAGCGGACTCTCAAGGTCAGTTAGCATGATGACATTATTGCTAGGTGGGCAAGCATCTCCAAGCTTGAAAAGTTCGCTCTCGAACCCAGCTTTCTCGGGGCAAAGTTTCAGACGAGCGACGCATTCGGTCGCATTGTCACGATACATCAACTGCACGGAAGTTGATACGGACGTCTCTCTTTCCTTGACTTTGGATGTGAGGAACATATGATCCTTCATAGACAATTTCGATCTTGGGAACCCAGCTTTCTTCAAGTCGTTGACTTCTGTGGATCCATTCGCCTCCAAGATTACCTGACCCATCTTTTTCAGCATCTGTGTTGGCCAAGGCCGAGGATATCCTGGAGAGTTTCGCTTTGAGAGACTGAGCAAGGACGACGTCCGTAACGAGGACTCTGGGGTTTGGAGTCTTGAATCCGACAAGTTCAAGGAAAGTAAAAATGTCTAGATGGACCTGAGTACCACGTATCCATAGTGGATCTGGCTTGTATATGAGCTGAGAGTAGGGTCGCGATAGGCTTGGGCCTTCTATTCTCTGCGGTATTGCAGCTTCACACGCCGTGCAACGCATGTTCTTTATCTCCACGAGCACTTTTTTGTCCTCGGTCAGAAGTTAACTGTGGGCATTGAACAGTCTCTGGCCACGCGGATCAATCCATGAGAAGATAGTAGCGCGAGCGTCTTCGGTGAGATCAGCAGTCTTTGGTTTCCAGACGGTAATCTCTTCGGCGCGGACGGGCACTGCTCCAAATTGCATTGCGCTGGCGCGACCGGCCCAGATTGCGACAATCATGAGCTGGAGACACGAGTCCAGGATAGCTGAGTGTAAAGTGTGGCGGGACTCATCCTTCATTACAGCAGGCTTGATGTTCGTTGAAGCGTGAGCGAAATACGTGGATCCATCGAGTTTAATGTTATCCATATCTTGGAACGTTGGCCCATAAGCAAATCCAACCTTCTTCAAGGCTTGATTCCAGAGTCCACCAGAGGCGCGCTGTGGTAAATTGGGTACCTTTTTGGCGACTGCTGAGCGTGCATCCGAATTGGTTGCAATACTTCCAGTCATGTGATTTTTGCGGTGGCTTTCGAATGAAATAGAGGAGACATTGAAATCCCACCATTGACTACCAGCACTATCTACATTGATACGCGATGGATGCATATTTAACAGAACCTCAATACCGCTGTCATCGTCCGGAGTTACCGACGCTTGTTGAATGGTGATGTCTCTAAAGGTAAACGAGTTGATTTCACGAGGCTTCTCCGACATCTCATTGATTGGAGTCACCGCTTCCATAGCTATGGAGAGACACCCAGCTGCAGGAAACACTGCCTCCCCACCTAGGGAGTGGTCTCGAAGCCAGGGAACATCTTTAATTCGGAAGATACTACGCCAAGTGGGTTCAGCCAAAGAGGCCCCGATTGCCAGTTGGCCCAAAATGTCATGACGTGCGGACCGTGAGAAATGGTGTTCTTTGCTCACTCATGACTCCGCCCAGTACATTTTTGTCTTGTCCCACTGATAGGGCGGAAGATCTACGATGAGGTTGCCCATTCGCGGAATTATCTTTCCAGATTGGTACACCTCTTCGATTGCAGTCACTCTTGCGAGATCAAGAGTGTAGTTTCGCAGGAAAAGTTCGCCAACCAGCTTGAGGACTTGGTTGGCACAAGGGAAATTACGCAAGAGGGTCGGTAGGTACTGCAACTTGTCATCTTGCATATTGGCCTTAATCTGCCTGACAGGTCCTGAAAGAGCAGAATGAGGTCCGATCTCGATCAGGATATCCACCTTCGGAGTATTTTCACAATTGAGGGCTATTTGTACTGCTTGATTGAACAAGACGGGGTTGACAATATTGGTGCTCCAATACGTTTCGTTGAGGACTGCGTCGCTGGGCAGAACAGAGTTTGTCACAGATGATACCATCTTGATATTGCTGGAACTGTCCGTTTGAGTGACCCGTTTCTTGGTTTTGGCAACAAGTCCTTGGTATCTTTCAATAGCTGGAAGCATATGGCGTGAGTGATATGCTTTGCCATTGGTCTTGACGAGACGGACAAATATGACGTTTCTTTGTAGATTCTTTTGAATTGACTTCAAAGCTTCTATGTTGCCCCAGGCGACGAGCAAATATGCATGCATTCCAAGTAAATTGTGCAAATTCAATGTAAGTACGGATGACGATTGCGCCCTATGTATAGGGTGAAATTCAAAACTATAAAAACTAAACTATAAATCCAATACGATGACCCTAATAGATGTGGACAATTTCGAATTGCATGTGTAGGTCCTCGCCAGCTAAAAAGGAAATACTCCATTGATCAACCCTACACGTCTTGTCTGAGCCGGTAAGTCATAGTCTAAGCTCCATAGCCTTTTTGAAACAAAGATTCAACCTTACACTCGTTGCGCCTTCCCTCCGCAGTTTGAACAAAACCCTGAGTGCACAGGATTGGAATTTCCACAGGGGCAGTTCCATGCCTGTCCGGCGGTAGCCCCACCCGCCCCAGCCATTGCTTGTGCGTTACTTTGCTGGCCAGATACTGCATACATGTTTTTGATATTTTCGCCTAGCCATTGCGGATTTGGTTGGGTTTGCTGAGGTTGCGGTGAAGGCGTCACTTGCTGTCTCGGTGGAACAGAGTCGGTAAATTGTCCTCCATTTTGAGGCGCCGGAGAGAACACACCGGAATTCCCCGCGCGTTGATTGTTCCAATTCTCATTAAAGGTGGAAGGTTGTCCTTGCATCTGACCTTGTGGAACATTGTTGTATTGAGGCTGATGTGGGTTGAACCCTTGGTTCTGGTTAGGGTTTTGGTAGTATTGTGGCTGTTGTTGTGGCTGTTGGTAGCCCGGCTGTGGGTAGTTTCCTGGTTGCTGCCCATAAAATGGCCTCTCGAAGCTTTGCTGAGGCGGATGCCCATGTGGATAGCTTGGCTGGCTCTGTGAAGCAAGCAAGAATGCGTTTTTCTTGTCCAACCCTGTACCGCCCATGTTTTGCGTCCTCACCACGCGGTCATTTTCATCAATCCAGATGGCTCGTAATTTCGCCTCTTTCGCTCTCCGTGCAGAAGTGGAGCCATACAAATCGTGCATATACTTCGTAAAATCAAGGTACGCCTTCCTCACAACCTCGAAATGCTTAACTGTCAAATGTACAACCGTATTCTGATTCTCCGTGTCTTGCGGAACTCTGCTCAGGGCCTCAGATTCTGCCAGAGCCACTGCTGTCTGGCATGCATTGCGGATCTGGCGACCGTTCCAGCGTGCATGTGGGTACTTGTCGAAGTATTTGGCTGCGAAGGCGGCGATGTCCTCTCTATCGATTTTAATGACGCGGCTTTTGGCATCGAATCGGGCTTGAATCATGTCCATATTGATTTTAAATACCTGAACGGTCTTGTCTATACTGAGTTCAGGGTAGTAGAGACTGACGTGGATACGTGAGGTGAAGGCTTCATCAAAGTCGCCGACGCGGTTGGTTGTCAGAAAGAGGATGCCTGAGTAATATTCCATGAGGCGCAGGAACACTGTCATACGAGTAAGCAAATGAAAAGGCTGGGACGCACACAAAGGTCGGTGACTGACCAGCAACGAGTCCATTTCGCTTGAAATCTTCTTTTGTCCTCTCTGCTAAGAAGACATCGGCCTCATCGAGGAGAAGAATACAGTCCCACTTATTAGCGAGCGAAAAGTTCATCTCCAAGGCGCTTTCCACTTCTGTTGCAGTTGTTCCAAGGTCGCCTGGGGTTGCCGATGATTGTTAGTTACTGTTCGACGAATGAGTCCGGAGCTGGAGTATATCGTTACGTACCGCATGTAATCTGAAATAACGGCTTTTTGAACATCTCTGCGACTCCCTCTGTTACACAAAAAAAAACGGTCATTGAACGATTCACCTAATATAAGCGGGCGAGTAGTACATACCAGCAGTGGAAGTTTTCCCTACTCCAGGGGCGCCATGCAAAAGCAAGATCAGACCTTTTCCTACAATTGAATCAGCCCATGACCAGTCCATACTGCCAAAGACGCTGGGGGACTCTACCTTTTCCTTTCACGAGATCGAACTCCTCTCTTTGACCTGTAGTGGATTTCTTATCCCGAAAGTGTTGGGCAATGAGTGATACAATCATGGTGTGATGCCCCTTTTCGAGTACGAGACGGTCAAAAACCGATGAAGGTTCATCTTCCTCCCTTTGTTGGTGCGAGGTGTCCTTCCCCGCTATATTAGACGTCATAGACGCTGCTTCTTGCGGATGAACTTCGGTCAGATGCGACAGGTCCAGTTTAGCTGGATGGAATTGTCAGTATGTACTGTTGGTGCGTGCTAGATAGATCGGAGATGGTTGCTCACCCCATTTCCGACTCCGCAGGACAAAGCCGAATACACGATACGACATGATGACGAGTTCGTCTTCGGAACATGGTGCGTTGCCCTTGGGGCCAGTCTGCAGTTCCTTTAGCAGACGAGGCATAATGGTAATCGGTGGCTGTTCGTCTAGGCCGGTTGAAGCAGGCAGCAGACTATTGATATACTCGGACCGCTCCTTTTCATCAACATATTGGTCATCATAAACATAGTCGTCCCCACAGCAGTCACCCATGCATGGGCCAAGGACAATATCGTCGTTTTCTTCGGCCACTACATTACCAATCAGGGTAATAAGCTCCGGCTTCCACGGGCTTTGCTCCTGATTTCTCAATGCCGTTTGATCGTCTTGCATGGTGAAAGCTGTTTCGAAATCGATAACAACTGGACTCTCTACTTCGTCTTTCACTTCCAGTGTTGGCCCAGCATAGTACATATCTTAACGCAAGGTTACAAGGTCAGTATAGGCCCAAATAATTAAAATGGGATTTTTTTAGCCATCAAGGGGACTTCGCAGAAATCCTCACTAGTAGCGTATAGATGTAGGAGGGTAGTAGGGTTTATAAAAGCGGGTTCACCTACGCCTAACTCCAGCGACTTCGAGAAACTTGTTGCCTCGAAGTATGAGTTTCTGCCGGTACCTTTCCTGATCAGGGCAATGCGCTAGCTCTTTCCACTCGGTATCGCTGTACTCTGACCGTCTGAAAGGGTGGAAACGAAGAGGATATACCTCTAAGGAGGTGACCTCCCTCTCTCCCTCAAATCGTTTGAAGTCGAAAAGTTTCTCCACCGGACCTATATGTTTCCCATCAAAATCGATGTATACGCAGCTGACACTGAAGGCTGCCTTCTTCCGGTCCTTATTCTCCCGACTATTCCGAGGATTATACCACTTCTGCCAGGCAGGGGCCATGCGGTGCTTCTCACTGGTAACGCCGATGACTTTGTAAGCCTGCTTGCCGTCGCTACTTATTACCTCGACACCAGGCCGAAATAGGTACCAGAGATCGGAGAAGAAGACTTTTCGACATAGAGGTCCGTTGAGGTAGTCTCGTTTTGCTACAACGTTTGAATCTAGGAATTGAAGGAGACATTTCAAATGCTCTAGTGCTGTTGGTGACTTTGTTGGGTCGTTTCCTTCGCTTTCGTTCTCTTCCCGTTCGCCTTCGCCGCCTGATTCTTCTGAAAGGTCAGCTAGAGGCTCAGCAACTCTCAAAGTGCTTTGCGCCTGTCCTGTGGCTGTCATGACCTGTTCTGAGGGGTCTGTGGATACTCCAAATTGAATCTCAGTAACCGTGTCATTGGTAAGTTGCCCCTTCACCGGCGCAATCTCATCACTCTGTTCTGCGTCAATGACTGAGGCTTTGGTATACGTAAGATCTCGCTGGCTGGTGGATGTCCTTTTTAGCTTCTTCTCCAGCGCCGTACACCAGTCTCGCAATGCGTGTTCTCGATAGGCGAGCGCCTTGTAAGGCCTGATGAATACAGCGGCCTCCACTTCCGAGTCATCTAGCGATCCCCCTTCTGATCCAAGAATTTGAACAAAGATCCTTAGAAGAGCATCAGAGTGTATTCTGATTCTCTCTGGAAGTGGTGTCTTGCCGGGTTCTTTGGGATTAAATGATTTCTGACCTGTGGATTTGGCCACGTCTCTGGTTGATTGACGTCCAGAGTAGCCAAACCACAGCTGATTTGCCCCCACATCGTCGTCAATGACAGGCTCACCGATGAGAATATCGACAACGTTTGCATCTTGCTCTCTGATTTTTGCTAGATGCTTGAACTGATACCACTCCAGAGGGTTGAGCCTAGGGGTGGCAGAACTATTGAGAACCTGCGCTGTACTGTCTGTCTTCTGATCCTCGCCGAGCTTGGAATTTCTATCGGGTACCACTATATGACGCTTTCGCTGCTCCTGCTTCTTGGCACTTTCTATTTGGGCTTGTTTTCGCAGTTGCATCTCTTCAGCCAAGAATAAGCGTTCCAACTCCATTCGAAATTTTTGCGTACTCTGTCTCGGCGATAACCCCAGTCGATGGTTATGTCGTATTCGTCCTTTGAACCTTTTCCGTCTTCTTCTGGATGGGCCGTACCTTTGAAGCCACAATCATGATCAGGGTCAAAGACATCCGGCCGCTCGTACGAATTGTCTGCCGAAATATCTGGGAAACATACATTCCATCGTTGTCTACCATTCTGCACAGCACGTGCATATCGATAGAACCCGGTCCAATCCCCTGGCCCTATATTAAGCTCCCACTCTTTCCGGTGCTTGTACAAGCAGGCTTCCATCCGCTTGTATTTTTCTACATCGGCCATGACTTCGGGATCGATTCCTGCTGTCTCAGATCCCGCAAGACCGGGTTTGGCCTGACGCGTCTCGAGCTCCGCAATCTTCTTTTTCAAATCGTTGAGCTCATCAAAAAGCCCAATGCCCACTGATGGTGTAGGCCTTTCGCCCTCACCATCTACAGCTGCTACATGATGCTTGCCAACGTATTCGGTTGCTGGCTTTGTGTTCTCGTCAAGGCTCAAAGTATCGTTGATAACGTCGGCCATTTTCTAGCCCTGAACAGGAATCTCTCGAACCAAGCGGACGGATCGCGGCTGCTGCAGGTGCGCTGCAATGACGGGGCACCAAGACCACGGCTGAGTAAACACAAGAGGAGTGGTCTTAGAAGAGACTAGCACCCTGAACAGACTAGTTGCGCGGTAATATCTTAAGATGGTAGGGCCTTGACAATGGATGCTGTGAGGAAAAAGCGCATGCCGCACCTTTTAAATCAAGAGTGCAGGAGGAGACTTTAACCTTGAGATCAGCATGTACAGTGATGAACCCCGCCCGCCCAGGTGTGGGGGCGAAAGTGCTTGCATAAATCTAGATGCACCTCTGTCTACGTTAATGTCATTGAGCGATAAGAATTCTCAGCCTTGTCACGCAGGAGCGACCGGAGATGGCAGTTGCTAGCGAGAAGAATGCGCCATACAAGCCATCTTTTCGTAAGCCTTTTATAAATTGGTGTGACCTGAACCAAGCTTTGCAGTTGAATAGTTGCCTTGACCACTGACAGCCTTACACGACCTCTTCTCCTGCCCAGAACAAGTGTCATCATGGCGAACCCGCCTATACCAACACTTTCGAAACGAGCGCCGACCATTGATTTCATTGATATGCGACTCTCCAAATACCATCCGGCATTTTCTTCTCAATCCGTGAGGTATGATCCGATGTCGAGGCATTATGTGCCGGCTTCCCAGGTTTTGGTGGCGAATATGAATAACAGCCTCGCGACACCGCCAGCATCGAACGCGCAGCCAAGTGGCAACGGTCTACCGCAAAGGCCAGAATGGACAGATACGAGTGCTATGAAGTTCTGGAATGAGGTCTTTCCAGATGCTATGATAAAATTGAAGTCCATGAAAGAGCCTAAGGGCCGACCGGAAACATTGTACCACATCAGAGACAAACCCAACTGGGATGCTATCTATCATACGCTTGAATCGGCGCGCGCAGAATACCAGAAGAGCGGAAACCCAGTGAGCTGGATGCGAAATATGCGAAGAAAAGCCGCTGACAACATCACTCCTGGAGTCGAAGTGACAAAGATCGCTTCAAAATCTGTTCCTCAGGATCCAATCGCGACTCCGGTGATAGGCGCCGTAGGAGTCGTACTCGACGCTTTCCAAACTGCTGCAAATGTGCGAAACCAGGTTCTTGCAGGCTTCGATGGGGTGATTCCAATCTTTTCCGACGTAGAAGTCTTCCTCAGCACGTTCCAAGGTGATGTGAACATTCGGAACGCATCCATCGATTTAATTGCCGCGACTCTAGAGGCTGTGGAACGAGCCATAGGCTTTTTCATCAGCAACGAGTTCTTCCGAGGCGGGAAAGCGCTCCTGAGTGGTGAAAAGTACGAGGAGAGCTTACTCCAGAGCCTCACCATGATCCAGACAAAGGCCAGCGATCTCATGCAGCAAGCGTTGAAATCGCACATATTTCAATTCCAAATGTTTTCACAAGAGACGAAAAGGGTTTTTGAGCAGCATGTCAACCAGGTCAACAACTTGGTCGCCGGAAACAACAATATAGAGCAGTTACTGAGAGACCATCTGCAGCAGAAAGATCTCCAGCTGGAACGTGTCCGACAGGAAAACGTTTATCTCAAGGTCGAGAACGGGATACTGCGCTCTACATCGCCAGTGCAGCAAATCACGTGGGCTCCTCCGCAGCAGTCAGCCCTAGCACCGGCCCCAGGTTGCCACATGAACCAAGAAATGCTCCGGAACATAATCGCTACTTTTGACCTAGACTTCGATGACGTCGCCTTCGTCATGGACAAGAAAGGGCAGCTTTCTGGAAAAGACATGGCAAGAGCCGAGCAAATCATCCACACGCGGCTCTTCCAGAACTGGATTGTATCTGCCTCGTCGTCGAAGCTTTTGGTCCACTGGGACTTGAGCCAATCGCGTAGGATTGCCGAAGTCTCGCCGCTGTCTGTCTTCTGCATGACGCTGGTGCAGACTCTACGGACCAAAGACCGATTCATGTCCGCACTGTGGTTCTGTGGATGCCATGTTGACGAGAGCGAGCCTGGAGCTCGTACTGGTGGGCATGCGATGCTTTTGAGTCTAATCGACCAGTTGCTAAGGCAATTTCAATTCGACACTAGGTCCTTGTACAATGACATTGACCTTGTGAGCCTTGGAGAGGGTGGTCTTGAGGTGCCTATCAAGCTACTCGACTCGCTGGTGCGACAATTACCACCCCATATAACGCTGTTCATCATTATCGATGGTGTAGTTCTATTCGAAAGGGAGCAGTTTGTAGATGAGGCATTGGAGGTGTTTGCCAGCTTGATTCGCCTCGTTGTTGATGCCAGTGTTATGGCTTCCGTTAAGGTGTTGTTTACCAGCACACCCGGCACGGCAATCGTACGATCGGCTTTTGAGCCAGAGAATCTGATTCTGGCTGCAGATAACTTGCCACGGCCGGCAGTATGGAGCGAGGAACGCATGGTACGAGAGCTTGAGGGCGAGCTTGGAGACGACGAGGACCGTGATGAGTGGAGGTGAAATAGAGCCCCTACGAAGAGAAAATATTCGTAGCTTGTGTTTTAGTTTTAAACTCTGGATTAAGTTTTTACAGTTTTGAATTCCGAACCTTTGGGGCATAATCTTCACCCGTAGCCAAGTCGGGGGTACTGAGCTCGGGAACAGGCCCAGATGCAGCAACTTTGCATTTGTACCGCGCGCCGTGAGTCGTTCCCCCCCAACCACGCCTTAGCGCCACCCCCACTAGCCGGTGCAAATTGTTTGCTTCGACGAATAGCAAAATGCGCTCGTGGGTAGAGGTTTAAGCCGAACGGCATCGGCTTAAGTAAGTTTGAGTAGGTGCATTCGACCATGAATTGCTTTTTTGCCCTCTCGACTCATTCTTTCTTTTCTCACTAGTACTACTACTACTGCTGCTGCTGGTCCTTTCAGCGACAATGGCCGCCGATGATGCTGTGGACAGGGTAGCAACCGGGGAAAATGCCACAAACGTACAGGCATCTAAGCAGGCGGGACTGCATGGCGATGTCGAAGTTGGAGCCGAGGCAATTGACCTCGATAGAATCGAAAGGGTGTATGCGTAAGTAAATTTTTTTGGCTTTCTTTTTGCAAATACCATACAAGCTACATGTAAAGGCATGCTGATATCGAATTTAGCAAGCTTGATCGTAGGATACTCCCGGCATTCTGGGTTCTCTACTTCATGTGCTCGGCGATCCGCTCAAACATTGGACTTGCTCAGACCATGAACCTGGCTGAGGGCCATGACCTCGGATCTGTGCTCGATATCACGCCTAAACAGGTATCTACGGGTCTGGCGCTGTTCTACGTCTGCTATGTTATTTTCGATTTGCCTTCGAATCTCATCATGTCGAGGGTCAGTCCGCACGCGTGGATGAGTCGCATCGTCACTTGTGTTGGCATCATTGGCATGTGCTTGACTGCTATGAATGCTGCATGGAACCTTTAGTAAGCGTGCACTTGGTGCTGGCTGGGTGTCTGATCGCTGACCATGTGCAGTCTACTTCGGTTGTTGCTGGGAATCGTCATTGCAGGCATGTGGCCTGGCATGTCGTACTACTTGACTCTGTTCTACCCCCCGTCTCGAACTGGAAAGCGGATTGGACGTTATTTCACCGCTTCCCAGATGTCTGCAGCTGTTGTAGGCTTGGTATCGGCTGGTTTCCAAAAAATGGACGGTGTCGGTGGACTGGTTGGGTTTCAGTGGATGTTCCTGCTCTATGGCATCGTTGGGTTCATCGTCGGCGTGTCTCTACTGTGGTGGCTTCCCGACAGGCCACTGCCTCCCGGTCAAGTGCGCCAGCGAACAGGGTGGATGAAGTGGCTTCCTCAAAGCAGACCGGCTCTGGAAGGCGAAGACGCGCGCGTTCACTACGAGGATCTCACACGTGTCTACAGTCGTAAGCTGTGGAACATGAAAGACCTGTGGAATGTCATCGCCGACTGGAGGATCTACCCATTGGTCGTCATGTACTTTGGGGTGGTGGGTGTCGGCAACGGAACGCAGGCATATGCGACTGTCATCATCCGGGGCATCAACCCAAGCCTGACGAGCATCCAGCTCAGTCTGCTTTCGGCGCCCATCTGGATTGTGAGTAGAGTGCAGTCTTGGCAAGAAAAGCGAGCTGATGCGTGTATGTGCAGATGGACCTGGTTGCTATATTACTGGTCACCCCAATCTCGGATCGCTTCCACCACCACCGGCCTGCGTTTTTCAGCGCTGCCGTTCTCGTCCAGATGACCGGACTGCTGGTGGCGACGTTTGCAAACGGGTGGTCACGATACGGCGGGGTTCTGCTCATTGGGTTTGGGCTTGGGCCGACGGTGCCCATCTGCATGGCATGGTCCAACGAGATCTTCCAGCCGCGGCATGGAGAGGTGGGAGTGGCTGCAGCCAGCGCGCTGGTGTCTGGACTGGGTAACCTAGGCAGCATCTTGACGACCTACGCGCTGTACTCGGGATGGCCTGCAGATGCGCAGGCGGGGCCGCACAAGTACCGCAAGAGCAACCTGGTCATGATTGGCATCCTGGGGGGCAGCATTGTCAGCGCGGGCAGCATGGTGGTGCTGCTGAGGGTGTTTGGCAGCGGCACGGGCAAGCAGGTGAGCAGCGCAAGCTCGACGAGTGAAGGAGAGGCGGCCTTTGTCGACGGTGCGGCGCGACGTGAAGCGCAGCAGCGGGGCCTGGGGCGCCTGTTCTGCTTCAAGTGAGGCCGTGGCGGTGGAGCGGGCATTCCATGTCCTGTAGTCATGCAAGTCAACATGCTGGAGCTGACGGCATGGTGCGCTAGACGGCTCGAGGCACGCACACAATGCCATGCGGCCGGTTGGGGATGCAAAAGCGAAAGAATGTGCCGCATCGGGGCGTGCAGGTGAATCCACGGGCAGGCTCGGTAAGGCGTTGAGTGACCATGTCTGTTCCGAGCATCGTCATTCTGCGCCCCAGCCCGCCCACTTGTTCCCCATACCTTGCTGCTCCTGTCCTGTCCCGTTCGTGTTTCCCTTGTTCTCCACCCCGTCTCCTCTCTGCTGCATCCCCATTCTGATCCTGATCCTGATCCTGATCCTGACCCTGATCCTGACACCATCCCCGGCAATCTGCACTCCGCCCCCTCCCCACAACCTCGTCGACGACAAGCAACGGCCGGCTGCTGCACGCCTGCGTTTGCGGAAACGGCCGCATAATCAGTAATTAGACCCAGGCCTCTTCGCCCGTCGCCAGCCCTGCGTGGTCATGTTGGTCGCAGCGTCGGGTCGGTAGCAGCAAGCGCACATCACCAGAACATCTGCTCGCTCGGCCCTGACGTAAGTTTGGCTGCTGCACTCTGCCCGCCCCGTCACTGCAACTGCACACAACAATAGCACTGCAACTCGAGCCTTGTGCCTGTGCGTCTCTCTCTTTCTCTCTTGTCGTCGTCTCCCCCCAGACACACGCGCTTCTCCTCGCATGCTTCCGCCCTGCATCGGCACACCTGCTAACCGCGTGTTACCTGTGTAGTCCCCGCAGACGCAAACCGCCCTCCAGCCCTATCCCCGCAAAAGCCTCTGGCCAGCGCCTCCAAGCACCACCGGCGCCATCATACCACCCGCCATACAATGTCGGCCGCAATCGATAATGACGACTTGGAGGAACTCTCCATCTCCATGCCCGCACAGCGGCGCGGCGCCGCCCAAACCAGCACCCCAAAGGCCCAGGACCCCGCCCAGCCCCCGCCCTCTGCGCTCGGAACAGCGGTGCACGAAACAAAGAGCAAGGACGCAAAGGCGAGCCAGCGCCTCGGCCAGTATACCATTGTCCGCACCCTCGGCGAGGGCTCCTTCGGCAAGGTCAAGCTGGCCACCCACCAGGTCAGCGGCCAAAAGGTTGCCCTCAAGATCATCAATCGCAAGAGGCTCGTCACCAGAGACATGGCAGGCAGGATCGAGCGTGAGATTCAGTATCTGCAGCTGCTGCGCCATCCCCACATCATCAAGCTGTACGTCGTTTGCCTGTAGCCGCGCTTGCCTCATTTTCATGCTCACTTTTGCTCCCCTAGCTATACCGTCATAACAACGCCGACCGAGATCATCATGGTCCTCGAATACGCAGGCGGCGAATTGTTCGACTACATCGTCAACCACGGTAAACTGCAAGAGGCACAGGCCCGAAAGTTCTTCCAGCAGATTGTATGCGCCGTCGAATACTGCCACCGACACAAGATTGTCCACCGAGATTTGAAGCCCGAGAACCTCCTTCTCGACCACGATAGCAATGTAAAAATTGCCGACTTTGGTCTGAGCAACATCATGACGGACGGCAACTTTCTCAAAACAAGCTGCGGTAGCCCCAACTATGCTGCTCCCGAGGTCATTTCCGGCAAGTTATACGCTGGTCCCGAAGTCGACGTCTGGAGCTGTGGTGTCATACTCTACGTCTTATTGGTCGGCCGACTACCCTTTGACGACGAATATATCCCTACCCTCTTTAAGAAAATTGCCGCGGGCCAGTACAGCACACCCAGCTATCTCTCGCCAGGAGCTACCTCTTTGATCAGAAAAATGCTCATGGTCAATCCCGTACACCGCATCACCATTCCCGAGCTTCGACAAGACCCCTGGTTCACGACCGATCTCCCAGCATACCTCGAACCGCCCGCACAGGAGTTCTTTGACAGCGGCGCTGACCCCAACAAGGCCATTGATCCCAAGGCTCTTGCGCCGCTGGCAGACGCTCCGCGTGTGCAGGCGCTGCATGAAAACGTAGTGACAAAGCTTGGAAAGACAATGGGTTACGCAAAGCATGACGTGCAAGATGCCTTGGCACGCGATGAGCCGAGTGCTATTAAAGATGCTTACCTTATTGTCCGCGAGAATGAGATGATGCGGGAGAATCGTAAGCATGACTACTGATCTACTATTGGCTTGTAGCTGACTGTTTATACTAGCCTTGTTAACCAACCAGGATGGTATTCCGGTGTGGAATCACCAATCGCCGCCTGCGCACGACAGTTATATGGAAAGGTTAAGACCGCAATCACTGAATGCTGTATCCCGTCCACAATTCATACCCCCGGCGCCTTCGGATCATGAAAGGGCACGCCAAGGGTCCAATGCTAGCAGTCAGCTTGCAAGCATTCGCAGCCCGGTCAGCACCATCGCAATTCTCCCGAGTAGTCTTACAGAATACCACAAGGCTTACATGAAGGGCTATCCAAGGCCCACTAACAAGATTTCGGAAAGCGAGGCTCTCCCACCAACACCTGAACAGACGGAAGAACAACGGCAGATATCAGCTCGAAGACTAAAACCAAATTTCCGTACACTACCTGAAGCAGGCAGAACCAAGCCGGAGCCGATGACTAGCCTGCCCACCAAGAAGCCACGCGCGACCAAGTGGCAATTCGGCATTCGATCAAGAAACCAGCCTGCTGAGGCTATGCTTGCTATATTCAAGGCATTAAAAGCCATGGGCGCCGACTGGGAAGTACCAAAGATACGCAGAGCCGGCGGCCGTAGCGGGTCTCGCAGTCGGAGTACCTCTCAGGCCCCAGAAGACCGTAAGTCGAAATCAAGGAATCACTCACAGGACTCTATCTCGTCACATTCATCAGACGAAGACCAAGGCTCGCGGAAGGGCTCGCCACGTCGCGAGCCGCTCAGTGTGCGCAACAATGGCACAAGCGAACAAGAAGCAAGAGGTCGACAGAAGAAGCACTATAACCATACAAATGACTGGGGCTACCACGTGCCCGAAGATCCCTGGGTTATCCATGCACGCTTCTTGAAGGAGGGCATGTTCCCGCCTGGCGTTGCGCATCCCTCGTCGACGCACTCTTCACGCGTCGATCTCACCAACGATCCCTCTGGCGCACGAAGACGGAGTTCGACTAATACCAGCACATCGAGCGCTGGTCATGGTGTCGAAGGCATGACCCCTTCAGAGCGCGCAGGATCGGTTAGTGAGGACCAAGTAAACCCTGACGAAGCAGTATACATCTACATGTCCATCCAACTGTACAGCATCGATCGTGACTTTTTTGTCGTCGACTTCAAATGCGCAGGCTACGAGCGCCTCGTCACCAATCTTGTGCGCGAAATCAAGGCATCCATTCCGCTTTCAGGCTCGCACCAACCCCCACCGCATCACCAGGACGGCTGGGACGATGAGCAGGGTGTGTGGCGCCGATTGGACGAAAACGAGCCGCTTCCCGAAGACTTGGCCAAGAAGCTGAATGAAGGGGGTACCGAGATTCTTCGAGAAAGGACGGAGCTTGTGGGTGCGGGACGCCAGGAAGGCGAGAAGATTGTGACGAGTCCGTTTCCCTTTCTCGATGTTGCCAGCACCCTTATCTTGCAATTGAGTGGCGAGTAATTTTGTGTGCTTGTGCGCAATCGAGAGAGACAGCGAATGTATGTATAGAATGTGTGGGCAAGGATGGATAGATGCACACCTAGATTCGGGACTTTGCCCACTTGCAGAGAGAATCCGACCTCTTTATGGTCGAAATGCACGTCATTGCACTTACTCTTACCACTTTCAGTGACCTAGGAATCACTCGAATTTCAAACAAGTAACATACCTCATTACAGTTTATTCGGGTATGCATTCCAGAGTAGGAGATTGTCGTATTAATAGTGGCCAACTCATTTTTTCCTTTGTCCTCGAACGCTTTCTTTCACTTGTACTTCACAAGGCATTCCGACAAAGCATGTAAATACACACACACACACACACACACACACACACACACACATACACATACATGTTTACCAACAGTCCAGGATATCATACTTTGCCCATCCAACAGAGGTCCTTTTCCTTTGCCCTCAACCAGACGATACTAATTACACGGTATGAACAAAGAGGTGAGAATATTTGCGCAACAAGACTGAAGACTGGGCATACTATCGTCCTATTTTATCGCATGCCAAATCCTCCAGCAGCGGCACCCATAGCGCCTAGTCTAGAGGCGAGCTTGGGATACTTTTCTTGAACCTATTCAATTATATTAGCAATTGTTGGTCGAAATAGAGATGCTTTTTTATAAAAAAAAAAAAAGAAAAAAAAGAAAAGGAGAAAAAAACCATGCGTAGGGGATTTAACTCACCTCGAGTTGAGTCCTTGTCGCTTCGGCATAACTTAGTGCGTTGACAATCTCGCCTTCTGTCCTTGACAGCTCTGCAGCACGCTCAAAGTACTTGAGCGCCTCGGTGACCTTTCCTTGTTGCAACAACAATTGTGCCATGGTGGCAACCGCGATGTCGCACTCCGGATCAATGATGAGCGCCTTCTCGCATAGCTTCTCGGCTTCATCAAAGTCGTTCTTCCATTGGAAAAGTGCAAGGGCCTTGTTGATCAGAGGCAGGACATTCATGCCAAGAGGCTTGGTCGTCTTCTCCATCTCGACGGCAGTGTCGAACTTCTCAATAGCTTCTTGGTACTTTTGCTGGTCGAGAAGTAGTTCACCATAGTAGTTGTACACATCGGGCACCTGAGAAAAGTTCTTCATGCAGCGGCGGAAAGTGGCCATTGACGAGGCGATGCTGCCCATTTTGTACTGTGTGACACCGAGCTGAATGTGCGAGAAAATGAAGTCCTTGTCCAGGTCAATCGACTTTTGGTAGTCCTTAGCGGCCTCGCCAAACTCGGACTTGATAAAGTGTAGTTGTGCGCGGTGGTAGAAAATATCTGGGTCGTTTGCATTTTGCTCGAGCGCAGCGGCAAAGTCGGCTTCGGCAGCCTCTGGGTTGGCAAGCTCGAGGTGCATGCTGGCACGCTTGATGAAACTCTGGGTTAGTGTGGGCTGAAGCTCGATGCTCTTGTCCATGTCCTTGAGCGCATCTTCGTTGTCACCTTTGAGGTAGCTGAAGGTTCCGCGCATGTTGTACGCGAACGCCTCATGTTCTCCGAGATCACCGAGTTCGAGGGCGCGGTCGAAGGCGGCAGCAGCCTCGGTGTATCCATCACCAGTCTTAGTAGCCATGGCCTTGAGACCCTTGCGCAATTGGCCCTTGCCACTCTCTTCGTCGAGTTCAGCGTCGTCTTCGAGGCCTTCTGGGGTTGGCTTTGGTCGGAAGCTCTGCAGATAGTTTGTGACGAAAGTTGGGCTGGGTAGTTTCTTCTCCTTTGCGGCTAGGATAGCCTTGCCCTTTGCTTCCGCAACCTTCTTCAGTAAACGCTCAACACTCTGTGCACTGTTCTCGTTGCGGAACCCATCGATAATGCAGCTGGCAGTGTAGTCCAGAAGGGCTTCACTGTTGCGCTCGACTTGTTCGTATGCATTCGCTCTCCGGTTCAAGGCCTTGACGTATTCGTTGTCGAGGTTGATAGCGGCAGTGGTGTCCTCGATGACCTTTTCCCACTCGGACATGGCATTGTAGCAGGCGGCGCGGTTGGAGTAGAAGACAGGATCTTGTTTACAGAGAATGGCCTTTCCGTAGAGATCGATGGCGCGGTTGTAGTCTTTGGAGCCGTACGCCTTGTTGCCTGCTGCCTTGAGCTTGGCGGCATACTCTTTGCGCACCTGTGAAAAGTCAGCCTATTTTCCCGAGGCAACCAAGATAGTGTTTGGAGAGGGTTGCTGGCACAACTTGACCCCGCCATGGCCCTGTGCAGCTAGGACAATCCATTGACTGCTGGTGATGTTGAACGCCAATATGAACATGACGGAGTCCGTGTGTCCAGGTGCCTCGTTACGATATTCTATGTCGTACCTCGTCTGAAAGTGCAGCAACGCTGTTCTCGTCGACATCGGGGAGCTGGTCTTCGGTGGTCTCGGCTACTGTTGCCTTCTTCTCTGTTGTTGCATCAGTTTATGCTCCGCCACAAGCAACAATGGAAGCGCATACCAGAGCCCTTTTCGGGGGTCGACTCCTTCTCAGCCCTCTCTTTTGCACGCTTGCGTTCGCGTTGCCTCTTGCGCTTGGCGGCCGATGTGTCTGCTCCGCTATCGCCTTTTGAATCATTTGAGAAGTAGTATACAACTCCACCAGCACCCACGACCAGCGTGATTCCGGCAATTGTGTATACAACACCCTTGTTTTCCGAGGCCCAATTTGACAGTCGGTCCCAGAGCGAGTTGTTGTTGTCGACGGGAATCTGGACGGGGAATGGGCCAGGGCCCTGTGGCACAGGTGCATTTACGGGCGCCATATCTGGTGTACTCGGATAATTGTGTTAAGTAGATGCAGTACCGGCGTAAGTAGAAATGGCAGCTCAATGGCGATGGGCTGGTGTGTGTTGGGCCGTTCTGTTGTCGCAGAAATTTGGCTAAGGCAAGCTTTGGTGCAACGACATGAGCGAGGTGTGTGGCTCGAGCGCCAGGCGGACGTCATCAGCCTTGCCGACCAGCCGTTGTCTGCACCGCCACAGATTACTTTTCTACGTAGTATGCTCATACGGACGTACATATTAGGTATGTATATTATGTTTATATCAAGGCAATAGACATGGACTTCACTTAGATGCAAATTTTTTATTTTCCGTGACAAGACAAGACAATGTGGTTGCTGATAGTTTGCACAGAGAAGTCCCCGCCAGTTCTTCATGAGTCTGGTGGCGCTGAAAGTTTGTGCAGATCCTTACAGATTTCTCGAATGTCTGCGCTACTGTCTAAGCTCAAGACCTCTGCAAGTTCACTTTGACACCCAACCTACTCGGTCGCACTTCCAAAGTCAAGCTATATAACTCAATTCATGAATTGCCAGATGTTGTAGTAAATCATGATATTTTTGCTTTCGTGTCAATCGCAACACGTTTATTCTGGCATGTCTGTGGTTACTCCTGTGGTTAAAAACTATGGTTCACACCAAAGCAGCGGGTTTTTCTACAACCGATATGAGACATCGTTTTGTGTTACAATCTGCTAGTGTAAATGGTATTTCTACGCCTTGGTTACACGAGTACTGTGTCCTTAATCGCGAATGATCCGTCGTCACAAGCTTGACCATCCATCATACCATGCACGTAACACTCAGCAACGAACCCATGGTGATTATCCTCACAATTTCTCAGCACGTAGAGAACTTGTTCACCTAGTACAAGGCAAACTCGGTCATCTACTTCGGTAGCTGCCGGTCCCAGTCCAGAGTCACGGACGCCAAACTTGGTTGCCTGGTCAGGCTTGGACCTAGCTATCGCATTGGCGAGCACCACAAGCATGCAGGAAAGGTGATGACATGCCAAAGAATTTCCTCAAGAAAGAGATCGGTTTATGCTGCTGTTGCTGCTACTGCTGTGTATTCTTATTTGATTGAGGTGGAATGAATCAGGCTGAAGTCACAAATGAGGTATGAACAATTGGACAGCCCAGATTGTGGCGCAGTCAGACCAACATGTCTGCATCTAAGTGACCTACATGAACACCACATAGACGCTAGCAGGGAGGGTGGCCGACCTGCTCTGGCCATGGTCTTGTGCGAGGGGCGATAATTCGTAGACACAATTAAGGAGAATAATGATGTAGCGTAGTAAAATAGGTTTATATATAGGGTCTTCCCATGCGTACCCACTTCCACAGCTCTGCTAATACTTATCCCCTGCGAACACAAACCATCCAAGACCCCTCATATGTCGAATCAGAGCACCGAAGTAGAGCAACCCTCTAAAGCCCTAGATATCTCAGTGCTCATGCAAAGAGCTGCTGGCTGTTTGACGGTACGACAGCTGTATCACTGAGCGTGCCGAATTCATCCACTTTTATACTTGCACCTACCGCGCCTCGCTCGTAGTGCTCAGTTGAACACCTTTGTCGAAGCACAGGCCTCGTTACTCGGACCACAAATCTCTGTCCCAGTTTGTATCCTTCCCATGACATTGTGTTCCCCTTCAAACAGCCAGAGAGCCGGCCAGAGCTCGGCTATTGCTTGGTCTAAGAATCGGCGCCGGTGATGCCGATAAGTATAAGGATGCGGTGGGCTCAATTAAGCCGTTTGTTCGATCGATGGGGCGGGCCACAGTACACCTTAGAGCTCGAGGGCATCGAACAGTTTGTTCCTATGCTACAGAATTGAGTGTTGCTGTGCGCTGGACTGTAACTAGATGGTGTACGGGATCGCTGTTGCAGTTTATTCCGACGCTAGCAAGTGAGATGCCGCTCGCTGCTGATTGGATGACTGACCCTAAGACCCACCTTTAGTAGTGTACAACGCATCTTCGGCATTCCGCATCCTCGCAACAGTCATAGAGCATTCCCACTGTGTTGTAGTAACTGTTCCCTTTGACGAATATTCATCTCAAAATGGCATCCGAAAACGAATTCCAACTCTTCACATCATTGCGTTATGATCCGTTACTTCTCAAGTCCGAGGAGAACTCGCGCTCAATTCTAAACTTTGTTGCCCCGTCGCCATTCTATATGCTTGCATATCATCGAGACCGGATGGTCGAGGCAGCACAGCATTTTGATTTTGATGAAGTGCAGAAACGGCTTGAGGATGGCAAAGCTCTGCATGAAGAGTTGTTGACGAGAACCAAGGCTGAGATAGAAAAGACTGGGAAGGATCGAGCAATGAAGGTGTGTCACCATCACACCAAACACGAAAAATACTGACATTCCCAGCTGCGATTATTGTTTGACAAAGCCGCAAATCTTACGGTCGAGTTCACAGACGTGCCAGCCGTGCCGCTTTCTACCCTCTACCCTCCATCGCTAGACCCACCAAACGCAAAAGTTCAACACGCCTCGGCAGCAGCCTTCAAAGCGTCTCCGTTGACAGGCGGCGCCCTGACCCTTGGACCGGACGATTCACTTCCAGCACCAACATCGACACCCCCGCCTCCACCAGAATGGACAATCAGGCTAGACACTGCGCCCACCCCATCCTCACCCTTTACCCTCTTGAAAACGACAAAACGAGAAATGTACGACCAAAGCCGCGAGCGCGCCCTGCCTGAGAATCCCGCAGGTCCCGCTTACCGGGAAGTTATGCTCTACAACGAAGTCAACGAGCTCACCGAAGGCACCCTCACCTCACTCTACCTTTTCCGCGGTGGCCGCTGGGTGACTCCTCCTGTTGGCGTGCCATCTGGCGAGTTCACTAGCAAGACGCTGAAAGATGATGGCGCCGATGAAGGTGAGCTGAGGAAACCGTTTGCGGGCCGATGGGGCCATTCAACGAGGAGTGCCAAGGTCGGTGCGGGAGGTCAGAGGGGTACGAGCAGGAGATGGGCACTCGGAAGTGGGTACTGTATGGAAGAGCCTGTTAGTATCGAAACTGTTGAGGTGGGCGAGGGTGTATGGGTGAGTAATGGAGTCAGGGGGTTTGGTTTTGGGAAAGTGGTCGAGTAGGAGACAGTGCTGGTCTTTTGGCGGCGGAGACTTGTTGTTTTGAAAGTTTTTGAACGTGGATGATGTCTCATTGAAAATCTTAAGTGCATCGCTGGGAATGCGCTAAATGGGGGGAATATCCGACTTGGTGTTGGTTGCACGACACGAGACAGGGTGCTTAGGTCAGACAGGGAAGTAGGTACCTCAGCGTGCCGACTACGCGACAAGAATCAAAGAACGCATGTGGCACGGCCGGTTCTCCAGGTACGACTCAGCGATAGAATCTGCTCACCACAATATTATTCAATCGCTTGTCACACAGAACCTTGATACTTCCTCTCCAAATGAATTACCAAGTAAACAAACTCTATGAACGAATACAAAAGAAAGCGGGTATCAAGGTATGCAAATAGAACGCTTTTCTTACATACATCTTCCACAAATCACAGAAAAACATTGACATTACCATCTCAACGCTTCCTCCTGACCCGCTCCACACTGTCAACCACCACCTCGGTCGTACAAAGAATCTTACTGGCATCCTCGGCTCCACTCTCGGCATGCAGAATCCTCTCCTGACTACTCGTATGCACCCCATTCCTATCGCTATAAACAACATTTTGATGGTTTGGCCCGCCTGCCAGCTTCTCGCGGAGGCTCCCGCGGTTCGCCATTTCGAACGTCTCGTCTATGGTTAATGTCATTGTTGTGGTGTTTGTTGTGGGAGAGTTCCTTGTCGTGTCGAGGAAGCTGGCGCGGGGTTTGTGCTGCCGGCCACTGCCGATTGTTTCGGCGTGCTCGATGTCGTTGTAGTTGCTGCGGCGTGGGGTCCGGGAGGAGGGGTTGCTGCGGAGGAGGGGTTTGAGGGTTGGGATGCAGGCGGCGATTATGCCAACATTAAGTTGGAGGCTGAAGGGGAGATGATGGGTTAGTCGGTGAGTCTTTGTTGGAAGGGGTCCGTTTGGTGTATGTATGGGCGATTAGAGGGGGGGTCACTTACAAGCCGTAGACGTTTAGGTGCTGGCTGCTGTGAGGGATGTTAGTGAGGTTGGAGAGGATGGGTTGAGCGGACTTACAATGTCCTGTCTCTGTCTCGTTTAACTTGATAGCTGGCTTTTACTATTCCCAGTGCAACGGCACTGTCGTATTGTCAGTGACGGGAGGCTGTTAAGCCACGGGTGCTGCTTACATGTATCCGAGACTGAGAACGCCAATCAAGTTGATACGCGTAGTCCGGGACATTTGCAAACTCCAGATGATGGGAATTGGCAGAGTTGCAAAACAGACATCAGTAAAGATGTTCAAAGCTATGACATGTCAGTAGAGGTCTCGCAGTGGTTGTTATGCGCTTACCCGTGTTCGTCAGTGCGAACCCAACAAACATCTTCTGGCTGTAGCAGATACCTTTCTTGGTCCACATTGCATCCATAGGAGTGCAATACAGGAAGAAGGTGAGCCATGCGCCGATCGTGTAGATTGTTACCAAACCTGTTCGAGGATGTTAGGGTCATGACTCAAGTTCTCAAACGCTATTCTTACCTATCAGGGCCCACAGACAGCGCGAATACCATTTCCACATGTTGTTGTTCTTCAGTCTGAGCAGGAAGAAAGCGATGGAAATCTTCAACAGCCCAAGGGCACCAATGGCAGAAATTATACTGCCAAAGAAGCCTATATGAGTGAACTCCTGCATATCTTCCTTTGAAACCACCTTAGCATGTTGTCCAAAGCCATGGTTGCCCTGAAGGATAAAACAAATCCATCCACCCAGAGCCCCAAGCTGGCATCTGTTAGCAATGCTGAACCAAAGAGTGAAGCCTGAGTACGTACAGCAGCGAGCACGATCGCAATGTCGTCTTTTCCCAGCGACCGCAGTAAGCCCACTCGGACAAATAGTCGGAGGCCAACACTAATCAATGCGGTGATATGGAAAACGCCCGTCAATGCGAGGAGGCGAGGAAGGTTGTTCTCGGCCGCCCATTCGGGGTCCACAGGAGGGCCCACAGAAGTCGAAGACATGATCGTCGCCGACGAACGCAAACCAGTGGGGCGAGAACTGAATAACAAAAGATAGGAACATCGAGCATTAAAAGAATGAAAATGAGATACCTTCTTCTCTGACGCTGGCAGACAGGAACTCGGTTCCAACCAAACGTTTCACAGTGCGCTCATGACGCTCTTGCATTACTTTGGGATCAGGCGGTTTTGCCCTCTATGCATCACAACAGCTGCCACATTAGGTATATGTGCTATCGGACATAGGTGCGCGATGTGGAACTCGTCCATGTTTGTCCTTCTAGGCATCTTGGCCATACAAGCGGTTCGCTGCCATGGCCGCAATAGAGCTGCTACTATTGGATGTGCTCGTGAACACCAAGCTGTGTAAATTGTCAACACTGCAATCCTCCCGGATCCGCCAAGGTCTTCCTTGTTCTTTACGGAGAAGCTACAAGCTGCTGGATGTCCTGCGGCTTGTAGAAGATTGAAGGAGACAGTTGCGGAAAATTGGAGAATCAGAAGGGAGGTTATTGGTAGTAGTAGTATAAGCCAGACTTTTACTTGGATATGTAAGTAGATGAGCGTGGCGCAGTTGGTGTGGACGGAGAATGCAGCAATGCGATGGCTGTGTCTCGTGGGATTACCCGGCGGGTGTTGGACTACTTTGAGACGGGTTTTAATTAATGGCTGCGGTCGCTACAGACTCACCAACCACAACTAAGTAATCCTCCTAGCCCCCGTCGCCCCCCCGTCGTCCCGCCCTTCCTTCGCGGCACGGTTTGCGCTTCCCCTGGCAATCTTCCACCAACCCGGACTACCGAACAAGTATGGTTCGCTTCAACTTTTCCTGCCCTCAGCCTTTGCAAAACGCCACTTGAGGCAAAGCAAAGGACTTGGTTGCACTGTGGGTTTGGCATGGCGCAGTTCCATGGTTGATCTTACCCCTTCTCCGCTTCACGAATGCAAACTAGAATTTGGCCCCTCATGCGTGCCATCTGCGCGGGTATATCGAGGGCGGCTTGACAGATGCTTGGCAATCCTACGAGCCCACATAGACCAAGATCTCCTGCAGACGGCCTGTTCGAACAAATGGATTCTCGAATTGCCATGGACATGTGTGCATATTGTCGATGGCAAAGGCAATGAGCGACGCACAACTTGATAATCGCCTCACAATCATATAATCTACTTCATACTCTACACTCTACACTACAATCGTGATATCCAACTGCCTACTTCGACCCACAGCCCAAGACCTCGGTATCACACGAGTCATGCCCACCCTCTCAGGTGGGTGTGCGCTTCACATGGGCCGCGTCTAGGACATGAATCGGGCTCATCACCAGCTATTTCTAGACATAGGACCAAGACAAATCGTTCAAGGACGGCCTTGGGTGCGGATACAGCTGGCCGATCCATGCCGGTGCATGCGCATGCAAGTCAGCCTACGCCCCATAAAGCCCATATTAGACGCGCTGTACGCAGTTTTACTGTGGATTTTTCTTTTTCAGCAGCCAACACTCTTGTTTCACGCTCGCCTACAAGATGCGTTTCCTTGGTGTCCCTATCGCTGTCCTGGCGTTGGCCAGCGTAGTCGAGTCCGCTGCGCTTCAACGCCGCGACGTTATCCAGGATCTACAGGACCAAGCAATTGCGGCACTGAAAGAGGCAGAGACCAATGGTAACCTTGAAAGGAGATCGAGCTGCTCTGTGTTTAATGCACCAGTCAGGAGGAACTGGTAAGATGGTGTGTCGTTATGTGTTGTCAATCAAACTAATAGCCCCCAAGGGATCATTTGAGCAAGAAGGAGCGCAGAGAATACATCAGCGCTGTGAAATGCTTACAGTCACTGCCTTCGAAATCCGACCCAGCATTGGTTCCAGGCGCCAAAACCCGATTCGATGACTTTGTCGGGCAACACATCAATCAGACACGGTCCATTCATGGCACTGGAAACTTCTTGACCTGGCATAGGTATTTCACTTTTGCCTATGAGAAGACCTTGAGGCAAGAATGTGGCTACAAAGGCTACCAGCCTTACTGGAATTGGTTCAGTTACCAGGACGACGTTACAAAGTCTCCTGTTTTCGACGGATCTGATACGAGTATGGGTGGCGATGGCTCCTTTGTCCAGCACAACGGAAGTGTAGCTGGCGGCGGAACCATCTTCCTCCCTTCAGGCAATGGCGGGGGTTGCATACAGAGCGGACCATTCAAAGGGTCAGTACCCCCATACTCTTACTGACAGTTTGCCTGACTGACCGTACTAGTCTCCAAATTAACCTCGGCCCTGTAAGCCCAGGAATGGCCGGAGAGCCCAAGGTCGCACAGCCACTCGACTATAACCCTCGATGCTCAAAGCGAGACATCACGTCGGTTGCAGCAAAAACCTGGCTCACCAATGAGAATCTGCTCAACGTCACAATCGGCGCTGCATCCAAGAACATTGGCACTTTCCAGGATGAACTTCAAGGTCGCTTCGGTGATGGTTTCTTGGGCATGCACGCCTCTGGACACTATACCATGGGTGGAGACGGTGGAGACTTCTATAGCAGTCCCAACGACCCTGTCTTTTATCTGCACCATGCCATGGTGGACCGTGTGTGGTGGATCTGGCAAGCTCTCCACCTTGACCAAGCGAATACTATCGCGGGCAATGTCGCTGCATTCCAACCCAACAGTGCAAAGACTACGCTCAAAGACATTATCGAGATGAATTGGCTGAACATAGAGCCCAGGACAATTGAGGAGCTCCTAGACACGTTGGATGCAGACCCATTCTGCTACATCTACTTGTAATGCTTAATGAGGGACAAGAGTGTACATACTTATTATAATGGATTATTGTTAATAAATGAAAGGGAAACATAATTGCAAAGTCTGTGAAGCATGATTATCGACGTCGTGTTTACCTTTCTGTACCAATGTTGGAGCATCTGTGCTCCGCGGCACGCTGATTGGCTCGATCACGATCTGCCATCGAGTCCAGACCATCGGCTGTACAACCTCTATCGACTTCAATGTCAAGGTACATTTCTGGAAAAAACACAATGCAATGATGACCTCTATTTCCATCGTCGGTGTAGGCATTGCAGGCTTAACACTGGGCCGCAGTCTCTTACGCCGTGGCATACCAGCCATCTTATACGAAAAAGCGGCTGCGAAGCCTAGATTTAACTATGGCATTACTTTGCACGCGACAGCCTACAAACCACTCCTCAAGCTTCTCGACATTGACGAGGATGCATTCAAGAATCAGGTAGCTGTTGATGCAGAGATAGATGGCTATGGGAAGATTGGCTCAAGTGTAGAGCTTCTACGTCACGACGGCTTGTACGACACTCAGTCTTCTTTCCGCGCCAACAAAAATAAGCTTGAGCAACTGTTGCGCGAAGGACTCGATATCCGGTGGGAACATTCACTCGAGAGCCTGGAACACACTACGAAAGGCATTAAGCTGCAGTTCCAGAATGGGGAGACAAACTCAGCAAACATCATTATCGCCGCGGATGGCGTGCATTCGAGCACTCGAAAGCTCTTGTTACAATCCGCGCAGCCTAGTGTCCTGCCATACATCGTCTTCAATGGGAAGAGAAAACTTGACCGCGAGACATTCGACAAGCTGTACGCGCCTGCGATGAGGGAAGCAAATGTCATCGAGGCGAAACACGATGACGTGGTGCTCAACATTAGCGTCAATGAGAAGAAAGCTGAGGAAGTCAGCATCAGCTGGATATACTCGCGCGCAGTACGCAGTGACTCGGATTCTCTCCACCAGCCGAACCGATCCAAGGACGACGCCAAAAAGATCCCTGAGGAACTGTTCGAGGAAGCCCGGACTCTAAATTGTCTCCAGCCTCCTTTCTCAGAAGTTTTCGATGCGAAGAAGATGCGCGGCGACAGGATACTTCATTGGCTCATGCGAACCCTACTCCCTCCATTATCAGACATCCAGAGGCTGTCAGAAGACACTGGGGTGTACTTCATAGGTGAAGCTGTTCATGCGGAACCGATTGTTGGGGGCAACGGCGCCAACGCAGCCATTCTCGATGCGCTCTCGCTCGCGGAGCAGATTGCCAACGGCGATCGGGCGAGCATCTCGAATTGGTACAAGGAAATGTACCCGGTGTGGACGAAAGGAGTGGAGCGGAGCCGAGAGAGTATTGCCAATATGCATCGGCCAGCGAAGTCGGTTTCTGGTAATCTCTAAGGAGGAGGATGCTTGGTGCCGTGAAGAAGGAGTCTTGCGTACTATGCAATTCAGGTTCTCAAGCCATCACGCGGATGGATACCAAGAAATTAGCTAGAGAATACGTATACACTGCAAATTCACTTTGATATTCCAATGCGACACCCATGACCAACAATTGACCTATGCACACTAGATCGCACCCTCAGCTCTCCAGCGTCCCCCCTCCCCATAGCAATCCATACGTACACCAAAACCCCGAGAAATCCCCTTGCACATATAATTCCTTCTTATCGCCTCCCAACCCTTGCCCCCCAAAAAAAAGCCCAATAAAAAGAAAAGAAACTCTTACAGTAGCGTACCATTACTCCGTACATACCCGGCTCCCTGCGCCCTTTTCCAAAGAAAACTAGAACCCCCGGAACCCTGTAGCCGCCAAATGTCCGCATGCGGGCACTTACCTTAACCCACTTGTACCACGGCCATGGACAGCCGTCTTAGCGCCAAGCTAAATACCCGCCGCTACAGCCACCAATGTAGTACGCCCACCCCACCTCCGTCTTCGGTACCAATCACCCTCTTTACCTTTTTTTCTCTCTCCCTCCGTCGTATGTTTGGAGGGCATGGGCATGTAGGGTGTGTGTGTTGATCGTGGTTAAGGGTGGTAGAACTAGCAAGGAGGGAAATTATGCTGTGTAAGGAAGGTGACGCAACACTCTTTTTTCTTTCTTTGGGGAATGTGGGCGCGTAGTAGTGGGGCTTGGAGTCTTTTGCGTTTGGGTTTGGATAAGGGTAGATACTATGAAAATGAGGAGAGGGGGGAAGGTGGGACTACTACGATCTCCGTGGCACAATATCACTTGACGTGTCGATTTGCAGTCAAGGGGGCGCAGGCGTGTTGGATGTTGGATGTTGGATTACCTAACTCCTACATACGTATTTGCATGCAAGAACAGGAAAAAAAAGAGTGACTAGGATGCCGTACGCTTGGGTGTGCACGGCGTAAGCAGCCTGATCTGCGCTGTGCCGCAACGTGAGGCTGGACGTAATACGGCGTGGTGGAGTAGTGCAAAGGGATTACGTACGGCACGGGTGTGTCTGTGCCGCGGCGGCTGTGTGGAGACGGCACGGCGAGATAAGGCGTCTTCTGCGTAGTGTGTAAAGTCGAGAATGAGGGTGTTGGCGAATGCAGGGTGGTAGAGCGGTCTCGTGCCATTTTGTCAGAGTGGCTAGAACCAGCTCAGTAGTATGGTCGATGGGGCATCAGCTAGTAGGGTCTTGTGTAACGCATTGACACGTTGGCTATGGGTGGAGACTGCCGGAAAAGATACGAGATCCTCGCAGACATGTGAAGAACAATCTTCAAGGTCACGATGGCAACACTTGGAAACCATGAAGGTAAGAGTTAGAGCGCTGCATAAGTTTGTTTATGCAAACCAAACAATGCATAGTTTCTATAAACGCCGTGTTGCCCGAGATGACACCTACATTGCAAGACTAAAACACTGGCAAAATCCATGCACACTACAGAAAGGGTATCGTCATATAAAAACATGAAATATGAAGAAGAGAAAAAAAAATACAGTAATGAAGAAAAAGGTTGAACACATGATCCCATGATCCCAGTTCATGAAAAAAAAAAGACCATTTGTAGCCGCGCGCAACCACCCTATGCATAGACAAAGGTCATGGGGAGCACAGAAAGTTTGGTGTTGTCGTAACATTGTCGAAACGAGCGTCGTAAGCCCAGCGCTTACTGCTTTGGACCATAGACCCAGTCTGACAGGTGTTAGTTGCCGAATGCAATGTGGAGACATGTGGTATTCTATGTGGACTTACACTGTGCAGCGTACTTGACTTCCCATGCAGGTGGCATGCCCTGGCATGTTGCAGGCTTGTTGCCACCAGCAGTCTCCACACGATAGACAGTGGTGATACCTCCTTGGGCGATGCCCGTCTTGTGCTGCAGGTAAAGCCACTGGATAGCGGGAAGACCGTTCTTTCCCGAGCATGCAGTTTTCGGTGCATCGACGGCGCCAATCTTTGCGACCTGGCACAGAGGATATGGGGCACTGAGCTGGTCAAAGGCGAATGTTGGGGTGCTTGTTCCAGCAACATCGGCAAAGAAATGGTGTCCAGCAACGTTCTGAAAGCCTTGAGCCTGGAGACTCATGTCGACCAGTTGGGGAGCCCATTCAGACATGGACAGGGCAAGTGGGGAGATGGTTGCGATCTTCCACTTTGCATCTCGGTCGTTGTTGAGTTTTGTACCGATGTCATACAAGGTAGCTGGTAAAGAAGGCAAATGTTAGCACAGTTTCTGTGTTCTATCGGAAAAGAAGAACTCACCAACAGCACCAGTAGTACCAGGAACTGCGCTTGCATTCGCACAGGTATAGTTCTGTGTACCGATGCCAAGTACAACATACTTGAGTGTCATACCATCCGGGCTTGTAAGGGCACTTTGAGGGAAGAGTTTGGCAAGATTATCGAGGTTTTTCGCGGGAGTGTAACTGTGCGGCTTTCCAGGAGCTTGGGGAAGAGCAGCTGCATAAGCAGAAGTGGCATAGAAGAATGCTGCCGCGATTGTAGAGAAGAGCATATTGACGAAGGTTGGCACAAGTTGACGTTGGGAGAGTTGTTGATAAATTAATGTCTGAGTAGAACCAAAGGAGCCTGTCCCTTATTCTTTGCCAAAGTCGAGGTGTTGGAGGAGGTACTTGTTGTATCACGACTTCCTGGCGCTGGCGGTTGGATACACTTATACCTTCTACACTGAACTTTGTCCTGGGCCGTTCGCCAGGCGGCCTGCATGGGTGTGCATGCGCTGCCATGTGTATGTACGTCAACACAGACCACCATCCTGACCAGATCTTTAATATCAATCCTTGAAGCGACATGCACACCAAAGGCTGGTGAGACCTGGACGTGGCTCTAGCGCGTCAGGGTGGCCGTTCTTGTGCATAACACTTTGCCGCTCCTGGCAAGCTGGGTAAAAGGCTTGTACCTCCTATAAGCGCTGATACGTGCAAACTCAAGCCCCAATCCAGGAATGTGGAGAGCGCTACGATGGGCATCTGGATTTCTGCTGAGCCGCGTTCCCGTGGCGCTGTCTTTTTTGGTGCTGAGCCTCTATTTGCGCATGTGGAAGTGGATAGATGTTGGCATCTTAGACAGCAGCTCCATAGCAAGGCAGAAACCAACAACATGGCGAGGATTCGGCCTAGGGAGGTGGCATGGCTGTCTCATTGTTTCGATAATTCTCAAAGGAATTTACAGTTTCAGTGTCGGACCTTCCAGACGAAGACCAAACGCCGGCACAGATTCGGTAATTCCACAGGTTGGAGGTTGGGTTCGCGCTGGTGTGCCCGAACGGGAGGCTGGCTGGAGGCCCGAGCATTTTGGCTTTCACTGGCTGTCCGTGCGCTGCAGGCGCCTTGCATACATCTGGCCGATAAAAAGACCTGATGTGGCTCAACAATGGCAGCAAATGACCCGATAGCGGTATGCACGCTCTATCGAAAGCCCCGCTTCGAGCCGTAATGTGGGTTAATTAATTGGGTCTATATCAGAGGCCAACGGAAGATACGGCAGTCATAAGCTCCATGTCAGACCGTTGCAACGTTGGAAGATTGCTGCCTCGGTGCCTGAGGATTACGGCATGGGTCGCGTTGGTGTCTCATCCATGATGCCTCTCTAGAAACACATTCTTTTTGCACAGCTTCGGTTAGGCGCATCGATCCTGACGCTCACTGTGTAAGAGGTTGAGCATGTTCTCTCCGGCTGACTCCAGGTTTTTTGTTTCTGGCCCAGTTTTCTATATCTGTACGAGCAGGGGGTTCGCCTTGTCTGCTAGTCATGGATACCGGCAAACATGCTTGGTGAAACCTGTATACGGAAGCTGTCAAAGCGGAAGTCTGCTGCGCAGAGTCGTGCTCCGGACTTCGAGATCCGAATATCCACAAGCCGCAAAATGTGCTCCTGTCGTCTGACAACCGATGGAGCCATTCCTGGTAGGCAGGCGATAGGAGAGGGGTAATGTCGGCGTGTTAGTGTGCTGTATGGTGACCAAAGGAGTGATATTAGCCTGCTTTCTTTTTTTCGCTGCGCAGTCAGCTTACACTTACACTTGCACTTGCACTTGTGGAGCACACCAAGCTAGCGGGTGCGCCCGCGGTGCATCATGGGACGACGTCGGGGAGACGATAAACAAAATCACCCCGACGTTTTGTCAGGACGCGCAAGGCAAAAACGGTGCAAAGGATCCGCGCACTCGAACGACTGTTTGCAAATCCATCGAGTTCGCATGGTGAACTGTGTCAGAACACGAAGCGAACTGTTTCAGCGATCCCACACTACTCGGCGACGCTTGCCCGACCTAACGAACGCCTGCAGGAGACAGGCTTGATATTGTTTGGCATCGCTCTTGGTAACGGGCCGTTGTGTTTTGATGCGCATTTTGGCGTGCTTCTCAAACAGCTTGACGGGGAGTTCCTATGTAAGCTGCACAGTCACATCTGAGACGGAACATTTGTCGTGGCAGCAGATGCGCCGCATGCTGCCTGTAATCTACCGTGTGCTTCTGTTTCTCAGGCCAGCCGAAGTCGGTACGTACGGTCGGTATTCAAGCCGTATCCAATTCAGGCGACCACGAGCAGTTGTACCCTCTCTTTGCATCGCTTATCGCGGCTGTTACGTTTCATGTTTCTGACGTCTCTTACAAGACGCCTAGATTCTTGACCCTTTGGTTTCGAACATGTGTGGGAGTGGGCAAGATACGGCGAGAATGTGGCTGGCAATCGCCAGGAAACCGTGACTGTTGAGCTGCTCCAGACAAAGGATCGTTAAAAGTGGGGCTGTTTCCCGCCACCACTCTTTCACCTGGCTTGACAGCTGTGCAGTACCGCACTTACTCCAACACCAAGCCAAGGCACCATCAACCAGAACTGAACGAGTAGCCAGCCAGGGTATCATCATGGCAGGTGGCGATAACCACAAAACGTCGGGTTTTTGGCAACTGTTGGTGCCATTGACTAGCTTGCATCCAATAGTTGCAGGTGTATTGCTGATCACCGTGGTAAGGACGTTTCCATCAACACCCTGCAGAAGCTCATGTTTCAATCAAGCCTATATTCGCATACGCCTTCTATAACGTGTTCCTGCATCCTCTCCGAGGTTACCCCGGGCCACTACTATGGCGCTGTTTCCGCTTCCCGTACGTTGTCTCCACTCAACGCGGGCAGATCCATAGGCGTTACAATGATTTTCATGCCAAGTATGGGCCCATCGTACGCATAGCACCAAACGAGCTGTCTTACGCCGATGGTCGGGCCTTCAGAGACATTTATGTCAACCGGCCCGGACATCAGCCCTTTGAAAAGACGCGAACCTTCTTCAAGAAGATGTCACCCGATGAGCCAACTACAATCATGGATTGGCATGAAGATAATCACGCAAGGTATCGACGTGCCTTCGCCAATGCTTTCTCAGAAAAGAGCCTCAAGAGTCAGGCTCCAGTTATAGAGCAGCATGTTGATGGCTTCATGGCACAACTAAAGAAACGTAAAACTGTAAACCTCACCGACTGGTTCAATTTTCTCACTTTTGACCTGGCTGGGGATTTTTCTTATGGCGAGTCTTTTGGATGTGTTGACAACGGGAAAGCCCATCCGTGGGTTGAAATTGCACAGGATTTTGGCAAAGGACTTTCTATGATCGCAGCAGTCAATCTTTACCCCCCTATTGACAAGATCTTGCGATACATAATCCCAAAGCGGATTCTACAGCGGAGCGTAGACCATCGTCAGATGAGTTATGCACAGGCTAAAAAACGGATAGCGCGAGATGTAGAGCGGCCAGACTGGGTGACACCAACCAGAAAGTACACTGATCAGAAAGACCATTTTACCGACCAAGAATGGGGCATGAACCTGTTGGTGATAGCTTTTGCTGGGAGCGAAACCACGGCCAGTGCACTGACCGCCATTACGAGGATGCTGGTTCAACACCGAGGTGTTCTTCATCGTTTGACACGTGAGATTCGAGAAAAGTTTCAGGACGAAAACCAAATTACTGTTGCAACAACGAGCGACCTGCCGTTTCTCAACGCGGTCATACATGAAGGCATGCGTCTCGGACCGCCCGTTGTCATCGGATTACCCCGAGTCGTGCCAGAAGGTGGAGACCTGGTTTGTGATCGCTGGGTTCCTGGCGGAGTAAGATGCATTTTTGTCCATGTCGAATGTTTCATCGCTGACACAACATGTTCTAGACCTATGTCGTTTTCAACCAGTTCTCTGCGTTTCGCCAGTCGTACAATTTTTCCAATCCAAACTCATTCATCCCGGAACGCTTTCTCACCCCCAATAAAAATGACGATATGACAGTGTTTCAGCCCTTCCAGATGGGCAGACACATGTGCATAGGCATGAAGGTAGCCTATCAGGAGTTGCGGCTGATACTCTCAAGGCTGTTGTGGAGCTTTGACTTGGTATTGAAGGATCCGAATGATGTATGGGATTGGGGCGAGCAAAGCACCTATATCCTTTGGGTAAGTGTGCCGTTTTGATGACATTATGAAGTAATTGCTAAAAGTTGAGTAGGAAAAGAAACCGTTGGAGGTCGTACTGAGGCACGTGAATAAGTAAAAAAAGGGTTCATGACAATTTGCTTAGTGTTCAACTTAAGCGCGCGGATGTCGAGATGAGACCAGTTAAGAATGTAATCATTGTATGTTGTAAACTCAGTGTGCCACGAGATGATAGTAATGGCGTTTTTCCCCATGACGTTTATTTTGTTTCTACCACTTATTCTTTCCAAGAATTTGTTCCGCAGAAGAGTTTGAATCATATTACAAAGCGCGAAGAATCAGACAAGAGTCTTAATCACGTCATTCTGTGCAACCAGCACATGGTGATTGAGACGGTCATGGTCGAGGTGACCATGTTCGGCTTGAGGGAAGCACGTATGAATCGATCATCCAAACCGATGCTGATTTTTGACTTGCCTCAGCCGTGCACACCAGATTTACATGTGCGACTACAACACAGCATGGAACGAATATGTCATGCTTGCTTCTGGCAAACTTGATGGTCGGCATGCCACGATTAACATCCACACAAACATTGGTGCAGCGCCATTGCAGGAGAACAATTATGGGCAGAGCAAATCTCACGAAGCAACCTTGCGCGCCTGAATAGCATTTTGGTAGGCTTCCAAGTCAACATTGCCAGCATCCCAGATAAGGATGGCTTGAACCGACACTGTGCTGTGCTCTATATTCTGCACATAGCCGATGACATTGAGCCAGGTGCCAACGTCCACGTCGGAGTTTTTGGCGCGCTCCAGCACATGTTCAATATCTAGGTAGGCAATGACAGGGTCGGCAAGGACGGGGTAGTTGTGTTTGAGGCGCAAGGTTGCCGTCTTCACAGTGTACTCATCGATACTGCGTTGCTGTCAGCCGCTGCATGTTAGTCTCACGGGCGCAATGTACCAGCCCAAGAAGCGGACTTTTGCGCCCGGCGCGCATTTTGGAAGGTCGCTGAGCAGCACAAGGCTGGAGGCAGGCGGAGCAGAAGACATGGTGGTTGAAGGCACAGAAGGCGGTGGAAACTAAAGCCGGGGTCCGTTGTGCACGTGCCAAGGTTAGTGCGAGCGACATCATACCCTCGTGCATCCAGGCCCGATTCATGACCAGCCAGGCAGCCCTCAAACACTTCAGCACCGCACCATCGACACTACCAACACGCACGAACCCTATTCCCTCTGTGACTCCCCCAATACTTTCTCCATCTTCCACACAGTACGTCCAAGCCGCGCATCGCCCCGCAGCCCCGCCATCCCACTCTTCGATAGGCACCAGAAGCGCCTATCGGAGCCCACGAGAGGAGCGTACGATAAGTCCAGAGCTGATCGAGACATCTAGAGCTACGCAAACATGAGCGGCTGGGGTCTGGGCTGGTTCGGCGGCGGCCAGGCGAAGAAGGAGGCCCCCAAGAAGGCAATCCTCCAGCTTCGCGGCCAGCTAGAGATGCTGAACAAGAGAGAGAAGCATCTACAAAACCAAATGGATGAGCAGGATGCCTTGGCGCGAAAATACGTCTCTACCAACAAGCAAGGTACGTGCGTTCTGTTTCCATTGCTCTACTGGATAACGTCGCTGACAGTCATCACAGCTGCCAAATCCGCATTACGGCGAAAGAAGCAGTTTGAGCATTCGCTCGAGCAGACAAGCTCCCAGATCATGACTCTTGAGCAGCAAATTTACTCCATAGAGTCGGCGAATATCAACAAGGAGACGCTGGATGCCATGAAGAATGCTGGTGCCGCCATGAAGCAGATACATGCTGGCCTAACTATTGACAAGGTCGACGACGTCATGTACGTCATACCCAAAATACCTCATTCTCAATATCAGTCACTAATCACATGTCTAGGGAAGGCTTGCGCGAACAACACGCTATTGGAGAAGAAATAAGCGAAGCGATCACGTCGAGCATCGCCAACAATGGTATCGACGAAGATGAGCTGGATGAGGAACTGGCGGAACTACAACAAGAGAAGCTGGACGAGCAAATGCTCAATACTGGCAGCGTGCCCATTCACGACGCGCCCTCGAGCCAAAAGCTGCCACAGGCTCCCAACACGAATCCCAAGGCGCCACAGCGAGTCGAGGAAGACGACGAGGAAGAGGAGCTGCGGAAACTGCAGGCGGAGATGGCCATGTAAGTTGACATGGTCCACCAGACATGGACATCGCTCATGGGCGGTGATGGTCTTTAGGCGTATGGCGATATGGTCAGAAGCCCAGGTTATAGGCTTCAACTTTTTTTCTCTGCCCTTGATTGCTCACTATTTTCCTTTTGTGTCACTTGGGGCATCTAGTTGTTTGTTTGGATCTTCGCATCAAATGCACCCAGACTTTGTGTTTGGAGGCTGCACGTAACGAAGGATGGCAGGGCAGGGAAGGAAGAATATTAATACCTTGCAATATCAGACGAATTTCAGTGTTCTTTTTCTTCCTTTCGTGACTTGTCCCTTGGCTCATTTGATCTTTGTTTGGTAGCCAATGACCACTCAACTCGTCTTTTGCCGGAAATAAGCGGCCCGGTACTCATTGATTCGAAAATTCCTGGAAACAGGATGCTTCACAAGAAGGTGAATTTCCGGAACAAAAGAGCATCTAAAAGCAGCTGATAACCAGTTGCACATGTACACACGTAGACTGTTGGGAAAACGAGTAAGCGTAAATGACAGGCTTTTTTGATCATTCATACATGCAGTAGTAGCCGTAACAGCGCATGTTCTTTTTTTTTCTCTCCATTCCAAATTTCACTTTTGAAGGCTTGCCCAGGTAATAGCATGGGGGCAAGCCAAAAAAACCATCTACGCCCATCACCAAAGAGAGAAACTCCTGCTTAGCCCCTTCAAACCAAAAGCTATATCCTTGATGGGTATCGAGTACAGTTGTTTCGCTCCATCGCGTGCTAAACGCCGATAAGCAGCAGTCCAATAAGCTCCAAAAAAATGCATTTTGGCCTCTTTTTTCATGCTTTTCAAAGGGACAACCAAACACGACGCCGTTGTTGCGCAAAAGAGTAGAGTTCAGTTGACAAAAGGCTGAAGGAGGGAAAGACTATACATGCCATCGCTCAATAGCTAAAACATTACAAAGAAACAAAACTCCTACTCCGTTTTTGTAGCTTCTTCGCTGGGCTCTGTCTTGGTGCTCTCTTCTGCTCGGCCCGGGCTATCTGCAGTCGACTCAGCCAATGGACGCCGCAATGGGGTGCCATTCGGGACTGCTGGTGAACCGGGAACAGGGGTGATGGGCTCGACACTTGGGCGATGTGAAGGAGCTGCAGGAGGTGCTGGGGTTGAAGTCGAGGGTGGCGCCGTAGCAGACGGTGCTGGCGATGCGCCGGTCATGTTGGGCGTAAACTTTTGAGGTTCACTGTTTTCGCGTGGAGGTGCTGGCGACGCTGACTGCGTTCCCGACGGAGGCTGTTCAGTTGGCTTTTGTTGTTGTTGTTGTTGTTGCTGCTGCTGGTGTTGAGTCAACGTATTGGCTGCGGCATCTGCAGCGATTGCAGCTGCGGTGCCAGCGGCAGTAGCTGGTACAGTGACAGGTGTGTTCTCCGGTTTGACAGCAACATTTCTCTTGACATGTTTGTTGATACTCTCTACACCGCAAATAGATTCGAGCAACTTTCTTTCAGGTTCTGTCAATGACGCTTCAGGCACGGTCCTGTCTACGCACGCCCGAATTGCATTGTCAACCTTCTTTTGCTCATCAGGCCCTGGTCTTTTCTCCAAGTACACGAGACGATACGCCTCGAGCTGGCGAATAAGGTCTGGATGTACGCCAATGGGGTACCGACCGGAAGGATGTGGAGCTGAGCCCTCGTTGGACGAGCCCGGATGTGCGGGAGCTTGGGTCGGCGGCGGACCGTAAGGCGAAGCATTACGTTGAGCGGGCGATGCGGCAGGCGCATTGGCTTGCTGGCCGGCTGCAGGGTATGGTGGATACGGACGAGGCGGCGCTGGGCCATATGGACTGGCGCCGGTGGTAGCATAAGGCCCACCATAAGGGCTTGGTGCTGAGGGCCCACTGTATGGTGACTGCTGCGGTGCAGCCGTGGGAAACAGAACGCCATACTGCCCACTTGACCCAGCTGCTGAGTTGGCAGTTGATGTCTGCGTATTGGGTGGCGGATAGGGCCGTGGAGGGTTTGCAGCTGGTGGGCTGGCGCCTGTGTTGCCGCCGGCCCAAGGGGATGCATAGGGTGAAGGGTGGGGCGCATTTTGTGGCCCGTTGGAAGCAGCAGCATTGCCTTCACCGCGAGCCATACTAGGAGGAAGACGAGGTTGCGCAAGGCTCGGGGGTAATCTTGGCGGAGCCTGCGGCATTGCATGGGGCATGCCGGGATGATATGGATATCCAGGCTGAGGATAGGGCTGGTACCCGTTGGGAGGTGGCTGATAGTATTGTGGTCGTGGTGCGTGATTGAGTGGAGGACTAGCCTGTCTCTTCCTGCGCTCCTTCTCGATCGAGACCTCAGGATTGATTCGCCAGAGGTATCCTTTGCCTTCTTTGTCTCCCTTCATGAAAGCATCGTGCTGGCCTAGGTTGTGACGCACGCTAGATTGCCAGCCGCTCGTAGTCGTCTTGAACTTGTACCAAGGATACTTGCGCTCAATGTAGGTGTAGATGGACTGCAGATTCATCTGACCGGTAGGGGAAGATGAGATGGCTTCGTGAATAAGAACCACGTAGTTTGCAGTGGGACGTTGTAACTGCTCTTCTGTGTAATCTTCGATACGCATCTCGGGTGAAGGGGTCCGTGGTGGTCTCATCGGCTTGGCTTGTTTCTGGAGACCAGACAAAGTACCATCACCGTGCTCGGTGGACTCGACAATACCATCGTCTTCTCCGTCGCCAGCATTCGACTCTTTGCGCTTGGGCGCCTTTGGCTTAATTGTCGGTATAGGTATATCAGCGGGATCAATGCCAGCTGCCCTCGCTCTCTCAATATCCTTGGCCTGCTTGATGAGCTGAGACCGCTGACGCTTCGACATGATGCCGTCTTTGGGTGGCCTGCCGGGACCCTTGCGCTTTTCGACCACATGACCAATGAGGTTTCGGGGCAGGTTATGCTGTATGGCCATTTCTTCTGTGATGAGACCATCTATGTCACCAGCTTCGAGTTCACCTTCGTGTGGTTTGCGCAACAAAGGTGGGCTGTCGTTTGGCGGAGGCTTGCTTGGCTGCTCAGTCTTGGTGGCCACAGGAATGTCCTTGACAGGCTCTTCGGCAGGTGCCTCGTCCTTGACAGTGGTCTTTGCAGGGGTCTTGGCCGGCGCTTTGCCTTTCTCCTTTGGTTCCTTAGGTTCTTTCGGCTCTTTGGTCTCCTTGGACGGAATGGACTCCTTGTCCTTTGTTTCCTTTTGCTCTCTTGATTCCTTGCGCTCTTTCTGCGCCTTGGGTTCCTTGGCAGACTCACGAGCAGACTCTTTGGTCTTGCCCGAATCCTTGACTTTGATCTTAACCTTCTTTGCTGGGGGTTCTTCAGGAGTGAGTTCACGGTGCTGGGGTTTCCTCTTGTGTGCCTTTTTGCTGTCTTTTGAGGTGGATGCTGGCGGTAGGTTCTTAATCTTGAGTTTGAGATTAGTTTTCTGGCGAGGCTTTGGAAGTGGCTCTTCATAATCGTCCATTTCCTCGTCGGCCAATGCATCGTCATCATCGCTGTCGCTCACAGGATGGTGGTAATAGACGTGGCGAGGGTTCACACTCTGCTGGTCTTCGCTTTCAGAACTGATGTGTTCATCGCTTTCCAGCTGGCCATTGCCGTTCTCGAAGGAAAAGCTCATAGGACGCGAGCCAGATTCTTGGCGATGTCGCTGCTGCTCGGTAAGTGCGACGTCGGGTAGATAGAAGTGGATGTTGACGGCGCCTATGAGCAGGTGGTCGCCATGATCCAGGGGAACGGTTTCACCCTTTGGATAGAAGTCACCCTCATGATGCAGGCCGTTGTTGCCCAAGACGTGTATACAGAAGTGGCCGGCATCAAAGTCAAAGAAAATCTTGGCGTGCTCGCGCGATATGCCCTTGGGCCCGAGCGAGCCGGTCTTGGCCATGATTTGCTGGGGGTGTATGGGCACGAAGGGACAGTCGTTGGGATCTTCGGGCACGTGGCCGTCAAATTGGGCAGGCACCTCGGGAAAGGTCTGCATGAGCATGTTCTGGGGCGCCCGCTCGGCAGGGTTCTCTTCAGCAGCCTCGCCGGCCGGATGGGAGTTTGAGCTGAGAGAGTGAGAAGCATTGCTCTGGCGGCGCTGCTGGAACTCCACTGGCATAGACTCGATGGGTACGTTGACGATGCCACCTTTTTCGGAGATGACGCTGCGAGCGCCGCGACGGTCGCGCTTCTTCCTCTTGCGGTCCTTTTTCCCGTTGAGGTATTCCTCTGCAGCTTTGGTATGGCCTTTGGCATGCAGAGCCTCGGCCTTGATGAGGCGCTTCATGTCACGGTGGGCGAGGTGGATGTTGCGCCCGAGCGTGATCTGGTAGGTGTGCATGTAGTAGGAGCCGTCGTCAAAGCGCAGGCGCGCAAAAGCCGTGAGGCGCTCATTTGTGGTTGGGGGCATGAAGGGGTCCATAGCAGGGAAGGCCGAGGCGGCTGTGGCAACATCCATGGGAAGCGGAGCAGCGACGGCGGTGGCTGCGGCCATGTCGCCGTTCATGTCGCCGTTCATGTCGCCATTCGTGTCGCCATTCATGTCGGCAGACTGGGCGAGGTTGATGGGGTCTGCGAGAGAGGAGATTTGGGGATGGCTGGGGGTGTTGGCCGTGTTCATGTTGTCGATGGTGTCCATGGGGCCGGGGTGGGTAGGCGCGCCCTCTGCGCTGGGGGCAGGCAGGGCTGGCGGCGCATCGGTGGTGTTGGTAGTGGTGGTTGTGGTTGTGGAAGCCATGTCGGGAGCGCGCTGGTGGTTGATGGACGGGTGGCCGGGGGCGGGGGAGTCATCTTGGGCGACGACATGGTGGAGCTGCTCGCTAGACGGGGCTACGGCCATGCTGCTGCCGCCATGTTCGGAGGGAGCTGGGTGGGGGTTGGGTGTCGTGGCTATCGTGGTGGCTATCGGGTGGTGGTGGTGGTGCTGGGCGAGGGCGAGAGCAAGGTGAGGTTTTGGACCGGGGGTCGTGGATGGCGCTGTCTGCACACGGACGCGGTTTAGCGGCGCGCTTGTTTTTTCTCGTGATCCAGCAGGCCGTGAGCGGATGTCGCGCAAGACGTATATAAGAGAAGCGCAGGCAAAGGGCCGGAGTCGAGCTGTCGCAAACAAGCTGGTGTTGTCGGAGAGAGAGGCTTGCGCCGGGCCTAATCTTGCTGCACGTGCCATGGCCGCAGAACCATCGTACTTTCTTAGTATAGCAGGGCTATTGCTCCTTCCATCCTAGTCGGTCCCGCCTCGCCCAGCCAGTCACCCACAATCACCATCATCATCAGCAATCGCATCAAAGCAAAGCACTGCACTACACAACACTACGCTACACTATACTACACCGCAAATCACTACATTTCACTACACGATACAAAGCGGCAACGTGCTCCATGGCTCCCAAAAAGAAAGCCCTGCCCGCCGCATCCACCAGGTCTGCCCCATCACCCCAGCCCGCCCACACACGGCCCAATTGGCCTGTCTTCACCCCTCTTGTCCCAGAAGCAGACCTAGCGCTGCAACAAGTCCTCCCCAATCAGATCATCACCATTCCCAACTTCTGGCCAGCAGCTCTCTGCAAGACCTACGTATCTTTTTTATCTTCACTGCCGCTGACTACCACTCCCGGGAAGCCCAAAAAGGGCGACGCAGTGCGAGTCAATGATCGCTTCCAGATTGACGACCCTGCCTTTGCTGAGAAGCTGTGGAGTCAGACGGCACTAAAGAATCTTGTCACGGGTGCGGCTGCACACCAAGGTGCGTTGGGCTTGGATGAGAAGCAGCGGCACAGCCTGTGGGGCGGCGACGTTGTTGGTCTCAATCCCAACATCCGCATCTACCGCTACACCAAAGGCCAGTTCTTTGACCAGCATTGTACGTTGTTGCCACTTCCTCGCTTTTCAGCTAGCCCTACCTGCTCTAGTCAACGCCAGCTGCTGCATGCCACTAACTCGCCCAGACGATGATGCAAACAATGTCACCATTCCTGGCTCACCATCAGTCCAAGCACGAACCACTTGGACCTTGCTGCTTTACCTCACCTCTCCTGCAACCGGATGCATCGGTGGGGAAACTGTCTTTTACCCAGACCCACCCAAGTCCAAAACCAAGACCAGAGGCCCTCTACCCGAGCCACTGCAAGTGGACCTTCAAGTCGGCCTTGCCCTTTTGCACCGCCATGGCCCAGATTGTATGCTGCACGAGGGGCGCCAAGTCGTCGACGGCGAGAAATGGGTAATCAGAAGCGACCTATGCGTCAAACGTTGATGAGTCCGATCCCTTCAATCAAGTTTCGGTTCAGAACCTGACTACCTCATCCAACAAGCTCCTTCTCTTGCGGCCGGGTCCCTCTTGAAAAATGGCTACACCAACCCCGGAACACCTAAGTGCAAGTCATATTGTGCTTACTGCCAAAATGCATCACCATGTTGCAGACTCATCATGTGCCTGCCAGATACTGCTGGCACTTCACAACCACCTCGCCGGTCTGTAAGCTGGTTGATACATTGAACTCGTCAAATCACCCAACCGTGGCAAGGCCCTGAGCATATCCTCCAACGGTTGCTTTGGCAATCATAAAACATCACACAAGCTGAGGCTTGAAAAGGACACAGGACCAACTGAACCATGTCTTTTTCGAAGAGGCCACCCACACAGAACGTTGCATTGTGTTCTCTCTACATACCTCAACCTGCCTGGTCTATTCTGGTTCACGCGCGATGCCTATCTCTATCCGTCTTTGGCTATGGTTTCTTCCTGCACGTGTACCACACTTCTCCTCCGACATTGCCACATGGAGGATTGGAGCACTCCTGGCTTCCGTCCACCGAATCGTAGTGTTTTTTGCAAATGGAGTGATACCAGCCGGGATTAGAAGCAAGATTTGCTGACACGACCAAGTCTGCCTTATTCTTATCGTCAAATGCCAGAACGTCCCAATGAGATTCAACGGTCACTTGGCAGCGGGAACAATTCTTGCTGTTGGAACGCTCGCCATCGTTGTAATGATGGCATGGAATACATGCCCACCCCGCTAGTGCATCGTCCCGGTATTCTCGTGCACGTGTCGTTTCCTTCACTTTGTTGTGATGTTCTCTCCGCGCTCTGGATTCCGCACGTTCCTCGGGAGGCTCTCGTGGTCCTTCTTTAGGAAAAGATATTTTGCATCCCATTTGAAATATCTTATGTTCGAGGGAATCAACTTAGCAGTGGAAAAGCTCGTGGACGGACTATATCTATGTATATAATTCCTGTATGTGCTTGCTTCATTCAGGTTGATTGCTTCATCCATCACTCATGACTGCGCCGGAAAGCCCTGTGGCCAATTTGTCTCCTTCTTGTCAAATGACTCCTTCATCATATGAGGAGAGTTTGCAGTGTCAATCATGTTAGTTAATTGCGACTCCAGTAGGTGGCCAGCAGGGTAAACTTGTAAGCTGTCTTTGCATCATGACTGTCTCTTACACTGGTATAAGTGTATTGCTGTAAACCAGACTAACTAGTAGATCCGTGTTCCCTATGCATCGTACGAGAAGCGCTTCCAAAAATACCAAATTCACTGCCATATTTGCAAAGCTCATACTATTTTGTTTATCATCAGGTAGCAATTAAACATGTACCTGGCATATACTCTATCCATCAAGTCCGACCAACTCTATGATTCTTGAAACATGTCAGAAATATCTTAGCTCTTCTTTCATTTTGTGCCATCAAAGCCTTTCTGGAATTCAATCGGACTCGTGCTGGGGCGGAAATAACATGTAAACAGCCACAGGAATGTATGTATCCGCGCCAAAGCGTAACGCCTGCTGCAAGGGACCCTATCAAAGTGCGCCACCATGTTGCACAACTTTTGTGAGACACGTACAGCCTTGCGCTTGTGCGCGCTGAAGAATTCGGTTAAGTACCAAGATGTGCCGCTCTTGTAGACCATTCCCAATCACTTCTTCTTCTCTTGTGAGTAAACTCACCATGTTGGAAGCAGGACTCGCATGCAATCGGTTGTACGAGAAAACAACAGACACCCCAGAGCAGGGACAGGAAAAGGTCCCCGCCTTTCGGCGCTCTTGGAAAGATTACCCTAGAGGCTATCCCATGCTGGCCGAACGCATCGCTTTGAAACCACAGACGGCTATCTATCGCAGATTCGACGCTCTGAATTCCCGGCGTATACTGTACCTTCAAGCCGAGCTCTTTATCCTGGAGAAACGTCTGCGGAAGATGGAGGAGAGAGAGGAAAAGAAAGACGATGAGATAGGCAAAGAACCATCTCACAGATATGCAGTCGACTACGAGCGTATGCTCGAAGATCAAAATGGCAAGGGGAAGCTGCATTTGGAACTTCTCGGGAGAGTTAGTGAGACATTGAGCCAGTACAGTGAGTTAGAACGTCGCCAACAATACAAACCAAGAACTATATGACTAAAACGCTGCAATTGTAGATGAAGCGCTTCTACAAGTCTCGGCCCTGTCCCAGATCCCAACACCGCAGAAATTCGACCTTAGCGACCTCCAACACTTCCTGGAAAGCGAGATCATGAAGCCATACTGGCTGGCGGGTCTTGACCAAGTTACTTGGGGCTCTTGTGACGACCCCGAGGACTATGCACCAGACCTGGTTGGGATACACCCTCGCCCAAAGGCTGATGATTTCTCTCGCTGTATTGCAGAGAATTCGATACGTCTGTTTTCCCGTGGACTCGGCCGTCTCACAAAAGGCAGCCCCAGCCTGGGTCGCAAAGTGTATTATGACTCGGACGTCCTGAAGGTCACGTCTTGGATCACGTGTATCCTGGCATCGCTACTGCCCATTGCCTCAATCTTGGTCCTGTTGAATGTTCCATCACTCAAAGGCAGGCTTTGGGTCATTGCTGCCTTCAACATCTTGATGAGTGTGTGTTTGAGGACGTTTACGGAGGCGAAGAAGTCAGAAACATTTGCCATTACTGCTGCGTACGTCGATCCTTCACAAACATGTTTTTTTTTCGGCTTTGTGCTGACCCTTGTAGCTTTGCTGCTGTCCAGGTGGTGTTTGTTGGAACGGATCGTGACTCCGGTGCTCAATGAGCGCTTGTCGTTTGATAGTGGCGGTCGGGTGTTGTCTTTTGGTCTAGTAACAGCCATCTCTCGTGACTTACATGTGTTTGTATCTGGACCATATTGGGCGGGTCCCGGAATGAAAAGCGTTGTTTTCTCAGAAAACAACATAGCCAAAGGATTGTTACTATTCAATTCAGTTCTAACATTGGACGTTACACTTGCCATGTGTTACTGAGAGTGACAGGGCACGCCATTCAGTAGGCCCGAGATTTTCACATCCGATGCTTCCATGCCGAGACGCTAGTAATGCTCCGCCTCAACGACTTCACCCATTCCCATTACGCAAATATTTGGCATATACTCCGTGTCAGCATCGTCATAAAGCCGCGCAGCATCCATGTCACATACCCTGCTGCTGTTATAGGTCGAACCTTCCAGTTCATCGTGATGAAGCATATCAACTCCTTTGGTCAACGAATCTGGTAGGTAAGCACGGCTGCATTTCCACAACTGCACTGGCCTTGAGCAGTTTCATGTCAGACCATAGCTACACCAACCGTGTGCCAAGTATACTACTTGCCCCGATCTGGCGCTTGGAAATCTGAAGCATTGTTTTTACCCCAGGATATCCCAAGAACTACCCCGCGATCTAGCCAGCCGGCCATGGCATGCCCAGCATGCTGGGCACATCAAGCTTAGTTGCTGTGATTGGATTGGTCCGCCCTTCATCCATGTCATATCCTCCTGAGAGTTTCTTCGTCTCGGCGGGCCATGCTTGCTCGGCATAACTTGCATCTGAGCACCAGACTGGCGGTATTGAGTGTGGTGGCGGATTGTGACTCTAGGACTAACTACCATTCTTGGGCAAATGTCCTTCATCCAGGCTCTCCCCCACCATTCTCTATATCTTTGCTCGTCTTGGCATTGGCCTACACGACCGAATTGGCGATTTCTATCCACGTGTCTATCGTATATGATGATGACCCGGGTGTTTTCATTGGATCAAGAAAGGTTCGCGGAGCAATGCTCTGGCCAAGAGTTGAAAATCACCTCGGCTGGAACCAGCTTGATGGTAGTATAAGTGTAGGAGAGCGCATGCCTCAAAATTTCTCCTTTGCAGATCTTTGTGGTTGATCTCACGCTCTGGTCATCGATCCAGTCTGACGACCTGCTCTACACACCATGAATAACGAGACAGAAGAAAAGTTTGATGCAGTCCTCAAGGAGAGCTTGACTCCACCTGCAGCTGGCAGCAACAGCGGCGACTACATCTTTGATGAGATTGAGGAGAAGAAGCTGATCCGCAAGGTGGACTGGAGGCTCCTGCCGATTTTAGGGGCTCTATACTCGATTGCGCTAATCGATCGTACAAATGTAAGTCGAGGAACTCGTCAGGAAGCAAAAGCTCTTACGAGAGGTCACTAACAGAATTCCTAGATTTCCAATGCCCGAGTGGCGGGAATGGGACAGGACCTTCGTCTCGATATCGGAGAGCGATATACAATTGTGCTCGTCATGTTCTTTCCCACGTACTTTTTTCTCGAACTACCTTCGAACATTGTGCTGCGCAAAGTAGGAAGTGCGAACTGGCTGTCTTTTATCGCAGTGTCTTGGGGCGCTGTGATGATTGGCCAGGCCTTCGTGAAGAGCTGGATTTCACTTACTATATGCCGTGTGCTGCTGGGAGCCTTTGAGGCTGGGTAAGTAGCGTGGCCTTCAACTTCTCGGCCTCGAACCCTCTAGCTAATGACAAAATATTGTAGCTTTTTCCCCGGTTGCGTCTATCTCATTACTTGTTGGTACCGCCGCTATGAAACACAGAAAAGGTAAAGCAACCGCTTTGGCAACCAAAAGCGTGGATAAAGAGCTTACCTATGTTTCAGGTTGGGCTTGTTCTACCTCTTCTCAGTTGGTATCGGTGGCCTGGCCAGTATCCTGGCCTATGGCTTGATGCAGATGGAAGGCCTTTCCGGCGTTCGAGGGTAAGCAGATGACAAGCACTACTTGGGAATAAGAATATACTGACATGTGGCACAGGTGGCAATGGATCTTCATCATTGAAGGAATCATTACCGTCACCGTCGCCGTCGCAGCCTGGTTCATTATCGTGGATTTCCCCGACAAGGCCGAGAAGAAGGGGTTCCTTAGTTCTGCTGAAGCAGCCGTGATCATGCAACGGATTGAAGACGACCGCGGCGACTCTGTCGACGATCCACTGACGTGGGCGAAACTCGGGCTGCATATCAGAGATGTCAAGTTGTGGGGATACGCGACGCTTTTCATGAGCACTACGATGCCTGCATACGCTTTCAGCTACTTCCTCCCTGTTATCCTGCTCGGCATGGGTTACAGTGCGGGACAAGCCAACGCCCTCGCCGCCCCTCCCAGTCTCGCTGCCATGATCGGAGCGTTTGCGTTTGCATGGCTGGGTGATAAGTACCGGGTTCGGGCTCCGATCATCGCAGCGCAATCTATCATTACTATCGTCGGGCTTATGATTGTTGCTTACGCCGAAAACAACGGAGCGAGATATTTTGGCACATTCCTTGGTGTTTGTGGATGCCAGGGTAATGTGCCTGCTATCCTTGCCTACCAAAGCAACAACATTCGCGGGCAGAGCAAGAGATCGGTGGGCAGCGCGCTGCAGATTGGATTCGGAGCCATTGGTGGCATCATTGCGTCGACCGTCTTCACGCAAAAGGAGGCGCCCAGGTACCTCACGGGACTTTGGGTTACTGCTGGTCTGCAGTTTTACATTTTGGGCGTCCTGATATGCTTCACAGTGTATTTCCGGAAGCAGAATGCGGTGGTTGACAAGCAGATGGCGAACGGGGAGCCCCTGGCCGAGAGGGAAGGCCAGGCGGGGTTCAAGTACACCCTCTAAGGCGTGGACGAGTCTTGTTGTGTATGATAGCGTCTCTTTTGCAACACCGTCTGCGAGTAGTAGCAGTCGCAGTAGTAGCAGTGTACAAAGTAGCAACATGCATGCAGTAATGTGCAATGAATTGTGCGCGCCTTTCTCTCCATGGCTAAGCATGACACGATGCCGTTTTCTGCCCAACCACTACGTGTCGCAGGTTGGACCCATGTCCCCTTGTCTCAGCCTCACTCGTAATGGCAGCTCGTCAGTCAGCAACGCCATGTGCCTCAGGTTGGCTCCTGGCCCTGCTCGACGCATGATTATTTCTTTTTTTTTTTTTCACTCGTACACTCTTGCAAACCCATCTTCCTTCGCAGCCTATCCACTCGCAACCATACGCACATACAGTAGTTAATCGTAGTTGCTAATCGTCAACACCCTAACCCCAAGTCCGGCCCAGCGCTTCTATACGCACATACGACCACGCGCGCAGGCGCGACACAGCCCGCCCCCCAAAAAACCACACACCTCCTATAACCCATCTCTGCTCCATCTCCAAGCCTCCCACTCTGCACCGCAACCATGGGCTCAAAACACCACCTACACGTCGCCCACCATATCCCGCCTCACATGCACCCAGCCGAAGTCATCGCCACACTGCACGATCACGAGACAGCCCTCACCCTGCAAGCCCTCACCTGCGGCCACACAAAAGCGCCCTCAACCTCGCCCTCAACCCTCAAAGACACTTACTGGTACCCGCCAGACCAGTACCCCGTCTCCACCTACAACGTCACAGAATGCATAACATGGTGCCCCGGCATTGGCGAGCTGGGCAAAAAATACATTACCTTCCCAAGCTGTTTCCAGGACACGCGGCAGGGACTTAAGACGAGGGCAGATGCCGCGGCCGGTGTGACTGTCCGTGCTGAGTTCCGGGTGGTGGAGAATGGCGAGGCGGGGAGCGAGGTCGACGGCGAAGGTATGGGTGTCGGAGACGCCAAGTGGGTCCTTGTTGAAGACGTAGAGGTTACATGTGCGTGGTATCTCATGCCATTTGTCAAGGGCAAAATGGAGCTCGCACACCGCGATGTGTGCCGCAAGATCATCGACAGGGTCGAACACAAGAAGCGAAGTTCAATGACGGCGGTCCAAAGGCAGGACAGTGGAGCCGATGCAACAGAAGATTTGAATACTGGCTTTGCTCAGGAGACTAGAGAGCATTACAAAAAGCCACAGCCCGTGCAGTTTGGCCAGACACATCAGGCTGTCGAGGCAGATGCAGTGGATACACAGAGGACGGCGATACCTCATGCGGATCTGCCGGACAAGATTACGTATAGGTGAATCAATCACAGTCTTTCTGTGCATTCAGCAGTACCTTTGGGATGCCATAAACCCTACAGTACTTTCCAAGTAACAAGTCACGCGTTGGATCAAGTCGCATGTTGCTAATAGTAGGCCAAGTTAACATACTTTTGCTGACAATGGTGTACATTAGCCTGCATGCTCACCAGTCATGATAGTGTATCACCCTTAGGGGCGAGCCATGCATTGCGTTATGCAATTGAAGAATAAACAAAGAAACACTGTCCGCTCTCGAAATCAAGTCTAGGCATAACCAACACTTCAGAAGCAAAGCATCGCAACGAACGACGATCATAGCACGGGCCTTGGCAACGCCTCATGGTCCTAGAGTCTTCAACTGTCCTACTTTTCATGGTTACTTGGTGGCAGATGTCTGCTAGCTCATCGATAATAGAACAATTACGTACACTATGCATTTACTGTGCCTTGCTGCACCTAGATCAATAAGAGGTATATCAATATCCTGACGTACCTTGGACCGTGTCTCCACTTTGCCCATGGAAGAGACATGTGCGAGCTAAGAAAGTAACATAAAGTCGTGTTTCTGAACGCCTGTTCTGTTATCCGTCCTCCTACAATCATCCATTGACCACCATCTACTACCGATCCAAAAGGAGAGCTCCGTGGATTCTATTTGCCTCTACGCTGTGCACCAGCGCCTATTCCCAAGGCTTCCAATTGTCAGTCTCTGCCCAGCAAGCACTTGGCTCGCTTGATGTATCCCGGCAACTCGTACAAATGCGAGAATGGTGAGCAGCCTATCCGCAGCATTTGAAAGCATGGCAATGTTAACATGTCCAACTAGGTGCTAATCCCACTCCTAACTGCGTCAACTCACCGGAGCAATCTCTGAGTGGGAGTGTCCCAAGAGAGAGCTCATTTGATCAGACGTAAAATCAAGAATGGATTGCCCGTTGGAATCGTACAGCCGTACCCCCTGGGCGTTGGTGATGATGACTGGGGAGAACGGAACCCCAGTGTATATGAGGTGTTTGTTGGCATCTTCGCAGAAATTTGCTTGTTCGCCGTTGACTGATTGGAAATCTATCTCGGTAATGTGATGGAAAGGTTGGAGGATTACCGCAGCAGGCGAATTGAGAGGGGTTATGTAAGTGACGTATTTGGTGTGTGGCGTGTGTGATTCGACAAGAGTACGTGTGCAGGAATCTTAATGAGCAAAACGCAATTCCTCTACTATCTTTCTTCAGACTATCACCTCTATTATATGAACTTCAAATATGTATCGCCATATACGGATGATTCCACACTAAGATGTAGGTGTCGATGGAACGTGTCGCATGATTGGTTCGCAGTGGGGGTGTCGATATGTCGATCCCGCGGCCCCACTTGTGCGGGAGGTACGCCGCGGGAATGGATCCCTCCTACGATAGCATCGACACTTGGAAATCAATATCAGAGAAGCCGCTCGGTCCACATTCTATTTTAAAAATCCTGGGACAAACAAAGGCGACCTAAACCTTGGTTACCAACCTTCATAGTCTCAAGTTGTCTCTAAGCGCCCTGACCGAAGCGACGTGATTTCTTTCTTAGGCTATAGACTGAAGCTATCAGAGTAGGCATTGGCAGTTTGCTTTGGTTTTGTTCAGAGGATCATGTGACTGTGTATTCATCTCTACTTTCTCTCTAGACTACAGGATCCCACTGATCTGCAGCGATGGAATGGAAGAAAACTGGGTCAGAGATGAACGGCGCGGAGTCAAGCTACGTCACATTCAGCTCCGTAGGAACGTGTTGGTCCCACAATCTATCAACAACGTCCGCATATTGAGTCAGACAAATATCACTGAGTTCCCATCTGCGTAGCTCCTTATGCGAGCGTAAAGAGTCTATTAGATCGCGTGTGTGAGAGAGCGAAAGACTCTATGTGGGTGATTCGAAAACAGGAAACTCCACCTGCACAGCTAGGCGCAGAAGGAACGTGGTTATCAATGACAATACAAACGCAGTTGTAGAACTTCGGCGCCAAGTAACATAGTCTGAGATTGGCCGTACTAGGCACATTCAGGTCGGAACCTCTAATAAGGATTCGCCTGATATTTCCGGGCAACATATCAGTCCACGTGTTTAGATCAAGCAAGAGGTTACGCGCCAAGGCAGATATGCTTGCCCCTTCACTAATGGCATACAGTCTTTCCAGATATGGCGTCGACAGCGGACGGCCGCGGGTCACATGTTCGCATCGAGGCCTGAGATGGGGACTGGGGAGGGCAGCGCGACTGGCGAGACTTTCATTTAGACTACGTATAAGCACCCTTGGAAAACGCATCAGTCGTCGTCGTCGTCGTGGTTGTTGTCTACTCGAACTCCGCTATAATGAGAAGCCGGTGATAGGGAGGTTGGCTGCAATGAGTTTAGCTTAGCCTGTCATTATTGACCAACTCTGTCATATTATGATCACATACCTGCACGGAACTGTTATCGATTTCGTTTCAGCACTCCAGATTCGGCAGGGACTTTTGCGAGCAAACGCACGAGGTGTCTTTCTGATGTACCTCTACTTCTGCTTCCGCGTGCTTATCTGGGCATAAGAACTTACATATATAACTAAACGATTCATGTAGAAATTACTAAGTAATCACTCTTTACTTTAAGACGTAATTGCAGGACACTAAACCTAGCCCTACACCTTTGCACACCTAGCACGGTGTTTAAAAAGAGACGCCCTGGTACTCGTACTAGGAAGATGTCTTACTTTTTTTTTTGATAATCTTTGCACAGCGTGCGCAAAGGGAGTCACAGTCGTATCTTTTATACACATCTAAGCGATAACTTGAAATACACGGGTATTTACGAAAAGAAATCTCCTTTGCTAGTACATATCACGTGAGTGGAGGGGCGCCTACACCAAAACCCCAAACAAGGCAGCCTGGGCTCACATCCCTGGTATAACTCCGGATTCTTTATAGATAGCGCTGGACTGATTGCTTCCGTCGCTTTGCAAAAGCCTGAAACGATACCCAAGGCATACATACTTCAGAGAGCCTTCCTTCATCCTCGCTCACACAAACGGAATGGACGCCTCAGTGGTTCTATAGCCTCATTTGTGTCAGTACTCGTCCAGGTGGTTGGACGCATCACGCGCACAGACACGGTAGTAGTAGGATTCAAGCCTCAACAAGCCACCGTGCCAAGCACCTTGTCCAACCAAATGCGGCTGAAGCGCTGCCTGGCCGAGGTTACTCATGGAGGGGTCATACAACAGTCACGTCTCCCATCGCAGTGAACAGACGCAGTGAACAGAAAAACCTAGAGAAGCACCATGTCAAATTACGGCTCAAACACACAGCCCGGCGGTTACCAAGGCGCTCCACAGAACTACGCCCAGCAGCAGCAGTATGGACAGCCAGGCCACACGCACAAGTCTGGCGGCATTTTTGGGCAGATGATGAGCCAGGCTGTCTCCACTGGAAAGCCCATGGTCGATCGGCTGGGACAGACACTGAGCTCGAAACTTGGAAACAAACCCGCCCCTGGCCCTCCTCAGCATCTGCAGAGTTACCAGAACTACCAGAGCCACCAGAACCCGCAGGGTCAAGGCCATGGTTACCAACAGCCGCAGGTTCAGACATACACTCCTCCGCCGCAACAACAGCAGCAGTGGCAACAGCCTCAACAGCAACAACCAACTCTGCCAACGACCTCTTACACTCCTGTACAGCCTTCACCATACCAGCCAAACTATTATCATGGAGCCTCGACTGCTGCTCCACCAAGCCAGAACAACTACTACCCACAACAGAGCCCTCCTCCTCCACCACCAGTGCAAGTGCCTGCTGCACAACAACCACTGAGCGCGCCAGGTTACAACACATCTGAATATGGGCAAGGGCAGCAGGGCCAGCTCGGACAGACCCACGCTATACAATCCCAACAATACATCCCGCATGGGCAGCAGAATGCATATAACAGCCAGGAAACTGGCTTTATAGCGGGAGGCCAGACTGGGCTTCAGCCACAGTCGGGATATCCTCCTGCGCCGCCAGTGCCACCACATCCAAAAATCTCACCACCAGAATCAACAGTGTCTCCAAGTCAACAGCCGCAATGGGGGTATGCGCAAGGTCATGCTCCACATGTTGGTCAGCAGCAGCAATCATATTCGCCGGCGCCAAACACGCCATCCCAACAAGAGCTGCAGCATCAGCACCAACCACAACCGCCAAATCTGCCTGCTTCAAACACACCGTACCAGCAAGAACAAATTCAGCAGCAGCAATGGCATCCCGTGCCACCTGCCAGTCCAGTAGCTCAAGTGGCGAATCCAATCTCTCCATCAATGAGTCCTCCACCGCAGCACAAAGATGTACAAGGACAGATGCCACCGACAGATCTTACACAGACACAACCGTCTACGCCAGCACCTCAACGCTCTGCGTCTCCAGCTGCGTCCACCGAACTCACCGCTGAATTACCCGCCGACTTGGGAAGCTTGAAACTGGGAGATTCGCCTGTTGGCACGAACGCGGCCACTCCATCCTCACAGTATCTGGCACATAGTCCCCCCACACAGGCTACTTCACCGTCCAAAGGTTTTACAGTTCCCTCGCGAAAGGCCAGTGCCAGCAGTGTGCCGCTTGCAGATCCCTGGAATTTCGTAGACCCAGTTACAGAAACCCCCACTCGAGAGTTTTACATCTTAGCTGATCTGCTGTATGATGCGCTGGACCGGAATTTTGAGCCGCGAAACTCTGGCTTGTTGGAAGCGCCCAAGATTTTGGCAAGCTGGATTGATCTGCCCGAGGATGCGCGGAGTAAGTCGCCTGTAAAGCCGTCCGAAATCTGCACTAACATTATAGACCTTTATTCATACAACGGGTACACGGCGCTTGCGCATCAATTCGGACTGGAAGGTATCCCACACGTCATGGTTCCTGTACAACCTCACTTGGCGCCCATATGGAATTTTGATCAGCAGGCGCATGCTGAAGAGCTCAAGATATCAGAGCCGCCCTCTGCTATATCATCGTACGCAACATACATGCCCGCGCTCAACCGCGCTGGCTGGTACAAGTTCTTCTTCCTCGAGATTGTGCAGAATCCCGACGAGATTTCCACACTGATGCCAGCGTTATGCGCAGACACGTATAAGCCTGGGGTACTCAATCACCCTGACTTGAGTAAAAGGGACAAGTCAGAAGTTCAGGCTCTGCGATCACGCGCCGACGAAGTGCAGACACTCGCGATCAAGCGCGTGGGCGACGAGGCGAGGACGGCCATGATGCTCGATCCCAATATTCCTGTATCCAGTATGGTCAAATCCGGGGGATCTTCGGCGGCGTCTGGGACGCTAGAGCCCGGATCACCTGAGGATATAGCGGTGCGAATGCATCGAATTCAAGCGGAGCGGCAGTTCAACGACATGGCGGTGAGGACGGTACTTGGCGCAGGCATCACGTTTGGACCATCAGGTGGCTACTCGGGCGGATATGCCAGCTTAGTATGATAGGTAGCTTTGATATACGCGTTGTGCATAAGAAGTACAAGATGTAGTGCATCACTGTAAAACCATGAGCCAGTGAAGAAGCATGTTTCGTTTCGTTTGAAAACCGACAGGCTGATAATTGGTGCATCACCAGATTTTCTGTGGGCTTTTAGCATTAAGTTGACGTGAAAATTTATCTCGATGCCTAAAATGGATCAGATGAATTGCGAAACACTGCGTTGGTTGAGGGGGCGGTTGAGCAAATAGCGTGTATCTGCTGTAGTTGGTCTCTCGAAATTCACAAACAAGGCTCTGTTTCGACGACGCATGAGTGTTCAGCTTGAAAGGCCCATCCCTCGTCAGTACATATTCCATGCATGAATCCATCACTTCAATACAACGTTCAGCATATCTGAGCTGCGACTACCATGATATGAACCTTCATCTAAGAACCGTGTGGCATCCCTAGCGTGGCCCTGTGTCGGCTGGCAAACAAAGCTTCCCAAAAAGGCGTTGCTATAGGTACCAGGCACGACTTGTCGAACATTGAGTGACAACGTGGCATTCCAAGGTTGGCATCAGTGTGGCATCATCCAGTGCCCCTTCCCTTTCTGCTTTATCTGTACAAGAGTTACCGACGAGCGTTTGTGATCCGTATCATGGTTACGAACCCCCAGGGTCCCATGAACTCCAGCCAGTCTGCTCAAATTCCGCGTCGTAACCTCGATGCGTCTTTTGATATTGTACATCCAGCGCTGAATGCGCCGGATGCTTGTAGTGTTTATTCGATCGCATTATTCAATGCCATTCCATGTTTGCTCATCTGAATTCTGTTTCTTTTATCAACTTACGGACTTTGACTGTCGAGGGTTGCCATTCTCTAACAAGGATGTCTTCCATCCATGAGTTTTATCATAAACAGACCTCCAAAACCATCTTTTCGGGAGTTCAAACATAATCACGAAACGAAACATGTTCATCTTGTTCAATCCCTTGAAAATCTTTCTGAAACTCTGCAGACTAATGTTCAAAGGTTTATCCAGCGTCCGACAGCCCACACCCGTTCGCTGAGATGGATCTCTTAAGTACAAACAATGGTTGGAAAAGACCCGCTGTTATCGCAACGAAATCGACCATCAGTGCAACATTGTGAAAAGGGTCCGCAGTTTCTAAGCTGGGTGCCAGCTAGCTAAATTTTCTTTCTCAGCATCTACATCTAGTGCTTTACACATGTTCAGTAAGGGAGCAATAGGAAACGGATATATGTATGCTTGGATGGAGCTCCGTTTTGCGGTGCGTACACGGTACGCGATTGCAGGCTGTCTCCTGAACCTACAGGTGCCCCATCTTGTCGATGATATCGAAATTATAATAGAGAAGGCTTTTAGTCTCATAGAATCGCTCCGATGCAACGGTGCCTAAGGAGACTTCACCGCCTTTTCCGTTGTCTAGGGTCACTACTCACAATATTTCCGAGAGAATCAATACTTGCGGTGGGGCAGCCAAGGTCAGCACAGCGATGCCCAAGATTCTTGGAACCGGCATACCAACCACCAGTGGCATACTTGGGTGGCAGCGAGTGAGATCTGGGGGATAGCCCATGTCGGGTACGGTTAAAATGACGGTTAAGACGAGCGATGCAATGTCGCACGTCTTGTGCAGGCTCTCTCCTTCGTCCGCGCGTGCACTTGGCCGTGGGGGTGTGCAGGACTCGCTTGTTAAAGCAGCAAATGCGCCGAAAATGAACCATCCATCGCGACTCACTGTGAAACACGTGCAAATACGCGACAGACCATCTGAACCCTCAAAGCCTGTTTGCGCATGCTAGCCCGGGGGAAAAAACAATGAACTCATCATCGACCTGCTGTAGCACAACACTAAATTGGAGTGACAGCGTAATACTCTTAAGTGTCGTTACAATGCAATCGCCACCGCGACGTAGCCTCGAGGAGAGTCGCTCGCTCGAGGCTCGCCAGGCCGATGACCCCTTGACTACCCACGACAACAACATTCTCGCACCAGACTCTCGACGAGCCCTGACCAACTTTGACAAAAGTGCACTCTGACCTATCCTTGCATCCGCAACGCAACCTTGCCTCTTTGAGCGATAGATTCGACATGGCGAAGTGCTTTCATTTGGTAATATCCAATCTAATCGGGTATTCGGCTTTGGTCGAATCCTATAGCTCTCTGGAGAGGTCCGATGAAGGAGGCTTACTTCGCAACTTGTTCTTCTTAATCAAAGCTGGGGCCTGGATTCGAGTCGCGCACAGTTACCCGCTTCTCAAGTGACTGGGAATTCCTGACCATGACACCGACGCGTTTGATTAAAGCAAACGCTGCATAATGAACTCTGACGCACACTGTGACCACAAAGAGGATGAATGACCCTGGGCAACATGGTCGTGGCGATTTTCTCAAGGATATAGTTTAAAAGCTAAGTAGTCTAAACGACTTGGAGATCATTGTCAACGCGAACATTCTCATAGGTTCTGGTGCTGAGACATCTGCTATGAGAATGACTGCGACCTTGTTTTAGCTTCTCAGAAGTCCAAAAGTCATCGCAAAAGTTCAAGAAGAGTAGGATCAAACCTTTCTAGCCAACAGGAGGTCAACTTCGTCACATGGACGTCCGGATTGCCCTTCATGGTACCCCCTTTTACAGAAGCGATGCGGCGCCATCTACCCTTGCCAGCCATACTCTCAAGAAAGACTACCGAGAAACAACGAACCATATCATGTGGCAATTCATTACCCTTCAATGTGAGAACCTACTACACTCATTCACCGTTCACACAAATACTGACTAGTGGTCAAGTCGTCGCTTGTGTCAACCAGTACGCCGCATACCTAGAAGAGCGCAACTTCCACCAGCGAGAAGAGCATCTTCACGCGCGATGAGACAAAAAGGTCTACTAGAGCCCAAAATGCGAATTCCATTTTGATGACCGACAAGTTCTGCAGCCTTTTAGCATCGGTCCACGGAACTGCATTGGCCGAAATTTGGCGTATAGCGAAGCTCGTACCTCGTTTGCACTGATTTTGTACAACTTCAACATGCACCTGCATCCGAAAATTGAATATTGGGATAAATAGAAGACCTGGTTTTAGTAGGATAAGCAAGGCATGTGTCTCAATATCTCCAATCAAACTGTGTAGCTTGGGCGGTTGCTCGGTTGTCGTGACACGCACAGCGTATTCGTGGGCCAGCAACCCCATGCTTGCTGTTTCGGCTTTTGTAGTCAGAAAGAAAGGTTAAAGCACGTTCAATATACACAAGAGACCCGGTCAAACTAGTGCTGCTTATTTTGTTCCAGCGTAACAAGGTCCACAGTGTGAATGAGCAGATTATCCAACAACCGAACAGGTCCAGCATGCGATGAGGTAAAATAGACGCTCAGGCCTCCATCGAGTAGATCTTGAGCTTCTGTTAGACTGAATATTACGACCCAAGTAGAATTTTGAATGGCGATGAAATCTAGAAAGAGGCGACTTGGGACTCGAAATCTTTTCGCCAATTCTTCTACTCGTTGGATATCTAGGAGATCTGGGGCCGGACTTCAGGCAAGTTCAGCAAGCCATCAGGTAGGAGAACGCTCTTCAATGAATTATAAATTCTTTCAAAAAATGCTCAATTCTGAACCTTCGCAAAGAAACTACTGTCCGGTAACACATTCCACAATCTGCTGTCGGATTTGTTCACAACAAAGCCCTCTTAAGAAGCACGATAGCATTGTACTATGAGAGATCCTCTATCACAAAATCATATGAAGTTTTCGAGAGCTGTAATTGAGCGCCTTCTGATTGGACTACATGTCGTGAAATGAGGTAATGCCAGTGAGCGATTTCTACTGTACCCAACACCAGCTCGTGCATATGAATGATGACTGAACTAAAATCGGAGATAGCCTGCCTTGGTTTTGATTTGTGACTACATTTCCGATATTCGGCATCAAAAATTGAGCGGCATGAGGCCGCAATGTAGCTTCCAGTGATCACGGTCTCCAAGATATAATTGAAGTGTTTCTTACTTACAAATCTGAAGTTTTTTGTAGATACCATCGGGCAAATTACCCTCCATTACATGATAGGGGGTCCAAGCTCGCAAGTAATCCTAGTTCTGACCGATATCCAAAAATGATTCTCAGTGCATAGTTCTTGCAGAAAGTTTTTTTTTATCTAAGACCCCGAATTGAATACGGCTGTCATAGTGGTAAGGCCTTTGATTGATCTTTCAAGGTCATATTTTATATATCACGGAAAAGATATAGCATCGATCCGTTGATGCTTTCTTGTTACCTTTCCAGTTGTTTGTTGCATCTACTTCCCTTATTCGTACTGTTTGCCTTTTCAGTGTTGTATTCGTTGTTTATTGCGACTTTCATCTCGTTATCAAACCCTACAATCGCTCTAGAAGACCCGGAATATCCTCCAGTATAGTAATGCTGGAAATCTAGTGAATCGGGTTGCACATCTTCGTGGAAGATTTGCAAGGTAGGCTACCCTACGGCGTAAAGTCGCTAAAAGTTAGCAGCGTAATTCTATTAATATTCATAGAAAGCCTATAGCCACCTAATCAAACCCTTTTTTGGTTGCAAGTCTAGGAAAGCGTATGACGTGTAACACGCATCTCGAATATTTACGTACAGTTTCTTTCTTAGAAAACCCCTAATTATCACAGTCAAATATAGGCTGGTGTGCCTCATCTCGTTTAATCGTACAGGGTAGAAAATCCGCCAAATATTCTCCTTTCGCTAATTCCTTAGTTGTGGTCATAATCTTTGCCTTGCCCCGATGCACGCTAGTGCGCACCCATTCTGGGTGATATAGCTAGGATCTCAGGTCATATGCTCGCTACATGGCTGCGAGGCGGATTTAGTGTGCAGTCCTCACGACTTCGCAGATTGAACGCAATACAATCACATCATGAAAGGCAAGACCAAGCACAAACGCAGCAGCTGTAGCCTTGCACACATCACTCTATAACAGATTGCGAGTAGATAGTTCGTCTCCGTGAAAGAAAAAAAAAACATTGTTAACGGCCTTGCTAGCAGTTCGTAATTGTATGATGGACAAAATAGCTCATAGAATTTCCGAAATGAATCAACAGTGGGAAGCAGAGAACGTATCGGATTTCAAAATTCATTTGCCCTTTCGCAAGTTCTGTAGTAAGTGGAACTGTCCGGTACCAGGACTGTGCTGCAGAGTGGTTAGCTTGTGCGTTGTTGATATTCAAGTAGACCTAATAACTTCCTTGCGAAAACACCTAGCGGCTTATGATCGAGTGAAAAGATCAAGAGAGCTGTGGTGCATGCAAGGAGGATAAACTCAGAGTTCGAGAGAATACTAGGATTTACCTGCAAAGCTCCACAAGTAGAAAGGCAGATTATTCACAACGATCCAGATCAACTTTAACAATACCGCTGTCCACGGCTTCTGTTGCTAATAAGAGGCATCCCTAGATCAGATGGGAGAGATGTTTTAGAGGGCACGAACAGCGGGGAGAACTTGCGGGGTCCGGCATGCTAGCTAAGGCTGGTGAGACTTTCTGAAGAGCTGATAAATCCAAAGGCATCGTTCTCAGTAGAGGCCTCCACATGTGGCCTGATGCACGTACGCCACATGCAGGAAGCCGATAATATGCCGTTAAACGGCTGACAAGATAAACACCACGATACCAACCAGCCGCCGTGAAAGTCTGGAACAGGTTTTTAATATGTGGAGCCGGGGAAAGTGGAGCTGGCTCCGATGGTTCACTAATGAAACGCGGAGAGTTTTGAACGTACATATTTGAGCAACAGCTTCATGGTTCCCAAGCGGTGGCAAGGTGGCAAGATCCGCTCGGCATTGCGAATGTTGAGGATTGCCAACATAGATTTGTGGCTACGCATAACAAGCGTCCGGTAGAGGAAACGCGGGAAATTTCAAGGCATCCTACAAGATCATGGCTCTAGTGACGGAAGAGGCTCATGATTGGATGTTGGAAAGTAGGTGCCTTGGAACAAGCCCTTCCCTGCAAGCACACTCTAAAGCCCCCGGAGTGCGGCTGTTCGTAATCAGTGGGTCTAAATGTTCAGTTTTCCTTGACTGATCGCGGTTGGTGACAATGAGTGTTGTGGCATGAAGCACAGGATTGATAACGATATCTCTTCCTAGCATCAATTACGAAGAGTTCGGCGCCTCTTTGTCTGGCGTCTATTCAATGCCTGATTCATTTGGGCGCTGATTGGCGCTGATTGATGTTTGATTCCTGTTTTATATCCGTGCGAAGGCCAGAAGGACCCACAAACGAGTCAGTTCCAAGCACGGTCGAGAAAGTTGCCCTAAGTACCCAAAGGCCTCGGTAAGTCTGGGAATAAGTGTGGCAAATGAAGGATTGCTCATTTCTCCGTTCTCCATTTCCGTCATTTTTTCATTCTGAGGTTAGCGCTTCAACAAGGGAGGGCTGGCTAGCCCTGCAGCTAGGCTATCTAGATTGGGAATGAAAACGGAGGGCGTGTTCAGTTACTGGAGCTCTGTTTCATGGCCACGCCAGATCACGTAACGGGCAACTCCGACAGAACTGGCAGCAAAATAGAGCTTTCGACTCCAGCCATAGCCTCGGACATGGTTTTGGAAACAGTGGTCAATTTCGCCTAGTTTAAAATGAACAAGAAAATAGATGCACTAGCACTAGAAAGGGTATTTTTGTTTTACGGGCGTAAATCCAACTGACGCTAGCGCCGGCTAAGAGTAGCCAGACCTCTATTTTTTGGATACGACGCGATTTCCTGCTCGTGCTTCGCAGACAGAGTTGAGATAGTTACCAGATCAGGTTTGGTGGCCGGAAAACGGAAATGGAGGTGAACAGACCCTGGTGCGGTAAGCTGCGAGCCGTCATGTTACTAGCAACGGTTGCGTAGACGCTAAGTTACCGCATCGCGCTTTTGGGGACTGAGTTTGCCCCACATGTCCTGTCATCACGTCCCTCTTCCCGCCCTGTCGCCCTGTCATAATGATAGCGTGACATGTAAAACCACTCTCGCAGCTCGGCTAAGTAGCACTAGGATCGTGGCAGCCTGAAGCTGCTGAACGCCTAACGTACTATCTTCCGATGGCAGGGCCTGTTGGAGCGATCATCAAGCATGGCGAAAGTTGGCTCGTCTTGGAAATCACAAACATGATGCAAATCGCACTACCAACGCGACAGAATGGGCAATCAAGTACATGGATGGTTGCATTCCCAACAACTTGCGCAGTCACCAAGGGTATCGGGGAAGGGGGAGAACGATTTGGACGAGCTGCACGGGCCTCGCACGTGGTAGCGGGCACTAAGATGACGCCAATGGCCGAACGTTGGCCCGAGCTAGACTTTTGTTCACTCCCGCGTGAGCAGTCCCTGGTTGCTGGTTCCACTTGTGCCTATCTCGTGATTGCGCAGTCAAGATTGCCCAATAACCATAAAGGATGTGTACGGCTTTGCGGCACACGAGGCGGAAACATAGTGCTCGGACTCCTATTTGAAAAAAGCAAGTGCACCGTGCCGGACAATTATGGCATGCCTATGTCGGATTGGCACGTACCCTGTTGTCGATTCATGCACACGTTCCGCGCAAGCACCCAGCTGCATTGAACCATGATCGACAAGTATGCCCCGCCTCCCTCATTACCGCTTGTGAACACGAAATGAAGGACAGGATGACCAAGGCTGTCGTACACGTACCGGCGTCGGCGGACAGCGAACCGTTGAAAGTATGCTTGCATGCTTCCGCTCGACCATTTTCTCCAGTGGCGGCCTTGCAACTTCTCATCACATGCTCATTTTGTTGAAATAAACGAATATAAACACTTGAAACATAGATCGTCGGTGCACAATAACTCAGTGCTCCAGCTCACAATCTAAATGCTGGCTACGCTCTCGATTTGTTTACCTAGTTAACATTCATCAAGATGCCTGGTGGCCCGAACCCCCCACTGAGCGTTATAGCTTCGTGGCCGCCTCCGAACTATGTAAATCCAGAAGGAAGAGGAAGAGTGACATCCAATATCGCATTCGTCCTGACACCGATTACCTTTTTTACCGTTTTCTCAAGACTGTGGGTTCGATTCTATATGCAGCGCAATGCTGGTTGGGATGACTGGCTTACGGTTGTTGCACTTGTAACTTACTTACTTATTCCATGACATGGTTCATTCGCTTACTGTCTCACAGCCACTCGTCATGACTTTGGCTGTTCTTATCCCATGGAGTAAGATTTTGCCCTATTGTCGTTCCGCTTCACAGCTGATTCCTCGTAGCTGCAGACAAATATCACAGCGGAGTACATATATGGGATGTCGACGTCTCCTTGTTCGAGACCCAAAGAAAGCTCATCTTGTCCATAGAGATCCTCTTTGTCCTCGGCACAGGGCTTATCAAAGTTTCCATCCTTCTCTTCTTCCGTCGCCTGGGATCGCGCGGCACATCCAAAGCCTTCAGAATCACCACCTGGGTTGCAATCGGGGTTCAAATCGCGTCCACGATTGCTTTCTTCATCAGTCCGCTTCTTGGATGCAGACCTATCTCTGGTTACTGGGAGCAGTCGAACGTCCTGAACATAGCGCTAGGAAAAAAATTCAACTGCAATGATGAAGGCGCTGCCATGGCAGTCGCTGGCAGCATTTCCACGGCGCAAGACGTAATCTGTGCTCTACTACCCAACTTTATCTACTGGAAAGCTAAAATCCCATTTCGACAAAAAGCAGCCCTGATGGCAATATTTGCCACTGCTTATGTAGCAGCAGTATTTGGGGCTTTGCGAACTTATTCCACTTACGTTCTTTTCTTTGAGACTTACGATGTTTCCTGGCAACTCTGGGAGATTTGGAACTGGACCCTCCTCGAGCTTCATATTGGTGTGATTTGCGCAAATGCCCCTGCGCTCAAGGTCTTCGTGAAGCGGTACCTCAACGTTAAATCTTTAGTGTCCAAGGGCCAAGGTTCGTCGCAAGCAAAATCATCGCAAGCAAAATCGTCGCAAGCAAAATCGTCACAGACGGCGAGCCAAGCAAACAGCACCCCCTCAGGAAAATCCAGAGCAAAACTGGCCTTGTGGAAGAACTCATTCGCGAACCATGGATATTATTCACAACCAACGCAACTGTCTGTTCATGAACAAGGCGGTGTGCAGATTTGCGAAGAATCGGATCAACATACGTCGCATACTCCCAAAATGTCCAGGGATTCAAATTCAAGTCACGAACACTATACGAATGATGATGTTGAGATGGGAATACTCAACAATACCATATCCTACCCTAGTCAGCCTCCAGAGGCACATAGAGGTAGTCGCGGCCTGGTATCTTTATATATGTACGATAGTGAGTTAGAGGACGAAAGCATGACTCGAGGATTTCGACATATGCGAATTGAGGTATAAACCCCTTTCGCTAAGACTGAAAATGAATAACGAAGTTATATGGCAATTTGTAATATTGAATGGCGCGGTATTGATTGATTCCTACGACGTGGTGAATGCTCAGTAGTACGACCGAATATCGCGATTTCTTCCACTAGCTTTGCCATGCACCAAGGTACACAAGCAGAGAAGTATGGCATACCAGATTATCACCACTAGGTCTGAACACAAAGTCAGCTGCTCAAATGGAAGCTGTGATACGATGAAGTATGCCGTGTGACTACCCTTTAATGGACCTGTCATGGCTTGCATTCAAGTCACCTCTCTGGTGCATGCGCCTCCACGACAATCACTTGCACGAGGTGCTGTGAACAGCCTGCTGGTAGATCTGGATTTGGCTTAGCGCTGGGGCAGAAATTTTCCCTATAGGGGAGCCTTGAGACGAAGAGGTCATGTCATCAGCATTTTGATGAAGTTACACTGAACGATTGAAAGCATACTATTAGCAAGTACAGGACATTGTAACCATCTCGTTCGTCTACGGCTTTGAAAAAACATGGTAGCTGCCGGCGAGAGTAGGAGGATGAAATGATTAAGGAGCACCTGGCCAGCCTCAAATTGTCGATTCGTCCTGTTGTTTGAATGCCAAGTCCCTTAAACCCCCGATTCCAAATACTAATACCAGCCTACAAACTACTGCGGACGCAACATAACGGCACAGTACAGAGTTCAACACGTCCCATAAGCTCACTAGTTGCAGTGATGAGAAGATGATGATGCTGAACAGCAGATGTATAAATCCGCTACATCCAGCCAGTACGTTGGCCATGACCGCTAGAGGTGGTACGTTAGCGTTCTCGTAATTACGACCCAAAGTTTGTTCGGCGCAAAGCGTGAATTCTTTTTCCGATGGTTCCATGGATTTTCGCAACCTATTCGTGATGCTCCAATCTCTAGTCCTCTTATCTACACTTCCTTGCAGTGAACTTGCACTACTTCTCGCGTAGGTAAAACTGAACCCCGCGACACGATTGACCACGCCAATGAGCGAAGTCCATAGTAGAGGACCAAAAGTGGTTGTACATCCCCAGCTCAGAATACTGTTACGGCCAAGTTCCAAGCTTATTCACACAAAATGTGAATGCGGAGCAGGGTTCCGCGTGTGTCATTTTTCACGCCCTTCAATAAGCGCTTTGGGTCCTGATACTCAAGTAATCTTGTTAGCTAGATTGACGGTGCACACGATGCGATTAAGAAACTCAGTCCTGGCCGATAGACCGAAAGCAGCGTCATCTCAGCGATGCTTGGTACAATCGTGGAAAGTAATTTTGGCATGAGATATAGCACGAGAGTTGCAAAATTGGAGTTCGCCAATATGTGCGATGGAATGTTGTCCAGGATGCATTGCTCATGTTGGTAGCAGATTGACAAGAACTGTTGGGCTTTTAATGAAGGAGGCGGGGCTTGATAGACAACGCTGTAGTCTGTAAAGGTTGTGGCGCATCTCACTATCGATGCTTCGATTACGCATGGAGAATACATGTGAAAGAAAGATCTGTATTGTGGGGAACAGGGCTGTGGAAAGAAGGTTGTTGGATGATAGCTAGAATTGTACTGTTCGGCGATGACAGGAAAGGTAAGCGACTGGTAAATCAGCAGCAGGGAAAATCTCGAAAGCATTGTAATAAGCACCGAACCATGGCGAATTCGACATACGATGCGCATGCACACACTTATAAGAATGTCTGTTCCAGCCCCCATGATTGAACCATTGTTATGAGGTAGGTTATATACCTACCCTATTTTAGCTTAGTAAGAGAATGGACACTATAAGTAGACACGAGATCTTCGCTACTTCATATAGACCTAAGCAATACAATAACCNTTGGCTCCTAACAGTATCCTGAAAGGCCCAGCCCATAACAACCATCACTTACTGATACCAATGATTGGCTCTAAGACAAAATAGTAAGGTGCTAGGAATTGGCAAGCGTGTGAGCGGTTTCGAATGACCCAAAATGTTGCGCTGAATGTATTGCTTAACAAAACATCGTCGATTCTCTCAAATAAGTCGCCATGTCGTATTGCATTCCCAATGTCGATCTTCGTGTACTTATCAATCTCCCGGCAACAATTCTCACTAAGAGAGACGCCATAGATCATCCAAAATCATATATGCTTGAGGCTTTTTAGCGTGGCTGAACTTCTGTCGCCAGTTGACAAGCAGAGACTTCCTAATCTACCTACCCATTGGAAATTGTACGAAGACAAAACAGCACGCGCGCTTGGCAGGTTGCCTCTGGAAATACTACTGTGTCAATGATTTGTCTAGGGCTGAGTGGAAAGAAGGTTCATGTTGTACGGTCTGGTAGCTATGTTTCAGCCCTGCGTGTTGTCACCTACTCTTAACCGCTCATTGGGCGTGCGATCAACACCGGGCGCTTAAAGAAATAAATCTTGTCACTACCGCTAATACGATAAGGCTTAATGATGTCCCACGCAGTTTTATATGCCTCGAAGTGACTCTACTGCCATTACCAACCCAAATAGTCTTACCTACGCCGTTACAAGCAACGAACAAAACATATCTCTATACCAGTATCGAAAGTATGAACCCATTTAGAGCCTATAGCTTTAACAGCGACTGGGTCGCAGTTAAGGCCCTCAATAGTAGAATTTGGCGCACCGTGGTACACGACTTCAGCTTTCGTACATCCTGCTCTTTTTCCAAAGGCCGCAGCCATTTTATTCTTCAATTCTGCGGGAACAGGAAACTGACAGGTGTCGAAATCAACAAAGCATCGTAGACCAAGTCGGGTTTGAGCTGCTGCAGAAGCTACAGAGAAAAGAATAAGAGGAGTGGTAGCGTAATGCACTACACCAAAATTAGATAAAGCATGAAGGAGTTAATGATACTTACTATTGTATAACTTACTGTCGTGCACGGCATTGATACACGCCTAGGTTTCAATTTGCAAGACGTTCAATTGTTCGATATCCCGGGCGCCACTCAGCAAGCGGCTGGGGCGACCCAGTCGACTGACCTCTTACTTGGGTCATTTTCTGATAACTGGAAAGTCCTATAAAGATGGTACATCGAATAGATTGGATCTTCTACCTCTTTGTCCAAATCCCTGGCCTCGATTCTATTTCCTGCCTTGCCTATCTGGCCTGGTTGTTGCTTGGGCAACTGTCTTGTGAGGTCTTAGGCCTAGAAGAATGACTAAGCTGTCACATACGTCACCTTCTATTCCCAATGCCCTTACGTCACTCCTTGATCTGTATTTGTTCACTCTTCGCTCACCGGTCGCTAAATCACCGTTCATCGCATTTTACTCTTTACTATTTGTTATTCGTCCTTTATTATTTGCTCTGAGCTTTCAGCTTATTAAGCTGTAAGAATAGGAAGCTACAGAGTAGTGATCTAACTGCTACTCGAGCTATTACTAAATTGAGTAGTTAACTTTGAAATGCTTTCGATACCTATTTGTAGAAGTGAAGTACTCCGACCTGTGTGGAAGAGTGCTAGTAATTGAATAGGTGGAGCATCTTCTTGTTGTCATTGCTAGATAATGTAGCTGATGGAGTAGAGACTCTCCGCGATACATTAGTCATCTTGCAGTTTTTGTTAAAAAACAATTAACTCAAATCAACAGAGCGAAGATCTACGCCACTGGTCCGAAGACAACTCTTACTTCCCTTCGATATAGTCGAGTCGCTGGCACGATTGGATAGCCCGGTTTTTAATACTCATTATCCTTTGTCCAGATTGGACTTCGTTACGAGAAAGATGTTATAACCATGCAGCCTTCTGGGATTTTGCCACTCTGCATCAAATAGAACAATTCCGGATACTTGTCAATGCTATACTTTGTGGATTTGGGACGGATCTTGTGCCAGTGGGAGAAGTCCATACATTTATTCATTCCGTTTGCTCTCCCGGAAGATACATTGACAATTTAAACAGGTGAAAGTAAAACTGTAACTGATATTATTGGTAGGTGGTTTGGTGCAGTCTGGACGTTGACGAAATGGTAGTTAGAAGTCTGGAATGCAAGTCTAATGCTGAAGCTTGATCGCATGCTTACCACTGGAACAACCATCAGATTCCCACCAATGCGAATGATTGATGGCTCAGCATCTTGAACTCTGACACTGGTGCTGAGAGTTGTCACAGCATGAACCCCACCTCCAGTATCTTTCTGGATTTGGGTCACGAAGTTAGTGTCTAGCAGATCAGTCATCTCGAATACGTTCAACGTCTGCGCATGTTCCCATTGGGATTTTTCAACATCTATGCCAACAGCTTTGAGACCCATTGCTACTGCAGATTGAACGGCTACGACGAGGAACCCACTACCAGCAAAGGATTTGAAATCTCTTTAAACATTGCTTACTTGTAGGTACAAGAAAACTAATGCCGAGCACTGCGATCCACTAACCAGGTAACAAAGCAGCTTCATTGACTGTGTGGAAGGGGGTCAAACGAGCGCAAAGCGAAGGCGCCGCGGTCTCAGGATCTATCTTGTCTGATAGACTTATAGCCTGAACCTCCTCAACCAGGGTGTATCAAGCTATAATCTCGTCGCCATAAGAGCCCTGAAAAGTTACTGATGGGCAAGACAGTGACTTAATATCACGGCCGCGCCGCGATGACGGTATTGGTAGAGTTGCTAAGCGACCGAGTAGTGACGACTCACTTTCTGTGCAATTTCACATGCAAACCTCCCAACAAGACTTTGATTAGATAGAGTACCACGTACAGTAAGCTGATATATATATTCAATAAGTTTAAGCTCCTGTCGTGGTGCCGCGCATGTTGATTTTGGTGGTAGGCCTCGCGGGAGGTGGTCAAACCTTGGTGGCGCCGCCTCTGCGTTAATGGCTCAGAACTAATTTTTGAGCAATTTGGTCATGTACAAGTTTTTCTCTAGGTTCTAAAGCAGATATGACTTCAAGTGTGTATTTGGGGTGATTGTGGCGCGATCGGGTGGGTGACGGTGGTGGTTGATGGGCGGATCGGGCTTGTGGCCGTCCGAGGCACATAACCGTCTGGTACGGTAGCTCTAGATCTTTTCGACAAACATCTGCATTGAGCTGAGCATCTCGTTGAAATGCGTAGGACAATAAGGGGGAGCGAGAAGCCTGTGCGCACCCAAGGCGCTCTCTGGTGCAATGGAATGAGAGTAGCTTCTCTAGCTTGGCGATCAAATTTGGTATAGTAGTAGCTTGCGTCAACACTAAAAGTTATCAAACAGCCACCAAAAGCGCTAGCAGAGCTGAAACCAGAACTGGCAGCCGAACAGGTTAGCATCATCACATCAGGATCGCACAGCCTTTCGAGCAGCTATCGAGGCATCAGCAAAAACGCGTAAAATTCGTAAGAAAAGGTTCATGCAGGTGAACGAGACCCCAATAATTGGCGAAGAAGCTGACTCAATAGCTGAGAAAGAGAGTTTTGGGTGTTAAAAAGAGTGACAAACTGGCGAAGGGGGCACGCGCAGGGTGGCGTTGGTGGCCAAATGGGGCACAACTCCTGCCTCACCCAGCAAGCTGTGCAGCCAATTCAGGTGATGCAGCCACCCCCTTCCACACGAAAGTTGATACACTTCTTTCTACGCCAGCACACATTTGGCGGAAAAACAAATTTCACCAAACCATGTAGCGTCGGAAGGTTTATCACTTTTCAAGCGCAGGAGGTGCAGCGAAGGCACGATGCATGCCAAGATCCAGGGAACATAGCCCAATTACGTGGTGTTCCTGAAACTTGTGAGAAAAAAAGCAACCCACTCACGAAGTCTATTAGTAAATTTGCGGTGAGAGTTTTCCATATTTATTGATTGGCTAATTAACGGAAGGTAAACCCTAGTAGTGCATCGGATGAGAATATGACTGGTTAAGCAGCTGCGATCGGACCAAAGTCTCTGTTCACCGATCAGAGCAATTATTGTCACACAATTTCTACTGAACTGGCTGAAAGGGCCTTTAGTACGCTAACGGCTAGCTTAACCAGCTGTTCTTATAACCGGTTGCCTGAGTAAAGGGATAGGCAGGCTAGTATTTCTTTTGCTCTCAGCCGCTTCCGCGGCTTGAGTTGGTCAGGTCCGAGGAGACTTGGTGTCTGACGCCATTAGTTTGCTAGTGTCCATAAAATATCACTACCAGGGCTTTTTGACTCAAAGCGCAAACGCAAGATGAACACGTCCACCACTACAAATACTCATGTCGTAGCTCCATGGGGTTATGATTTATTACCTTCCCAGAGAGATGTACGAGCGCAATGGAAATCCCAAATCTTTTCTTCGATAGTTGTGTGCGTATTCCTCTACTTGCAGGCTGCGACCCAACATACTAATGTCTTCTGTTTAGAGGTGGTTATTATTGGGAGTAAGTCTTTCATACCCCCTTGTCTCTCCTAAATCAGAATGTCAAATTCCAATCGAAGTTTCTAGTACAATAATATCTCTCCCAAGAGATTTCCAATTCATCTTTCAGCGAAAATTCAATTATGCCACAGTTCTTTTCATTGTGAACAGGTAAGTCAATATTGCGCTCTTCATTTTCGGCCCTTGCAGAATTAGAAGCTGACTCACCAGGGTCTGCTGCATCACCACACTAACCAACTTCTGGCTTTTTGCAGTTTATACTGGCAGTCAGTGTTTGCCAGTGTATAAGATTGCAGGCATTTTGGAACCAGTCACCATATTCACATCACAAGCTTTGTTGCTTATCAGGCACGTATCCTATATCTGACAGTCATGCTGATATCTATACAACAAAATCCTAACGTGTTTGTAGAGTTCGAGTTCTCTACCAAAATAATTGGTATCTCCTAACATTCATGGTTCTTTTTTTGTGAGATTCGCTCCTTATTATGGAAGCCAATGTTTCTAACTTAAATCCAGATTCGTCGGCCCATTGATAGATCTCATAGAGGCCTTTAGAACAACAGGATTCAATCTTCCAGGAAACGTTGGTTGTATGTTTGGCCCGTCTTCACCCTACATATATTTGGTCTTTCTATTTCAAGCCTTGTTCGACTGTTTATGTTTTATACTCTGCATGTACAAGGTGAGCCATTTAAAGGGATTCCTTCTGTTGAAAATAACTATAAATTTACATTGTAGATAGCTGATCCTTTATAGCTCTTTAGAGTTGGACAGGGAGGCGGGTTCATGCGCATTGGAAAAGAAATGGTAAATGGTGGTGTAAGTGGAATAATTCTCATGAATCCCACTTTCTAAATTTATCTAACTTATTACTTAGCTGGTTTACTATATTCCCAATGTCGTTATTCAAATTGCGACGATCATTTTGACCCAACAAAAGGGTATCGAAGACCAGTTCATTTTACCACCAGCAGCAGATGGGATTGCTTCAGCTCAGGCTCTCAGGATTACACGCAACCTGTGGTGGAGCGGGCAAAAACAGAAATACCGGTTAGAAGACCCAATGAGCTTGACTGCCATCGGTTCCAAAGAAGGATCTTTCCCCGGTGAAGATCGCAAGGTAGAAGACTATCGGGCGTTTATGTCAGGACATAATAATCTCTGCAGGGTGGAGATAGCCTGATTGGAACCACGCTAAGACATGGGCACCATTGAAGTAAATAGTATTGTACATGGATAGCGATGTAGCTTCGGGGCTTACCTCTCTATTAAATATAATGTCTTGTATGGCAAGGGCTTGCTCCTTAGAACATGGCCTTCTACAATACTCCCTACCCTTAAATTATAGTAAGCTTAACTCAAGAGACTTGATTTGTTTACAGGACAGAGTGACAAAGTGTTCTTTTACTAAAATGATTTCCTTGGCGCGTGGGGAAAAATCATTAGTGTGGGGAAAAGCGCACATAATACTGTTCGCGGAAATGTTCCCCGAAGATTTTAGAAGTTGGTTAAATAAAGGACGAAAGTGGAGTAGACCAGGGTACCTTTAACCGTGAGCCTCGGACAAAACCCCTCGAGCAAGATGGGGAAAAACTTCACTCCCAACTTCACTCATAAATTTACTACAAGCCTTCGTCGTGATGCGGAAACTGACAATTGCGCTCTTGGCTTTTTCGCCGCTTGCAGCCAGCCAGTTCGACTATTCACAGTATGTGAATCCATTCTGGGGTACTGAAGGGCCAATACCAAATTACACTTTTGGCGGTGGTGCCGTTTTCGTGGGAGCAGCGGTGCCGTATGGTGTGGTCAAATTGACAATGGATACGTACGTCAAGAACACGAGCATTGCGGCGTTGCAAGGTGGATATACGCCCAATGGCCTCATTACGGGCTTCTCGATGATGCATGAGTCTGGCACAGGAGGATGTTCAAAGTACGGCGTTATTTCGCAAATGCCCCTCACAAACATTGAAGCACCGGTCAATCTCTTGGATAATCGTACCTACTGGCAAGAACGTGTTGGGCAAGACCATGCAAGCGTTGGGTATTTCCGGACGAATCTAGAAAATGGTGTCACAACGGAACTGAGCGCAACAAGACACGCAGGAATCTTGCATTATGAGTTCCCAAAAGATGAGAAGAAGCATATTCTTGTAGATGTGTCGCATTATCTTCCAAATGTTGTTGGAGGCTATTGCACTCAGACATTCCGCCAGGGTAAGATCAAGATTTCGCCAGATCGCAAGAGTTATCGAGGTTATGGAACTTTTGCTGGAGGATTCAACGAGGGTGCGCCGTATACCGTCTATTTCTGTGGCGAATTTGAAACAGCACCAGATGAAGCAGAGACCTTCGCTGGCCGTAACCAGTTCCCTGGTTTTAATGCGATGAATCCAGAGCCTCTCCCGTGGCCAGTGTTTGCCTCAGAAAATATGACCACTCCCGAAGGTTCACGTGTTGGAGCAGTATTCACGTGGAAAGGGAACCAGACGACGGTTCGCTCCAAGATTGGGATATCGTTCATTTCAGAAGAGAAAGCTTGTAGATTCAAAGATGAAGAGATCAAGAGCTGGGATATACAAAACACAGTTGATGCAGCAGTCGAGGAATGGAACCGTGAGATTTTCAGCACGATTCGGGTGGATACAGGAAATGAAACTAACCAAGAGCATCTCACGCTGTTATATTCATCGCTCTACTTCATGCATCTCATTCCATCTAATCGAACGGGCGAAAACCCACTCTGGCAATCGGAAGAACCATACTGGGATGATTTCTACTGCTTATGTGGGTTCCCTATCTCAACTTTGCTTGTCGCATATTGACCATGTTAACTAGGGGATACTTTCCGTAATACGATAAGCCTTTCCCATTTGATTCAAACCGACGCATATGAATCGCAAATTCGCTCACTTATCGACATTTGGAGAAATCAAGGTTACATGCCCGATGGACGTTCGGGAAATGACAACGGTCTGGTACAAGGCGGCAGCAACTCTGATAATGTGCTTGCAGATGCTTATGTGAAGGGTCTCCGTGGCAAGATCGATTGGGCAGACGGCTATGCTGCTATGGTGAAAAATGCCGAAATACCTACTAATGGCAGCAACAAAGAGGGGCGAGGTGCAGGAGGGGATTGGCTGCAGTACGGATATGTCAGCTCGTCTATGCCCAGGAGTATTTCACGAACTGTCGAGTATTCGCTGAATGATTTTGCTCTAAGCCAAGTCGCAAAGGGTGAGAAATCTGGCGACGTGTCAAGATATTTGAAACGATCGGCTGGGTGGCAATTACTCTGGGATCCCAGTACACAAAGTGTGAACACTTCGAAAAACTTTAGTGGCTTTCTTACTCCAAAGGACAGGAATGGCACATTCAACCAGACCGACTACAATCCAGCAAAATGTGGCGCTTGCTCATGGTCGTCATTGACATATGAAGGCACACCTTTTGAATACTCTTTCACGATTCCTCATGACATGAAAACACTGATAGAGAAGATGGGTGGACCTCAAGGTTTTGAGGAGCGCCTTGATTATATCTTTGTCCCATACACCAGCCAAGCTGACCTTGGGCCAAATGGCGCAGGGATCAACACTATTATGAACATCGGGTAAGAAAATGCTTCTCAGGCTTCCATAAACTTCAACTCGAAGCAACACTAATGGATATTCTCAGCAATGAACCAGACTTTGCTACACCTTACCTATACAATTATCTCAACAAACAGTGGAAGTCAGTAAATAAATCCCGCTCACAAGCCAAACAATAGTATGTTTTCAGTCTCACTTTGCTTCCAAGGAGGTGTGCGTTCGCTGACCATTTAGCTTCCGCAACACCACGAACGGTATGCCTGGCAATTCGGATGCCGGAGCCTTGAACTCTTGGCTGATCTGGCAAATGCTGGGTCTCTACCCAATTGTGACGCAGCCAGTGTACCTTCTCGAGTCGCCTTGGTTCCGCGATATCAACATGACGATCAGTAGAGATAAAACCTTGCGAATTACGGCGAATGGGATTGCCGAAGATAGCTTCTATGTGCAAGGCGTGAAGATCAATGGAGTTCAGTGGGATAGAAACTGGTTCAACCATGATGACGTTTTCCACGAAGGTGGTACCATCGAATTTGATCTTGGCAAGCAACCTGTAGTGTGGGAGAAAGGTGACTTGCCACCTAGTCCAGGGAGTTTGGGTTAAGAATATCTAGGCAATCTCTTGAAAATAGAATAAGACTAACAATTGCGAATGGAAGTGCAGGTTAGTAGGGGCAAGGATGCGATTAACCCACACTTCTACTGCTTGCATCATGGACCACCTACCGTTGCGACTCTTTAGTCTAGTAAATGCTGATTCGGACGCAGCCTCATGTGCAAAAAGCGCAAGAAAAAGTGTTCGGGTGATAATGAGTGCGAGCAGTACAAGCTCGCGGATCTGCCATGCGCCGAATAAGTACGTATGCCACAGTCCCTGCGCGCAAACGCCGTGCCAACAACACCACCAGCTCTGCCACCACCACCGCTGCCGTCCGACAGACCTCTCTGAGCAGCAGTGCGCGGCAATCGGGCGTGAAAGGCCACCTGGACAGGCTTGAGGCGCTGTTGCGTCGCACAGCCGGGCTGCAACGCGAAAAGCTGCGCCACCAGTTGGTAGCCGCTGCCGCTGACCTTCACCTCCTCAATCATCCTGAACTTTCCATTTAGATCAAGCCATGCAACGTGGTAGTCAAACTCTGGTTGATATTCGCCCCTTACATGTATGCCACCCTTGGTAGTTACAGGCGCTGGCAAATTGTTGGTATAGAGTAGTCCTCTCTTAGCCTGAACTATTACACGTTAAGTAATAGCTTACTTTTCTAGTTTTGTTAGGCGCTTACAGTTAGCCTTGTAGTCGCGTTAAGAGTGCTTCCCGTCGCGTCGTCGACGTATTATTATTTGTAGTACGTCATAGACTTTTTTAGCGCGTTAAATACTTCAAGTTCAATTTCTACTAAGCTTAGAGACTACTACATAAATATTAGCTTTAGTATAGCTTCTACGAGGTTATAGTTGTTGAGACATCACGCGTTGTTGTTGCGACGTTGTCTTGGTAGGGAGACTGCGCCGCTCGGTATGGTGTGCCGCTCGGTGGCAAAACACGTTAGTGATTATAACATTATTACGGGCATATTGCTAGTAACAGCTTCAGCTCGGATGAATACTTAGGGCCGAATAAGTTATCATCGGGACGCGTGTCCTCCCTACTATCATATATCTTATTCTTGAACGCCTAATATCACCCTAAATCTCAATACGGTAGCTATAAGTCAAGACCGAGGGGGGCGAAAGTCATGGGATTCCTAACCTTCCTCTTTGCGCGGCGAACAACCCAGTACGCTGGTTGTAAACAATAAGAGATAGCATAAGGTTATATTGTTGGCTGCTTTTGTGTTTTCGTTGGCCGACTTCGACCCACTGGGTTGTTTGTCGCGCACGGAGTGAGGTCAGGTGCTTTTCCAAAATAGACGACCTCGGGAGCAATCGAATATCGTGCTGCCTCATCTTAATTCCTCCTCGTCGAAGTCCAGAACTGTGTTACTGCCAGTGTTCTAAGTATTTGTGCTACATACCACAACGAGGAATTTTGGATATTTCAAAGGCAAGATACTTACCATAAGTAAACCTTAGTAACGATTCAGGTTGCGCACCATAGGTGCTGTGTATGCTCTTCCTTGACTCATGATTGACATCGAACCCAAGTAGCTCTGCCAATTGAAGAACTTCGTCTGCAGATAGTTGAAGGATCGAAGAACCGTCCCACTTGAGCGCTGTATACACGTCAGTCTATTTTCAACAATTATGATATCACAAGAGAGGAGTAAATCTTATTGATGATGGGAACTCCAACGTACGTCCTAGATTGATCCATATGCCACCAGGCTTGAGCAGCCGATGGATGTTGCTCAAGAAGTCGATCACGTTGTCAGACATATCGATGAAGAACAGAGTGACAACTGCATCAAACTCGGCATCCTGAGGGAACACCTTCAAGAAATCACCCTCGACGAGTTCGACGGTCCTATTGGGCATATGGTCGGGAACAGTTATGGCAGAGTAGCGCGAAGAAGAATCGGCCTGATGCGCCCATTTCGTAACGAAGGGTTGAATTGCGTGCTGATGTAGCGAGGTAGTATGGTTTGCCAGCAGGTGATAGATAAGTATGGACCCGTAATCCAGATCATTGGCTGTGACATTGTATCCTGTACTGATATGAGAATACTGTCTGCATTTCGAGTAGCCAGAGAAACGTACCAGCATCCGCGATATCACTTGCGAGCCTGCCCATACCACACCCTGGAACAAGCACCTTTCTATTCATACTGTTCAGTCCAAAATGTTGTTCAAGAGCTTCCAGAATAGGTGGAAACACAGCCCGACGTTCATTCAAGCCCTGCGTGCTCCAATCCCGCACAAGGTGTCCAAAAGCTGAGTCTACCAGTCCGAAATCAACTGGTGCTTCATTCTCTAGGGCTTCAGGGCCAGTATTGTACAACTCCCTTCCCAGTTGTGCCACTTGTCCTGTAAGTCGAGCATTCATTTCAATGCCCTTCCTAGCTTTCTCGAAGTGCAAACTATAGCCAAGTTTATTGCTTATCAACTTTTCTTTGGAACTCTGCTTTGAGTATCCCCCATGCTTTCGTTGGATAGCATTGCTTGCGAGGAGTGGGTACTTTTCGAAGGAACTGATCGCAGTTGCCACCCCATTGGGGAGAATAGGATGCTCTGTACTTCTGCAGTCTCTACTAACGTTCATCGACTTGATAGACGTGACAGCAGTTGCGAGATCTTCTGGTGACATTTGCATTGGAATGCGCCCAGGCGGTGAGCTGAGTGCAAGATGAAGGTTCTCCGCGCACGCAGATAAAGTGGAAAGAGTAAGCGCAACGTCAGATAGGCAAGCGGGGCCTCGCAAGGCAAAATAAAATGAAAGAATGCCGCCCACCAGCAGGGTAGTGGAGTGGACGGGATGGAAAGAGATCGTCATGTTCTGGCTGAGCTTCGAGATGATGTGGGGCAACGGGGTGTTTTCTACTTCTAGTATCTAGCCAAGCCTCTAGTATCTTAAATGTTATTAGTATCTCTAGATTTCCTATCTTCGTAAGATGCTAAGTCACGTGATTAGCGCCACGCGTTGATTATTACCTTCTAACGTGGACATCCGTAGGCCCCTTACCTCCCGTCCTCCGTCAAGAAGAGAATCCTTCTTATTACTTGTAACAAGCGTCTACCATTCGTCGCACGTCGATAATATAGAGCGGAAAACCACGTTAGTTAAGGTCTGGAATCCACTATATAAGAGACTGCTCTTCAGTAGGCGATAGCCTACGCCTAGCAGATACTATCTCTAATCGTGGCTAGATACCGCGGAGGCGCGTTTAAAGAGTTAATTCTAGAACGTCGTACGCTACTATAAGTATACATACTAATTTGTTTTTAGATTATTACGATAGGTAGATATGTTAGGATAATGGTAGTGGAAGGGGTACGGAAGTAGCTGCTTGTTCTACTAGTAGCTCAGAGGTAGAGGTCTCTGCCTTCTACTTGTCTAGTAATAGACTTAGAGGCAGCTCATCAAAGTAGGAGATAAATAAAGAGACTAGAGGAAGAGAATAGAAGGTAATTGTATTGTAGTTGACTCTCTGTGAGGTGCATTCACTTGTTATTGTCTCTTTCTTATCACTCTTGGTGCTTTTTTCTCTTATCTTTCTACCTAGCTACTCTACTGCTATTTATACCTTCAGCCTCAGGGTTCAGTCTGGTTCGTTGACAACTTGTTGAATTGGTTCATAGAAAGACTGGTTCAGGGTAAGGTTGTTGGATTAGTTCAGGGTAAGGTCGGAGAACAACTGGATGGCTTATCTCCAACAAGATATAGCAAGATAAAGTCTACCTTCACGAGAAGTCTATATAGAGCGTTGTTGTCGCGGCATAGTGGTGGTTGTGGAGAGAGTTAGGTCAGGTTAGGTGGGGTGCGCAGCTTACTGGTGGCGCACGTTAGTTAGCTTGCTTACAGAAGCCGGAAGCTGCAAGTGCATAAGTAGCAATCCACATCTTCATCTTTCTAGCGGTATTACGCAGAACAACTACCGCTCTGAGAAACTATTATACAATATCCCCTTCCATTCCCATAACAATCGTAAAGTGATGTCCCGTGATATCCATTACAAGAAAGCTATACAAGTCAGATTCTATTATTATTATTATTATTATTATTATTATTG